GTGAGCACTTTGCGACTAAAATAGAAGGACTGGTCCGCTTTGGCGTCTACCGCGAACGGTGAATGTAACGCCAGTAGAAAACGACGAGTCAACATGTTCAGCAGGTGGATCTGGAATTCAGTCGGCTTCGGCGTGTCGGGGTTGGTATTTCTCTGATACGACTGGAGCGTTGCTGTATGGGAATGGCACATGGCATCCAACTGCATGCCCAGTTTCACGACCCACTGGTAATCCTGGCCCGGAGGCTTTTTGAGGGCATTGCAATAACGGAGGATCTGCAGACGAACCGGCATAGTGTGCATCATCATCCGCTGAATGGTGCTTTGGGTAAAGCCATCTGCAATATCCGACGCAGTGGACAGATTGCTGGCATCGACATCATCGATGTTGGATGGCGACTCGCTGTCGAAATCATCACTGGAGATGGATGGCGGCATGCCTGTGTCCAGAGATGACTGTACCGACATCTCCAGAATGGTAGCCCACAGGCGCTTCCGCATCTCGCTCTCAAGAGGCGAAAACTCCGGGAAATGGATTCGCGTCTCCTTGTGGAGGCCGAGTCCGACCGCGATGCGCAGGGGAAAGTCCCCTGAGATCCATACTAGCTCGGACGGGTCAGGGACTGTTTGGCGCGCCAACAGTAGCAAGGCAGAGACCTGCAGCACGGACAGATCAATGCCAAACATTTCGAAGCTCTCAGTGAGCCAAAACTGCGCACCAGCGATCCACTTGGGCGCTAACAGCTGAAGCTCGTCCGCCTCCGCCTTCGAGATGAAGCAGGCTCCGATGGCCAGGACAAGAGCGAGGGTGGATGGGAAAGCCCGGCTGGCACCTTGCGGGTTGTTCCAGTACAGCTCATATTGTTGCATGAAGGTCGGAATATGCAGCACCCGAAAGACCGCCTCGAAGGTGTGCAGGTAGAGCATGACCAGGCGGTCACAGGTCGACTTGGGCAGCAGATTGTTCGTTATGTTCGGCGGGCCCAGCTGGGTGTAATACTTGATGGCCCGCTCTGACTTGATGATCCGGGCGTAATGGGTGCATTGATCCCAGAGCGATTGGACGTCCGCATGGTCCGACCTGTGCAGCAGAATGTTCAAATGCTCTGACTAGCATCTATTATCAGCAAAAGGGGCTTGCCTGGGGAGACTTGGCCTAGGAGCTGCGTTGGCTCACCTGTCTAAATGACGATTGGATGTAATGCTTGCCACAACCCAAGCTCTTGGCATGGGATACGGTGCGCCCAGGAAGGTCCACAGGCTTGCTCTGGTTCATCTCCAAATCCCCGGGGAAGGTGTACCTTGACGAGAAGGTGAAGAGTGGTGGTAGACCGGCACTACCGCTGCTGGACGGGGTGAGGTTAATGGGAGAGCTAGATACAGCTCCAGTCTGAGTACCATCCTTCTCGGATGTAGCCGAGGTAGGCAGATCGGTGGCAGTCGGGCCAGCGCGGGGATCGGACGGGGTCAATCCATTATTGGGATTACGATAACCACACAGCAGGGACGCATTGCCACATGGGCCACAGGGTAATGCACGATCACATTTCACTTTGCGCCGTCGACACTCGATACACGCAACGGCAGGTCGGCGGCGGCGATAGAGAGGGGCACTCATGGTGTTGAACCAGTGTTCATGGGGGAGAGTGAGAGGGAGAACTGAAGGAAGGACAGTGAGGTTTTGAGAGCCTCATCGAGGGATTTCTTAATCCCTGTAGTGCGAAAAAGGTAGTAGACAGAGTGGATGGCTGGCCTGGCTTCCGGTCGACCTTCGTCCAGATCGACCCATAGACACTATCCTCTGACCCTTCTGAATGGAAAGGCAGGTCCATCTTAGTGAAAAAGACTAGATATATCAATTGGTGTAGCCCATCGCCTTCTAGTCCTTGCTGTTCACAGATGAACGATGAATATGAAGTCTGACACGTAGTTAACTCCGGTCGGTAGTTGGAAGCCTGACTCAGCCACCGGTACTTCCATAACTACCACACCGAAAAGGGGTGGGAAGCTAAAAGGCACTGATACAGGGGTACCAAGGAAAAACTGTACATAGTATTACATTCTCCACTATTTTTCTGCCGGTTTTAATCACCTGATCTACCACACGATATTATCAATTTAATACAGTATGTCGGAAATACTGGGACAATACTGGGTACTCAACTATCCCACTATTCCTATTTGGGATGTATCATGTGGCTTTTGTATCGTAAATCCCTTCGAGGATCAGATAGACAGATCAGACATACATTCGTTGCTTGGATACACAAGATCGCTCCCCATTTGCTTCCACACAGTACATTCAGTAGTCAGTAGCCACCCCCTGGCGCTCAATCACCTGTTCAGCCCGTCTAAGCATAGATCGCACTAGATTCTCTATCATATCCTCTGGCACTGCCCGCTAGGCATCCTCTATAACTGGTTTCAGTCGATCAAGCGGGATCTCTTGCTCACCATATCGTTGTGATATATACTCTCTCATCCAGCTCCAGACGTTTTCAATTGGATTTAGATCAGGCGAATAGGTGGATGATCAGTGCATTTAATATCCCAACGCTCTAATTCAGCGCGTGTGAATCGAGACCAATGGCAGCGTGCATTAGTTAACTAGTTATTAACTAACTAACTATAGATTAACGTAATTCACAAGCGAGTCGTGAATCCAAGCGAGTCGGCAACCCCCAAAACACATAGTAAATGCGACATATCCTACATATAGTATCTCAACAACCACGAGTTCATTTCATGTCCTTATTTCACGATAGCCATTGATAAGGACAACTAGCATTCTGTATTAATTTCAGCGAAATCAAAAGGCTACATTATCTTGATAACAAAAATTACCGAAAAAATACGTTGCCAAAAACGAAATATCGATATAAGACCAGCATCAAGTCTTGGATTCTCCTCAATCTCCCCATGGATGCCAGTTATGACCTAAAGGATGATATGCTATAGCAATAATTTCGTAGAGGCCACCATTGTTGAGTTACTGTGTTGTAATTGACCTCTTTTACTATGTGGTTTGGAGCTGCCGACTCGCTTGGATTCACGACTCGCTTGGATTCACGACTCGCTTGTGAAATACGTTAACGTATTTCACTACCGAGCTGGCCACTCCAATACACATAGTAAAAGTGGTAAATTACAACACAGTAACTCAACAACGGTGGCCTATACGGACTTATTCTTGTAGTATAGCGTCTTTTAGGTCATGACAAGCACCTATAGGGCGGGAGTTTGAGGAAAATCCAAGGCTTCATGCTTGCGTGACATGTATATCTGGGGTCATGGAACGGTAATTTTTGATACCACCATAATATCGACTTTTAATATCTTTGAAATTGATACAGAGCGCTAGTTATTCTTATCAATTGCTATCGTAAAAACAAGGAGACAAAATAAACTCATGGTCGTTGAGATACAAAATCGCATTTACTATGGGTTTTGGGGGTGGTCAGCTCGGTGGGTTGGCCAGCTCGATAGTGAAATACGTAGTTATTTAGCTAACTAATGTTAGTTAAGGGGTAGCTAGAAACAAAAGACTATTGGCTAGGTAAGAAGACAATAAGATGTAAGGCTCTGATACGAGCAGGCTCAGACACGAGCATAGTCCATTCGGTAACGAGACTGAATCTTGGGGAGCCCTCATGGCACTCTCCAAGTCGAGGTATTTAACATGAGTGTAATGACAAATGCTCAATGCTCATTGGCACAACAAAGTGGGGCAGAAGAGGGGAAGCTCCCTCGTACAACATCCCAGTCTTTCACAGACTTATCCAACGATCTTTCAACGATCGTCTGAGATCTCCTGAGATAATCCAAAGCCACGCAAGGACATCCAGGATCCTTTAGGATCTTCCGAGATCAAACAGGATAATGCGGGGTCCGAGTCCCCAGATGACGGAAGCCCGATAATCATCAGGATTCAGATCCATGATACTAATCCGGGGTCCCGTCCAAGATCATCCAAAGTCCACGCCTCCGATGACGTGTGGGGCCGGACGATCATACAAGGTCTGAGCGCTAAGTGATGTGAGGGTCCCAAGATGGGAAACCTGTAACACCGAGCCATGAGAGATAACGCTGTCATGATATGTGAGGGGTTCTAAGGTAGGACCCCGTAACAATTACGTTATAAATCGATTGATTAACGGTAGGATTTTCTGGGAAAACCTTCCAGAGTTCATTGATCCGGGATGACTAGCCATAGGAAGCCTACGGGTGTCGCTCCAACCCTGTAGAAGAACAATTTCTTAGAAGCATTTGACTCGTTGATAAAGTTCTCTACTGTACTTTGTCAATCAGAGCCGCCCCCAACTTATCAGGTTTCATCATTGACCAAAAAAGGAAGGTTGCAGCAGTCAGATCATTGGCTACTACTGTATTGATACAGAATGGTTTGCTAACAATCCGTCTTCTTGGAAGCGACCCCCGCTGTTGTTGATCCATTGCGCAATGCCATTGATTCCATTCCTGCTGGGGCTGTTTTCCGCTCTGGCCAGCGTTGAGCCGGACCGGTCCGTGGAAGGCGGGGGCCGCTACGGACGCCGGTAGCCGCCATGCTTGACTTTGATCTTATTGGCTTAATTACTTCTACCGCTTTCTTGACCGCCTGCCTAGTGCTCTATACGTGATTACCCAATTTCTCCCTTATCTCAGCATCTCAGACCAAACATTACTGGCTTAGAATACCTAACCAAGTTAGGATCAGCTCAAATGTTTGGTCTGAGGGACACGTCGTAAGACTTGGTGTCAGTATACGCCCGAATGAAACAAATGTTTATATGTCGCCTCGACATCCACATGTGGGTCAGGCCGTACTGGATAAGGCCCGATAAGGCCAGGTCGCATTTACAACGTTTGCACGAGCGCCGGCTTACCGGAACACCAATTCGGCGTCGCGTTCCGGCTGATGCTCACAGGAAGGGCGAGGGATTTTCATGTAACGAAGATTACTCATAGATTAGGGGAGAAGTGAGGGACTTTCCCCTGATGACCATGATGATGAGAGAGCGCTTTGACACGGAGGAGAACAGACAGAGGGCGACCACCATGTGGAGGCAAACTTCATTCCCTAAGGTCATCGCCCAGAATCCGGATAAGTCGCGCTCAGAGTGCCTCGAAATACTCTTCGACACGCTCGAGAAGATCCAGAATGCATTGCCACCACAAGACCGGTCCGAGAGTAGCCTGCGGAACCAGATAATCAGTGCTTGCGAAGCCGTCGAGGAGTGCACACAATGACTATTTAGGCCATCGAGCTCGCTGGAGGGGGTACAGGCGGAGCTGCGATCAGCAGTTGCCATTGCGACAGCTCGATCACAGTCCGGACAATTCCAAGCTTCTGAGGAATACGACGCGTACGATCATCATTGGACTGACCGTACATACGGAGGAAGAGGTCGTGGATACAGCCGCGGGGGCTACGGTCAGGGCAGGGGAATCTATGGGTACAGAAACAACCGTGAATCAGGACCACGAGGAGGATACCGCGGAGCACGACAAGGAAATGGAGGACCTCGTCAGAAGAAATGCTTCATCTGCGGGAAACCAGGATGTTGGTCCAAGTATCACACCGGAGACGAACGGAAACGATCTCTCGAAAACTTCCGCGAGCAGCACTACTTTACGACGGGCGAGTCAGCCACAACACCGGACTTTCAATTGTTCCTGGGTGAATTTGAAGGCTCAGAGAAAAAGGAAGGCCACGACGACGATGATTCACATGAACCAAGCCAGATGCTCGCAGAGTTGACCATTGAGGACGACAATCAGGAGAGATTCTTGACGGAGCCTGGAGGAGTTCATTGACACAGCCATCTTACGACTGCGAGTCGAGGGATGGGTTAAGAGAACGGGATAGGGGACGACGAGATCTACGTGCGAAACGATGCACGGTATGATTGCGGTGGTTACTTGTTACATTCATTTTCTTCATTTTTCCTTTTTGTGGTTGGATTCATTCATTCATTCCTTCCTGTGTTCACGTTCATTGACCTATTTCCTTCTTGTGGCCCCTGATCCCTTTGCACAAAAGAAAAGCTGCCAGTGTCGTGATATCATTCATTTATTCCCCCCTCTCGTGGTTGCGATTATTTTGTTTATTCCTTCCCTGTTATTGCGTTCATTCCTTCACTTCCCTTCTTGTGGTCACGTCCATTTCTTCATTCCCTTCTTGTGGCCCCTGATCCCTTTGCACAAAAGAAAAGCTGCCAGTGTCGGTATATATTCCACTGTGACTTGGCGGCTTCCCTTCTTGCGTGCCGCTCGGCGTTGTGACCGCCGAGGGCCGGTGTGTCACGTGCGGGATCCAGGGGTGTTTACCGCTAGGTCACCTTAGACCTAGAGAAGACACATAGATCATCAACAACCGAATACAATCCACACTTTGATACTATAGCATACCTGTTCACTTTACTGTGTACACAGACCTAGCTGGTGAAACCAACACTTATTTTGTTTCCAATATCAGACTCGGAACCGCTCGTTTATTAGGTTCTCATAAATACAATTATAGACATATATCCAAAGAAAGAGATGACGGTTTAATCCTTGAGTCTCCAGCCACCACTGGTCCGCTTCTGGAAGAAGCCTTGAGGATCATACGCCTTGCGCGTCTTCAGTGCCAGCGCCTTGGAGTCGGGGTGGATACGACCCCAGTAATCCTGGCGGTGGTACGCATCGTTCATGAACAATGGGCGATACACGTCCGGAAGAAGACCCTTCTTGATGTTCTTCTGGATAAGGTTGTCCATGCCCTGGTACAGCTTGACGGTTGCTGCGTCAATCTTGTTGTCGTCGATCGCGAATCCGTAGGAGAAATTCAGCTCGATGATGATGTAGGCCTGGTCGTCAGGGATGCTCATGAGATCCTGCAGATTCTGTTAGTAATCGACTTCTTTTCTAGGTTTGGGGTAGATGTCTTACTCCGCCACGGGCCTTGGCCTTCTCGGAATAGGTCTTGGGCATCGGCTGGAAGGCGATGGAGCCCAGGGCGCCAGCGACTCCGAGAACTGATTTGCTAACATCCTTCCAGTGGTCGTAGTATTCCTGGAGCGGCACGGCACCAACGGTTGAATTGGGGAGGGGCGTGGTCTCGGTGGCGATGACATAGCGTTGACCCCTGTTGCTCGTTAGTGACAAAGGTAACAGCATGCAGAACTGTGTGGCTTACTGAAGAATGAAGAAGTCGTTGTTCTTAAGCAGATCGTAGTAGCTGTTCCAGGTCTTGGTGGTCGAGGTGTGTGGGATGGCAGTGAACTCGTCGAAGACGCCCGCAGGGGGCTCGGGGCCATCGTAGAAAAGGAACATGATCCAGAAGTCAATCACCAGGCCGCGCTCGGCAGTCAGGATGATGGCTCCCTTGTCATCGGGGTACTCGTCGGTGAATTTGCGCACAGCCTCCAAGAGCTGGGGAGTCTTATCAGATGTGAAGATGTAATTACCACCCCAGACCTTGTGGTCCTGAGGGTGAGTCTGCATAGTGTAAGCAGTAACAACTCCGAAGTTGTTACCGCCTCCCTTCAAGCTCATGAAGAGATCTGCTGGGTGTTAGATTGCGTTTCCATGAGAGTCTGAATCAGTCTCACTCACCTGGGTGTTGGGTTTCGGTGGCGTGAACAATAGTGCCATTGGCCAGGACAACCTCGAAATCTATGACGTTGTTCGCAGCCCAACCGTACTGGGTGCTCAGGAAGCTCATGCCACCTACAGTTCATTAGACCAATATCAATGCCAATGCCAATTCCACACACATACCGCCGAGCATGTAGCCACCAACTCCGACTCCGCCCATGCGGCCTCCAACAATAGTCCGGCCAGTTCCGTCGAGACCCTTCTGGGCCTCTTCCCATGTGAGACCAGGACCAATAATAGCAGTGTGGTCCTTGGGATTATAGTCAACCTGGTCCAGGTTCTTAGTCGAAATCAGCAGTCCGTCCTGGATACTCGCAAACCCATTGTTGGGCATGTGTCCTCCACTCTTGATGGCACTAAGTTAGACGATTAGTCGACGTCACTGCTAACACAGAGCAGGGGGACGAACAAGAGGGTGTCCGCATTGTGCAGGTTCTTGATGATCTGGGCCATCTCCGCAGCACTGGATGGGGCTGCAATGCAATTCGGCTTGAGATCGCCGCATGCTGTGGACCAATAATTCCTCAGCTCGGATGTATAGCTCAATGAAAGAGGGGATTGAATCTCAACGCCGCCGGCCTTGAGAGTCTTGCAGATATCGGCCGCCAATGCAGTGGGCGCAAGGGCCAAGGACAGCGCAAAAGCGCGCCATCCGTTGCTTCCAAACATGTTGTCAAATGAGTGTCGACGATATACTAAATGGATTATAGTAGAAATATACAAAAGAAGGGGAAATGGTTCAAAGAGAGACTGATGACGGATGGCCCTGGGGTCAAATTTTCAACCCTAAAGAGACACACGATCAAGAGCAGCTCGGGTACGGGTTCATGAGTTGAGTATATATAGGCCCTCGATAGTTTGAGCCCAACAGACTCCACAATCGGAGGATATTCCCCAAGCCACGGACCGCACCCCTTCATAGACAGCGGGCCCGGCAGGACGGAGACTACATAATACACTGTGGATTGGTAGAGAATTTCTCTGCAGAAGCACTGTTCAGGGATGGAGACCCATCCGAGGACCCGCTGGCCCGGTGCCATCAGGTAAGAGCCCTGGCTGCATATCCCAGGAATGGCTTGTGGGTGGAATATCAAATTGTGACGAGTTCGACATCGTGTCTGTCTGTAGTTGTGGGGCCCGAACTGCAGACTGTGCAGATGGGATGTTGGAAGCACATGGCAATAGAAGAACAACGGCAACGGAACTGCAGAGAAGCCGAGGATGTTCCGCGCTGGATTGAAGCCGTGCAAGTCCCTTCAAACTACTCCGTAGACTTTCGTCTAGCCGAGCTTCCCCTGTGCCGATCTCCCAGCAGGTTCGGCCGTCGCTTTCAGGGAGACGGTACCTCGCAAGCAGTGGGTCCCAATTGGGCGGTATCCTTGGCGACCCACATGCTCATGTTTTTCGATAGGCACAGAGAGACGAGTCTCTACAATGTATCATACGTGTGGAGTGGAGTAGAATCGTAGGGAGTATAAATTCAACATGCGAGCACTTGCGTTATGCGTCGTGCTTAGTTCTCGGCCCAGTGAGGGCCAGTTACCCGTGAGGGGATTGGACTTGACCTTGTGTCGAAATAGGGACGTGACAGGAACTGGTCTGGCTGTTTGCATTCCCCAGAGAAAGCATCTCAACAGCAAACCCTTAGCGGCACTAAGCCACAAAACCATGTGGCAAGTTGGAACTTGGCGTAATTAGCGTTATTGGTACTATGTCTCACCAGTTCACATCGGGAGATGCCAAGCGGAGCGATCAAGTAAGACAAGCGAACAGTCAACAAGTGGAGTGGTCTCGGGTTCGGGGTTTATCTCACCAATCCGAGTACAGCATAAGGCGAAATGTGCGGGGGATCATCATGATGGGTTCCTGAATTCTCGTTAGCGGACACGATATTGATCAAGCTCGGGCCATGCCTCGCTTAGACAAGACAGGAAAAGATGTCCGTGACATGTCGAGTTTCAATGGTTTCCTGCATGTCTTTGCTAGATCGATACGCCAAAATCCCATCTCGATGTTCGTTGGCATCACATGAAGCCCAATGCGGTTCGGACCGTAAATTGACCGAGGTGAGTCTGTCAATGCCCTTAAACGATAGCGAATACGTTATCTGCCGCTCTCCTCTGGGGATTACTGCTGATCTTTGTCAATCTTTGTCAATGTTGTATTTCGGCTAGTATATAAATAGTTTCCAATGGAGATTGCGGGGAATTAAGATCGACAGGGACCTTTTGACGTTTCCACGGTTTCATGGCTGATTGAAGTAGGGCTGCGTATTGGGCATTCGAAGAGGAATCGGAGTACGACGGCAATCACTTCGCGGGCATTTAGCCCGATAGGTCAGAGCCCATCAGACCAAGCAGTTGGGTGAACTAGTATCATTGAGTGAGATTATGTGCAGCCCAGGGCCACCATGCACGATGACATAGTACGTGGATGGACATGCGGCCATGCCTGTCTTCAAGCTCGCTCCGCCGATGCGGTTTCGGAGCCCTCCGAGTGTGGAGGTACTGTGCGCCGACCACAGTAAAAGCCATGGATGAGAGGGCATAGGGAGTTCGGGCGCCATTGTCCCTTGGCAAAGGTGTTGTAGAAGGAGGTTCTGTCGATCATTCGTTAGGGGAAATGACTCCGTTGATCTTTGGGTTTCCTAGTGTCTTGGCCTTGGCTTGGAGGTTGCGATATTATGCGATGAGCAGCAATAAGGAGTATCATCCCTGAGTTATTATTCTCATTTTTGAGAGATGGGCTGACCGACATATTCCCGATCGGAGCGGATTGGGTATGTTGTATCTTCAAGCAAGCTACGAGGTGGATCCAGGTCCAACATATGAGAGAATGCCCACTGGGTCCTAGGGATTGAAAAATGTAGACTGTGTGTTCACTGTGTATGTATTCACCCAATTGGGAATACCATCATATGCGAAGCTGCTGGTATCGTCTCCGAACGTCCAAGGGCCTTTTGCCTTTGAGTTAGAGTCTTCCCAAAGGCACCCCAGCCGACGACGCACTCAAATATCCATACATAGTCTAGACTCTAGTCTCGAGACACAGCCAGCCGAGCTTCGGCGACTATAAAGCATTCCATCAAGTACATTTCCACGGAGCGTTAGGCCATTGCGGGAGTAGGAGAGGCAAATCATCACTCGTCCGATGTTGAGAACATGGATAGAGGCATAGTGGCAGTCTGTCAATAGCAAGAAAAGCGATGACTCCAAATGACACATACTATTCAGCCACCAAACTATGGCAGAAATGGAGTTCTCTTCGATGAACTTGATCTCTCAATGTTGATAATCGGATCATCGGTCTAACTGTATTCCGAGATCACGGGATGAGTAGTGACACCGCCCTAGGCGTAGGCGGTATTGAAACTGCGGGCAGAATGACCTAGTTTTCGAGCGACAGTAACATCAAACTCGTCAAGCTCTGGCCATGGCACTTATACGAATAGGGGCTTTACAGAGGCTGACTGGTGGGAACTGCTCACCTGTGCTCTGTCAATGGAGAAATAATCGCACAAGATGTCTGTCCACCCCGCTAGCCACCCACCTCCACGGAGTATCTGGGAGGCGACACTTTGTGTCGTCGGCGAGAACATTGCAGTCAGCTGAAGCTGCTCCCACGGACAACGAGGTATGGAGCATCATACGGAGAGAGGAAACTCGCGCTAATGTGATTTCGATGCTCAGCAGCAACAGCAACCATCCGACGCGGAAAAACCACCACCCCCAATCGATGGCAATCTCCTCCTTCGGTCCCAATTTGAATTGCATGGAGATATTCGCGAGTATCTACGGAGATGGCAAAATACAAACCCCAATGATTTGGATCCCGTGCGCCAATCGAAATACCGAGGCCCGCTAGAACCAGTACTTGGAACGCTGGGAACGATGCCTAATGGCCGTGACGCGATAGAGTCTTGGGGTGATCCGAACAAGTTGAATCAGGATGATAAAGCTGAATTCGAAGGTGAACATCTCGAGCAAGGGGATCTGGTTGCCAGGTTAAACGCAGATGGAGTTTTCAATTATGGAATCTACGTGCGGTCGGTTCACAAACAGAAACAGTTCTACGGTGTCAACGGGAACTGGCGCATCTGCTCGAACGCAGAACTCGACTATGTCATCAAAGGATTTGCACCTCCTGAGCTGGTTAAGCCTCTGATCCCATGGTTTCCAGATGGCGAGGCTATCGCGAATACGGATCTTCAGTTGGCCCCCGAGGGCGGCCTTCCGAGACCCCTGGGGGCTCCTCTTTTGAGAATGCTGGGAAATTTCAAGACCCATGTCCTGAAATTTTACAGAGAAAATTCCGACAAGCTGGACACGCTTCATGAGCGGGTGGCAGATGATGCCGAGGTCCTCTGCTTGAGTCTCGAAGACTTGACAATGACTGCTCTGGACATCGACGAATCGGAGCTGACTAGCGTCAATCTGTTTGCTGTTCACCAGGCTGTTCGTCAACATCCTTTCCTCATCGAGAAGGATTCCACCTCTTTGTTCAGCCGCATGTATATCGTGCAGCCAAAACGAATCGCCAACATTGTCACACAGGTTGTTGATTGGACTCACGAACACCAAGAGCATTGTATTCGTGCTACCATGCGCAAAGAGACACCGGGGGCTAAAACCCACCCTATGCACCTGTTTTTGATCAAGGCACAACGGATGATCCGCCTTAGCAGAAACGTCCGCTCTCCGACTATCATGTCTAGCCTGGGACCTTCTTCCCAGAGGTTTACACCGGGTCAGGATGGTAAACCACAGGTTTTCCGTGAAATCATCACCGAGAAGTTCGACCAAAATGATCAGAAAATCATTGAATATTTACAGCTGTTCTGCATTCCCGCCGTTGTCATGCCGTCTGGCACGTTGAGATCAACTGCAACTCATATCATGCGGGCCACGGGGATGTACAACACTCTTGGTCTGAGCGAGGCTTCAACCCGTCTTTTCTTGCAGGAGATGGGCGTGATATCGCCTTGGGAGAATCTCTATCCTCTGGACCAATATCTGATGCTTCCTGGACATGGCATGTCCCTCACAAAAGACTTGGAATTGGAAGATGTCGAGCTGACCTGCAGCAACCTCACTGCTGGCAAGTTGCAAGATTCTATGCAAGATCTCAGAAAAGATTGGGGAGATTTGCCAGTCTACTGTGTGGATGATCTGACCGCACAAGAAATCGATGACGGTGTGTCATTAGAGCATGTCCCAGGCTCTCATAACACATTCTGGATACACGTTCATGTCGCCAACCCGACGGCCTTCCTCAGACATGATGACCCCATCATGGAGTACGCACAATCACGAATCCTCACCACATACATCCCAGAACGCACTTATCCCATGCTCCCCAAGTCCCTTACTGAGCCTCACTTCAGTCTAGCGGCTGGCCGGCCTGTACTCACATTCAGTACGAAGATGAATCTTCGCGGAGAAGTCCTGGACAGCAAAATTCAAAACGGAACGATTCGTAATGTCATCAGCATCACTCACCAAACACTGCGTGAGTTCTTCGATCCCGATTACGAAGAAACCCCAGTTTCTTTGACAGTAGGTGGCAATTTCACCGAGCCACCAGTCCCAGAGGGCAAAGTTATTCAACAAGGCCTGCGACCGGAGGACAAGGATAAATTCCACATCATGCGGCGACTCATGCTCGCATTCCGCAACACCCGCAGGAAGAATGGCGCCATGGACCTGACCCCGCTGAGCCCAGACCTCTCCGTCGCAGTCCAGACAGGCAATGCTCCGATGGCACCGTACGAGCTACAAGCCACCGACGGACGCATCTATCTCGGCGACCCAATCATCCGCCTGACTATGCACAACTACGATCCATACGAGGTTCGTGACGAATCCCGCTCCGATCTGATCTCCCTGATCATGAATCTGGCCGGCTATATCTCCGGTCAATTCCTCTCTGCGCGCAACATCCCTGCCGTCTTCGACGGTACCTGGTACGACCCGGAATACGGCCGCGTCACCAGGGCCAACCTGGCCAAGTTCGGCGGCGAGAACTTCTACGAGCTCAGCGCCCCGCTGGCTTATTCTTCCTCCTCACCGACTAAACACCATACGCTTGGCCTGGACACGTATGTCAAGAGTACCAGTCCGCTACGCCGATACACTGATATCATCGCGCACTATCAAATCGAGGCTGCATTGCGTTTCGAGCATGAACACGGCCGTCAATTCGACGCTTTGGTTGACAGTCCTGATTCTGTGGAGAGCTATCTCGCAGAGGACGAAGCTGCTCTGGCTGAGACAGCTGAGGCTGACCCAACTGAGTCTCCTGATGAACTCCAAAATGATCAGGAAAATCTCCCTACCTATCTCCTCCCCTTCTCTAAATCCGACGTCGACGCACACCTCCATTACTCTCAACCCCTCCGCACACGTCTCAAAAACTTGGACAAATACTCTGCCCAACACTGGGCTTGTATGCTTCTTTTCCGCGCATTCTATTTCTCCGAATGCTCTCTTCCGGAAACCTTCCCTACTCTGCTCCGTACCCCGCGCACCAAGCCGAGACATCTGGATCCTGAGTATGCCGGTGTCATCACCAATCTTGGTGTGGATTGCTCTGTGACTATTCCCGAGGGCTTTGCCGATAAAGATAAGTTGGGTATCTTCTGTCTGGTCGAAGCCCGTATCACGGCTGTGGATATGGCGACTTTGCGGGTTACGATGGAGGCGACTCGGTTTGTGAAGCCGTTTGAGAGGACAGGCGAATGGGCTTGAACTTCGGTAGTCTGACTACCGTGTATTATACTGTATCATATCCTCTAAAAGGCATCGCCAATCATATTCAGGTGGAAAACATTGGTTTATATGTTGGTCCTATATTAGGTATTAGGTACATGCATGCTAGGCACTCTACACCGCCTATATTAATGATTAGAAGTCAATCGGACGTTCAGCCATCTCAGTCTGCCTGCCCGGCCAAGCATACTTCTCGCCCTGAGGAACATGTCTCTTGGTGCGAACAGACGGCAGGAGATCGATGACAAAAGAAAAGACAAAGAATGCGAAGATGAGCGCGGCGACTGCTAGGTTAGCTTCTTCATTCTGAACAGCCATGGAGACCAAAGGCTTGCACTTACCCCATTCCAGAACAGCGGAGGCGTTCTTCTTATCGTCAGAGTTCTGGGTCACGCCAAATGCGATCGCGACGGCGAGCTCGCAGATCACGAAAGCAGCTTTGATCCCGAAGCTGACTAGGAGAATCCGCGCTTGGGGGTGGTAGAACCGGCCAATCCAGATGTACTCTAGACACACCAGAATCGCGCAGACCACGTAGCTTGCACTGTAACCCAGTTAGTCTTGAATCCAAATTTGCAATGACTGAAGGAAGGGGCTGGTTTACATGAACATAGCCAAGAACCCTTGGTGCAAACGATGGTGATGTTTCGTGTCAAAGATGGACAGCAGAATTAGACCTAGGGCACCGGCAATCGAGAAAAATATCGATCCAATCGCGCACGACTTGTCGAATCGGCCTTTGTTCCGCGCGAGCTGTCCGGCATGTCGAAGCCAGCGCTCAGAGAGCAGGGCCAAGTCCAAGAAGACGACGGTCACCACGCTGCCGACAATGAAGAGCGGTTTCAGTCCTTCGGCGCCAATGTGCGAGATATAACTGTTTTCAACTTAAGTATATGCTGTCAAATGCTTCTTTTTCTTCAGACTCACGGAATGGTCATCCCCACGCTCATGGTACTGTAAATGGGCTTTCCATCCGCCGCCCAGGCTGCCAGCAAGGCTACCAGGGTAGCTATGAAGCTGTCAGTAATGCCATTGACCTTAGAAGTCGTTTAAATTTGAATCGGATCAGCCCTTACCTATCCACATGCATCCCGCGACCACGGGAAATAACCAGAACGAGATTATCCACATGGTGGCGGTGGCGCGATCGCTCGGGTACCTGGCGCTTGGAAAGAATTTGGGAATTCTCGTCCGGGAAAAAGCGCTTTTCTATTATTGGTCGCAAGGGATGCTCCTGATACCTCCTGGAAATTCAAACGAATGTGTCGCGTCGGTTTACACAGTTAAGTCAGGGGTTGCGCGCAAGGAGGAAAATGCCAAATCTACCACGATAACCTGGTGAAAAATCGGAAACCCAGAACTGCAACCCCACAAGAGTCTGGATTGCCTTTGGATCTCAGAAGTGACCCTGTGGTAGCCTGGTAGGGGAGGGAACCTCTAAAAATCTCAGATTGAGCTCCGATGGACGCGTCGGATCGCGGCGGATGTGTAGATGACATCAGCAAGTTGGGTGGGGAGCTCTCGAGACGCGATCTTCGAGTCACCGATGGAACATCAATATAGACTGAGATTTGTGTTGCATTAGAAAGCCAAGCTTGGTGGAAAGCTTGTAGAAAACTCATTAACTTCGTGTTCGGTATGCTTTTCTGATCAATCACGCCGAGGCAGACAAATCGCTATCAAATGCAAAAAAAAGATACAGGACTCATAGATTCTCCATCGCTCGTATTAGATCCTCCAACGTCTGGCTGTTGGCAGCACGGGTATTGGAAGGATTGACCCTCATTGACACTTGGCGTACCACGTAATCCGCCGACAAAGAAGCCACATCTGTCGCAGACCACAGGTCGGTATTCAAATGCTTGAAAATCGCAACCACTTTCATGGGTATCAATGCAGGATCCGGATCGTTGGATTTGAGGACCAACTCGATGGTCCGGAGGAAGGCTTTGCTTAACCTGCCCCATCCGAGACTCATGTGCCAGAGACCAATCACGCAGCTTTCGAGGACGAGAGCCCATTTTGGATCGTTCGCGTCTAATCTCGAGGCTCCGTGGACACCGGCAAAGCAGTAGTAATGCAGCATTACGATTGGAACGGATTTCCAACCATGTCGATGTTTGAAGAGGAGAATCAGTGAGCCGATGGCTTCCATGGCGTCGGATTTCACGAGGTCGAAGTCAACCTCCTCGACGGCTCCGTCGGACTCGACATGTGATTTTGAGGTTGATGTCAGGAGATCGGTGACGAATAGCACAGTTGTGTGGTAGTAGAAACTGACGAATTAGTAAAAAGACTGGTAATCGCGGGATAGAACCCTTACTGTAGACAGAGGATGTGCGGGGTGGTGTTGTATTCAGGCTGAACGGGGTGTGGTAAGCTGGCTTTCCAATGCACCAGCCTTTGGTAGATTTTCCAGCAGTAATCTTCATCGTCACTGGTCATAGTTTTTCCGTCGAGGTTCATGGTGAAGATGGAAAGCTCATTTACGATGACTGCAAGCGCACTCCGAAAGTGGAGGGTGGTATAGTAATATGGTCGAGAAACAGGACCCTCGAAAGGATACGACACCCACTGTATGTCTTCATCAAGCCTAGACGCTTGTTTCAGCGAGCAGCGCAAGGGTGGTGGGCTTGTCCACAGAGACAACTTCCGGTACACCTGAGAGGCTATTCTGTCCGATTGGTTAGCCAACGCCACAGTAAAGGAAGCGAGCTACTTACGTTTGCACATCATAGATGCCCCATGAGATCATTTCCTGTGATGCCTCTTCCGGCGCGAGATCGCGTTCTTCATCGCTATTCTCGCTCGACGAAAACTGATAAAAATCACTATGGAAACGTTGTTGAGAATATGATCTTGCCCCATGCATGATGAACTGTGTGCCCAATCTATCAAGGCCAAAGGTGCAGGCGAGTAACCCAAGCAAAAGACCAGATTGTATAGTAGGGATGTCTGGATTTGCTTTCCCCTTTTCCCAGAGACGCTGGATTTCGTTGTAGAGCTTTTCACCCAGCATTTTCTCCTCTCTTCGATCAGTGACATGATTTAATCTGTAGGAGAAGCTCTTTAAATGGTCAGCAAAAGAAAGCAAACCGCAACACGGCGGATACATACACATCCATAGAAGAGCAACACATGGACCAGCAAGCGAGAACAGTACTTTCCGCGGCGGTTTTCCAGGTCTTGGAGAAACGGAGCCTGCTCTACCAGGTGCCAGGTCGGGTTCTCCCACATAAAATAGAATGATAATAGGTGGCTCGCAGTGTCATTGCGAACAAGCGAGGTCCAGTAATCGATTGAGTTGACTTTGACAGGAGGTTCCTTAAGGACTGGCCGTGAGAACGGACTATCTTCAGAGACGTATTCGAAGAACATGTGATCTAATGAGATGCGTGAGCATGACACTGGAATATGATGCTTCGTCAGAGACTCTGAAGCAAGAAGATCCGCGAAGACATCTGGTGATTGCTCGAAATGCTTCTACTGATACATTAGCTAGAGATTGGGGCACTTCAGCAGCCATCGGGGCGTCAAACCTTGAACACATTCTGAATTGAGATATTCCCATGTATGGAGGCCTGAGAAGCAACCTCGGCGAGCAGTTCTTCATAGACTTTGGTTTTCTCCTGCAGAGACTGCAAATGCATTCGCTGGTGATCCCGCTTAGAGGAGGTATAGGTACAGACTCGACCCATGCGCTGGCAGCTCTGGCATTTCGGGCGTCTGCCGTCACATTTGGCCTTTTTGCTCCGGCAAGCAGTGCAGGCCTGTGGGGTACGCAAATGTTTTATTTCCCGAGCCTCACTGGATAATCGAGGGATAGCAACCTCGCTACCAGGAGCCTCTAGAGGTGTGCCGGGGACCTTGGAAGAAGATCCAGATGAGAGACTCTGGCTCATCAGTCCTTTCATTTAGGTTTCCCTAGCTGTACTGCTTTGACCGAGAACATGAAGCTCGCCCAGCCTCGACCTGCCCCCATTGGCGCACACCATCGGCGCCAAGAGATCTAAGTCACGTGCTCCGCTCGGAGGAGCAGTGACAAGCACTGAAGAATGCCTGCCCGGCATTCTTCCTGATAAGACTGTACTTCATTGTAGGATTAAGAAGGGTTAGGAGACCTCGGTATGAGGTCAGGATGGATTAAGGAAGAGAGTTGAGAGCATTGACAAAGAAGAGAAAGGATTGTGGTCGTACCAAGTCACGTGATGATGCATATAATTGTTGGGTCGGTGACGTAGGGCGGCAGGGCCCATCTAAATACCCCGCTGTTTATTTGAGGACTAGAATTGGATCGTAATAGAATGTATTGATTTGATTTGATTCAGTGGCGTATTCCGAAGCTATGAGTTACAGTATACAGTAGTTAACGCCTTGACGGGACAAGGAATCCATCATTTACCTACAACGCAGTAGTTACTCCATAACCAATGTCGTAGAATAATAGCTGTTGATCTACACAGTACTACTGTAAACAATGTACAGGTACCATGGTACGCCATACCAAAATAAACAAGAACAACTGAACAAGGCATATGGCATGAAACTTTACAGTGACCTCATTTCCATCTACCGTGGTTGACCATCAAACTGACAAGGATATTCCTGGTACAAATATAGCTGCCTACTGTAGGTGTCCCCTGTATATGCATATGTCTTGGCAGGACAGGGCTGAAACATGACGCAATTGGAGATTTTGATATGACTTCAAACCAAGGATCTTGACCTGGTTTGTATGGATTCCATAGAACCAGCTTAAATCATACGCTCTGTGACAGAACCCTGATTTCAGTGGCTGAAGGCCTAATTAACCCTTGTATCCAATAAGATGTCATGATAGCTCAATGTGAGGCGATTTGTGGCTTGTGTATAGTTTGCTATGGTCCGTATGTTGTACACCACGACATCAGGAAACACCAAATTTGCGTCATGGGAGCGTTTGTTTGGATCTCTTTGCAACAGGCTTGTATAAATACCACCTCAGTTCTCAACCTAGGAAATTCATTTCTCACTTCTTCATCTCCCCATCCAACCATACCTTCACCAAACTACTACTTTCATCAACTTTATCAAAACAGTCACTATGGATCTCCTTCATAAGGTTGAAGACGCCATTACCGGCAAGAAGCATGAGTCGCCCGAGTCGACTCAGTCTTCCAACTATGGACCCCACTCGTCCAAGTTGGCCAACAAGCTTGACCCCCGTGTTGACAGTGACAAGGGTATGTCACCATCCACCTTTGATCCTTCCTTCAGCAAGACTAACCATCTCAGACAACCGTGCTGCCCACACTGCCCACACTGGTATCGATGACTCTCACATTGGCAAGTCCAAGGACTTCGGTAGCGGCACTGGCACTGGAACTACCGCTGCTGGTACCACCACTGGCACTCATGCCTCTGGTCTAGGCCCTAGCACCACTGGCGCCCACGGAGTCACTGGCACTCACGGCACTACTGGCAGCACCAACGTTGGCCCCCACAGTTCCAACATCGCCAACAAGGTCGATCCCCGCGTTGATTCTGACCGCGACAACCGCGCTCGCCACGAGGCCATGGCTACCTCCGGTACCACTGGCAGCGCCACTGCCGGTCCTCACAGCTCTGACATTGCCAACAAGCTTGATCCCCGTGTCGATTCTGACCGCGATAACCGTGGCCACCACCAGCCTATGACTGGTACTGGCACCGGTGCCGGTTTGACCTCCACTCACGGAACTCACGGTACCACTGGCACTCACGGAGTCACCGGCACACACGGAGCTACTGGTACCCACGGAGTCACTGGCACTCACGGAGCTACTGGCACCCACGGCGTCACTGGCACTCATGGCACTACTGGCAGCACCAACGTTGGCCCTCACAGCTCCAACATCGCCAACAAGGTCGATCCCCGCGTCGACTCTGACCGCGACAACCGTGCTCGCCACGCGGCCATGGCTACCTCCGGCACTACTGGCAGTGCCACTGCCGGTCCCCACAGCTCCGACATCGCCAACAAGCTCGACCCCCGCGTCGACTCGGACCGTGATAACCGCGCTCAGCACCATGGCGTCGGCAATACTGCCACCACTGGCATTGGCGCTACCCACGGCACCACTGGCACCCACACATCAGCCCTCGGAGGCTCTGGTCTCGGCACAAGCACTGGCGCTCACGGCACCACCGGTACCAGCTACAACACCCCCGGCAGCAGCGCTACCAACGCCGGTCCGCACAGCTCTAACCTCGCTAACAAGCTCGACCCTCGCGTTGACTCGAGCCGCGATACCCAGGCCCAGCACCACGTTGGTGGTACTACTACCGGTGCGGGTACACACACTTCGACTCTTGGAGGCGCTGGTCTCGGCACTGCTGGTCATGGTGCTCCGGCTGGTAGCAGCTACAATACTCCTGCTACTGGCACTACCGGTACTGGCATCGGCTCCACTGGTACTACCGGTACTACTGGTACTACTGTGCACAGCTCGAACATCGCCAACAAGCTGGATCCCCGTGTCGACTCGGATGTCACCCGGGCTCAGAATGAGGGTGTTCAGCGCAAGTTCTAGATGGCCAATGGCTACTTGACTTTGCTTTGCTGCACTATTGAACTTTCATGACGCTACGACTTTGAGATTATCAGCAGGCGAATTAGTCTTTTTACCAATACCAGAATACCAGAATCGGAATTGATTCACTAGCAGAATCGGATGGTTTAGCTATTATCGGAATTCAATCGATTATTCAAATCTTCTTCTATGTATAAACTATATGTAGTGTACGAGGTAAGTCTACAGCTTCTAGTCACGAGGTAGTACGTTGATCAATGACTTGAACTTTGTATATTATGCCTTTGATAAAGCTAAGAGAGTCGAGGTAAGAATGAATGACACAACTAGAGACCTTGCTGCTCCCAAACGTCGCTTGAGATATATCTCAACTGATCAGGAGAGATATCAATCTTATGCTCCGGCGAGACTGGTTGTCGACAAAACAACTCTTCAAACTCAATTGTCAAGGGCACTTCCGGGCTAACGGTAATCTGTTCGCCGCGACGGGATACCATAATGGTCTGTCGTATGGTTGTGACGTAGCGGGAGTGTCGTAAGGAGCCGACATCCAAAACAACAGTCTCAAACTTGATACCAGGAGTCTTTCTATTGATAGACACGATGATCACAAGCTTCACCTCACCCCTTGAATTCGACAGCCACCATTCGGCATCCGCCTTCAACTTCCCGTAGGAGTCAGAGACCCCAATTTCTACCGCAACGGTTGGCCATTTTGCATCGCGTCCTGGAACAGGTTGCTTAGGGGCCCCATGACTCGTCGGCCTCCTTTGAGGAAGACACACCCCGGACACGGGTAGACCCTAGCGGCAGAATCGATCGATGTAGGTCCATACCGAGTAGGATGTATTGTACTTCACAGAGTAGGGCGCGGGAAGCTGTCTGATGGGCCCCAGTTACGAGCTTTAAGATCATAGATTGAGTATCGTAATTGAACATATGTCGAGTGGAGCTTGAAGATATCTCTTCCGCGACGGTTGGGGGGACGTTTGTGAAGAGTAGGTATTTTATCACGTCGATAGGAAGGTTCTGTTGCTGTCTTGTGATCCTTCGGATAGTTTTGGTCTCTAACCCGATGGCTTCGAATGTGTCATCTGGTAATTCTTGGAAGCATTTGATGTCGGGTGAGTCCGAGCCGGACATCTCTGGATACCCTGACATGGTGGTTAAGGTGTTTCCGATGTGGTATCCTGGGACAGAAGGTGCTGACCGGCGTCTGAGAGGTATTATTAGTAAGTATCTAAAGTTTGGAGGATGGAGTCATCCTTACCTTATCACTTGGAAGTTGGAGGAGCTGACCGACCTAGAGAGTGAGATGAAACAAGAGATGAGAAGAGAGAGGCTATGGAAGGGGAGTAATGGTAAGAGAGGTCAGAGGAGGAAGGTGCTGGCATCTCTGTGGAATAAGGAAGGAGCGATGATAGGTTTGTATGGTTTGATTTAGGTATAAAGTTTAGTAGTACAGTATTGGTACGGTATATGTATGTTCGACTCAAACCCCAAAAACCTCCTTCACGAGAGCCTTCTTATTGACTATAACAAAGTCAGTGGATTTCAGGTACAGAAAAAGAAGAGAATCTCACCTTTGCCCATAGCATTCCGCGGAATTGCCTCCAAAACCTTCATCTCCTGCGGCATCTTAAAAGAAGCAAGACGGTCCTTCAACGCCCGTCGCATATCCATCGGTCCCCACCGACCAGTCCGACCCGAAGCAGCTGCATCGGCAGAGAGAACAACCACTGCAACGACCTTCTGTCCCCACCGTTCAGAGGGTAGACCGACGACAGCAGCTTCTGTGATTTGGGGACTGGATCAGCGTTAGCGGAATACTTTCCCGGAAAGAAAAGAAAAACATACAGAGAAAGTAACTCCCTCTCAACCTCCAAAGCGCTAACCTTCTCAGCACCCGTCTTGATAATATCAACGCTCTTCCGTCCCTGAATGAAATACATAGCTCCCCGTGCCCAGTCCCCACTCCTTCCACTCCCAGCACCATCAACTACTTTGCGCAACGCCACATCTCCAGTACAGAACCACGGTGCGCCTCCATCGTCATCGACAAAGCTCTCCCGCGTCGCTTTCTCATTACCCCAGTAATGGCTGAAGATCGATGGCCCGCGCAGCTGGATCTCGCCTTCGCGTTCGCGGCCGTTGGCATCCACCGCGTTCTCTGGGATTATCTCCCCCGTCTCGAGATCGGCTAGTCGGGCTTCTACGCCTGGTAGTGGCCAGCCGACGCTGCCGTCTACACGGTCTGCATTGTCGAGACCGCAGCTGATTGCCATGCCGACTTCGGTCATGCCGAAGCGTTCGAGGAGGATGTTGCCGTTGCTTAGGGTTTTCCAGGCGGATTTTGTCGGGGTTGGGAGGGCGGCGGAGCCGGAGATGTTGAGCCGGAGGGTTTGTGGGGAGATGCCCTTTTTGGCGGCTTTTTGGGTCTCCTCGGGCAGGTTGGGGAAGGTGGTCATTAGACGGTTGTAGATTGTTGGGACGGCGGTGAGGAATGTGATGGGTGGTTTGGTGTTGGATGGTAGGAAGGGTGCTGCGAGTCGTTTCCAGACTTGTTCTGGGTGGAAGGGGAACATGAACTCGATGGAGGAGCCTGCTACTAAAGGTGCGAGAATTGCGTTTACCACGCCGTGGATGTGGTGGAGTGGGAGTAAGTGTAGGAGTCGGTCATTTGGTGTGTACTTCCATGCTTCGAGGAGTGATGATGCTTGCGCTGCCAGTGCGGACTGTGGGATCAGGACGCCTTTCTGTTCTCGAGTTAGCCATTGGCTTTGATACGAGCGAATCGAATTGATCCTACCGGTCTATTCGTGGTGCCGGATGTGTATAGCATCATTCCACCGGAGGGCTGTTTGAGATCTTGCAGGCTTACGCTCTGATTTGATGCGCCCTGTGTGAGCTTATTCCGGACGTTGAACATAGGCTCATGCTCCAATCCCTCCCGCAAGATCTCCATGCCCTTATCAGCATACTTCTCAGTCGCCAGCAGCATTTTCGCCTGAGAATTATCCAGAATATACTTCAACTCCCCAGTCGGAAACGACGGGGAAAGCGGGAGCGCAATGGCATCAGTAGCAAAGATCGCCAGCAACGTCACTATAATCCATTAGCATCCAATCCGACTTTTCCTGGTTATTCAAGTTCAACATTACCTACGTAGTCATAGCTATTCTCCGCGAGAAATGCCACCCGCTCGCCGACCAATTGGCCCTGCGCCGCCGCAGCCTTTCGTTCCAGCTCCTCCTTAGTCCGGACAACGTCGGCAATTAGACCACCATAGGTAAATGACCGAGCTGACAGGCTATGCACGACAGCCAGGCTTTCAGGGTCATGTTTCTGAAGTGCCTGGAAGATATGCGTATTTGGTAGAGTCGATACGAGTCTCGCGGAGAGCGCGGACATCCGCGGAGTGTGGAAGACGCGCGCCCGCGAGCGCGAAAGCAGGGAGAGCAAGCTGCTCGGCATGTCGAATGGGGATATGTCCTAGATATAATATTTCAATTCAAATCAGGTCATTCCATTCCAGAGCAATTGAGGTCAGGCGAAGGACAGACTTGATGTCATGCGACTAAAGTTCCGCGGAAGTCAGAAAAAACCTCCGATTGGCGACTTTCAACGGGACAACGGACTTTGCGCTCTCCCTTTTCTACCTCCCTTTGCTTTGTATTTCTCAATGCTTCCTCGCTGTCTTCCGGGTTTGATTCCCCGTCGTCTCTTCTCTGCTTCTGCTAGAATGGCCTCTACCACGCCGTTGGAGGATGTGATGCGTGATAAGGTGGGTGGGCTCCATGCTCCATGCTGTTGATTACTTCGACTAATGTACTATTTCTATAGATCGCCCACGCATTCACGCCCTCGAAACTCCAGATCCGGAACGATTCCCACCTCCATGCACACCACGCTGCTATGGCAGGGTCGGTCTCGAGGGAGACGCATTTCCAGTTTGTTCTCCCTACCCCGAAAACCGCAGTACGAATGGAAGCCTAAATATCGCACAGTGTAACGATCGTCTCCGATGCGTTCGAGTCGAAGATGCAAGCCGCTCGCCACCGCATGGTATATGCATTGTTCAAGGAAGAGATGGCTCGGGAGGGTGGACTGCATGCGCTGCAGCTGAAGACGCAGACGCCAGCTGAGGAGCAGCATGAGAAGGAGCGGAAGGGAAAGGCATAGCGGATTGGATTCGGCGTTCGGTGCTCGTTTTCTTCTGTGTCAGTCTGTCGAGTCGGATACCCCAGCTCGTATGTGTCATTACATTGCATAAATTACTATCCCACGTCATGAATTGAGCCACATGCGCGAAGCAATCGATTATTAGACGGTATTACATAGGATTAGCGCCAAATAGGGTGCCGACAGAAAGCAACTATCTAGTATATACATCCATGCGCCGCGACGTCAGCCCGAATTGCCGACTCATCAAGGGTGGTCGCGGCGGAGCAGCTGTACACTAGGTGCAGCTAGGAGGCAAAAACACAAGGAAACGATTTGGAAGGCATTGCTTTTACACAAGAGAGAAAATGCGAAGGGTGGTATAACAACGAGGGAACAAAGACAAATGGGAAGATGCGGAGATACGTCAATCCCCGAAAAAGGTCGTACAGGGAGAGGTAGGAGGGGATGCAGTGCGACAAATTAGTTTCCACTCGCACTCTTGTTGGCCTGGGTAACACCGACAGCCACACCGACGACGATAGCGATAATGATAACTGCAACTCGGTTAGCGGAGCACTCAACCTTGCGCAGACATGATAAGTACTTACTGATAATAATCAAAGCATACCACTTCCAGCGCCGAGCGTTCTTCGCGCTCTGGATAGCACTGTCAAGCTTGGTGTTGGCCTGCTCGACATTGCGGTGTGTCTCCTCCGCACCCTGCTGGATCTGTTGAACTGCGGGCTCCTGCTGGTGCACCAGCTCAGCGACCTCATTGTAGAGATGGCTGAGTTCGATCAAATCTTGCTCGATCTTGCGGATGGCCGCGGAACGCTGCAGAGTAGCCTGGCGGGCATCGTTGGCCTGGCGGGTGCGAGTGCCGGGAACCTATTCGACCGTTAGCAACCGGACCAGCCCTCCTCACTCGGGTATAACATACAACAAAGCTCTGCTCCTGTCCCATCAAAACATTCTGCACACCCTGCTCCAACTCCTCCGGGGTCGCCTCGGGGTTGGCAATCTCGTATCGGCGGCGCACTTGATCCTCCAGACGCTTCTGGAAGTCGCTCTGTGTGCGCTGGTACTGCTCAATCTCGCGGCGCAGGTTGCGGCTGACGTTCTCAACCTGGCCCTGCACGCGCGAGTCGCCAGAGCCTGGGGTCTCCTTGACGCGCTTGAACTGGTCGCGCAGGTAGCGGAGGGCGGTGTTGATCTCATCCTCAATGTAGTCCAGTGTTTGGCGCGAAGACTGGTCCTCCTTGCCGGTGCTTGAATCCAGAAGCGCCTTCTGGGCTGCGACCAGCTGGGTCTCGCGCTTTCTGGTCAACTCAGCGATGCCCTCGTTGATCTCCTTGCACTTGTTCAGAATTGAGGTGGGGCCACCGGAGGAGGCTTGGTTGATGTTGGACATTTCTGGTGGACGAGGATGTTAGTGTCGTCGCGAGGTGAGATCTCCCGGATCAACGTACCATAGCCTCCATTGCCCTGTTCCATGGCACCAGCCTGGCCATAACCACCCCCATATCCATAGCTCTGTGGCTGTTCCTGGGTAGCGTAAGGATTGCTCTGCTGTTGGCTTCCGTACGGGTTATATTGGCCGTAGCCGCCAGAAGCATTGTTGTCCCCTAAGCTCTGGTACTAGGGAAATTTGGGTCAGAAAGCAGATTCCATGTAGATCTTCAAAGGGGTTCACTCACACTCATTGTGTGTGGATTGATCAGGGTTCTTTGGGAGTGTAGTTAGGGGGGGAGATGAAGGAGGGAAGGGTGAGACGGGAGAAGTGGAGGTGCGGCAGAAGCGCTGGCGGTGTCAAGTTCAGCAAGACCAATAAGCTCCGGGGGTTAGTCGCGTTGAAGAGCTTGAAGAGCTTGAAAGAGCGGAATTAAGCATTCAAAAGCGTTTAAATTGGTTTAAAATAGTTATTTAAGGAGTCAAAAGTGAGTTGTCTGAGTGTCTCCCCTGTTTTAACGAATTTTCCACAGGTGCACCGTTCCTGCACTAGCACAAAATGTACAGCCTCCTTGCAAGTTTACAGTGGAGTCTCATTCACCCTGTGTGGCTGTTCTATTTCAGACAGATTGACCTGATTCGGTGGGCGGATACTTCTGCCAAGTACTGGGTACTTGCATTTGCGTGGGTAACCCCACTTCGTTCAAAGTATACAGTACTTTGAGATCTGCTGTGGCGATTGAAGTCGGCACGTCATTATGTATCAGGGTCTAAGGGTCTTGTACAGCACACACGGAAAATCCAATGGGATTTGAATCCAGGTCACCTGTCATGAACTGACATGAAATGAGCTGCCTGTCAGGCAACAAGTCGGAAATAGCATGCGAAATAGAATGTGAAACATGACCAATCAGGAGGTTTAAGTCTCATCGAGAGCCTCATCTTAACCTTGGAAGGGCATCAAGCATCTGTTCTAGTTGCACATTCGAGGATAATATAGCAGCATATGTACTTGATTTCCTCGGCCTATTCTTTCCCTTAACACCGCACATGCATCTTTGAAGCCTGGTATGGCAATTTTTCACTGTATAGACATGTTCGGGCTGCCCGGCAAGCAACTAGACCTGGGACATTAATTTTCAGGATAACCCGAAAGTGTTAGTCTCTGGACCTATAGGATAGAAAGCATACAGAGGGAAGCAGTGCTAGCGAGTTCCCCCTGTCAACCAAGGGTCTTCCAAAAGCTCCTTAGCAGTTGCTCTTTCTTGCGGCATCCAGGTCAATGTCCTCCGAATGAACCTAAGGAAGTCTGCTTTGTCGTTCGAGCGACATTCAAGGGCTTCCATTGTTCGAGCCTCCGGTATGGGCGCAAGACCCAGCCATTTCCCTGAAGCGATAGAGGTTAGTACGAAACGTACACCATAGTCAATTAGTGGGGTGTTCAACATACCTTCGTCATCCCAAAAATCCGCTCTTCTCTCTGGATTTTTAGCGAGAAATTTCATCGGAGGAGGCCCTAATGCTGCGATCATGTGTGCCAAATGAGCAGCATCGTAGAGGTCGCCATCATCGTCTCGTGCAGTAAACAGCCTCTTTGGCTCCAGGAGGTCCCATGCCTTCTCACAGAGATAAGATTAGTTCCTGATCAAAGTAGGAGTACAGCCGACAAATGCACTTACCGTGAGGCCGACGCTCCATATATCAACCGGACGGCTCCAGCCCACATAAAGTAATGTCTCAGGGGCACGATATTCTAAGGGCATGATATCGCCACCGTGAGGTCCACGACCGATTCTGGCTTCGCCGGAGTCAGATAACAGCATTGGGCCTAGCTTAGGTCGCATCAGCCGAGAGAGATAGATTGTCCGGGTAGGAGACACTTGTTTACGGGCCACCGGATCTGTGTGTTCTTTCTCTTCAAGGGCCTTGAAAATGCTGTTGTCGAAGGCACCAAGGAGCATATTGCTGGAAGGGATATCTAGATTAAATCATAGTAGCAGTTAGGGTCGAGCTCCAAAGGACTTTGGTCGACGGGACAGGTACCGGTGTGGACAATCTCCCCGTGCGTATGTAGGAAATCGAGAGCCTTCGAGAGCTCAATGATAGCACCCTTGACGAAGTCTTCGTCAAATCCTTCCGGGTGAAATACGACCTTCATGTCGCGGAGGCTCATTTGTGCGGATTCGAAGACAAGGACAATATGGTCGCCATCAGGACCGTTAACGGTGAACGAATCCAACAGTCTGCGCACATTGTCTCGTCCTTCGTGTGAACTGTCTGTTATACGACTGGCGATATGGTGATAGGACGGCAGTTCACGGTGAACTAACGATGTACGCCCATAAACTTTCAGCGCGACATACTGGTGTGCTCTGTACAGATTAGTTCGGCTACAGAGCAGTGGAGCGTGATAACGCGTGCCTTAAGTCTCGAGCCAGCCAAGTGGTAGACGACGAACCAAAGCCAAGCTTTGCAATTGCTTGATATCGATCCTTAAATACCTCGCCCAGATGAACGGGATAAAACCGGTCTGCTCTGTCATCAGGCAGTTCTTCCTCCTCCACTGGTCGTTCAGCGTCGATATGATCATATCCACTAGTGGGAAGATCCCGGGGGGTTCTGAGCCGCTTGGAGTTGATGTTTTATTCCAAGAGCTGGGAGCAAACCCTCTCAGCGTAGACTTGATTGCAGACCACGAGGAGATTCTAACTCGTGGGACCATTTGAGCTCGGATTTTTGGATATATGCGAATGCGACCCAGTTGACATTGAGATATAGGGGCTAGAGACCTCTTTATGAAGAACATCGGGAAGAGATTAGCCGCAGGTAGAGCGAACACTCGTTCTAGGGAGTTAATGAAGATGGCGTGGACGAAGGCGAGGTCATCCCCTGCTTCATCGCTCGGCCTTCACGTTTGAAGGGAAGCCAGTACGGAGTATGTATTGTGTACACATGTCGCGATGTCCGCATGTGGGTCAGGCCGTACTGGATAAGGGCTGATAAGCGCCGCTACGCAGGTGTATAGTGTATACCTGCGTACGCCGCAATGAAGTTCTTGGCATAATCAATTCAACTGAGTACACATAAGTTACCTTGTATTATTGAATCACTAGATTCTACGAGAACGGTGGTTGCATGTTTGATTAATTGATTTGATTTATTTCTGGTTAGAAGTCATACTTAGTTATTACATCTCACGTTCTGCTCAGCAGTAGAAGACCACCCAGAGGGTCCTGCTCCGATGATGCAAGCCAAATCAAGTACGACCCCAGCGTACTGATACATGCAACGCAAAGAAAAGAAAAGTACAGGAAATTAAGAACCCAGTGTCCGAGCTCTAATGTCGTAGTCCACTATTTACTGAGCGTGCGATGCACGTCGTGACTCGACAATAGGAGCCTCGGGCATTGGGTCATCGGCATCAAGGGCGTTCATGTCGTCTTCCTTGGCGTTCAGGTGACGGAAGACAATGTAGAAGACGACACCCACCAGGAAGGATGCACAGGCGAGACCGGTGAACATCCACATGATGGCGGGATCGAAGGCGGCCGGGGTCAGGGCCTCGGCGAGGGCGGAGCCGAAGGCGTTGGTGAGCAGGTACATGGACTGCACGAAAGACTTCATGCTGGGCGGGGCCTTGGTGTAGGCGTACTCGAGACCGGAGACGGAGGCGAAAATCTCGGAGATACCGATGAACACGTAGGCGGGCGTCTGGATGGCGATGTGCACGTTGTTGCCGTAGGCGGTGCCGTCCACCACAGAGGCGTCACAGAGCGGCTGGCCGTAGCAGGGGCCGGCAGAGTAGATCAGGTGCTGCACAATGGCGGCGTACATCATGGCCAGCGAGGCAACGATGAAACCAAGGGAGATACGGGTGATCGGGCGGAAGGGGATCTTCAGGCGGCGCATCACGGGATAGACGAGGGTCTCGAGGATAGGGATGAAAACGATGATGGAGATCGGGTCGAAGTTCTGCATCAGATCGTTGGGGATACCGTGCCCCTTCATCTGACCCGCCTGGGTGACGAAGTTGCCGGAGAATTGTCCGTAGACAACCCAGTAGATGGGGTAGAAGGCAAACACGCGGCAGGCGACAAGCGCACGCTGCAACTCATCAATGAAGTGGTCGTCCCAGCGGACGACAGCGGCGCCGCCGTGCTCCTGCTGCCAGGAGGGCTTGGGAGCGTCCATGTTGCGGTTCTTGATCATGATCCACAGAGCGCGGAAGGCATCTGTGATGATGGAGCCCTGGGGAGGGCGGACCACGTAGTACTTGCGGCCGAGGACTACCACCAGGGTACCGACCATGAACACGCAGAGACAGAGAAGGTAGGCGGGCCAGAAGTCAATGTACAACTCCATGTAGGGAGTAGCGAGGAGAGAGAGCGATCCAACGTTGATGCATCCGTAGAAGATCATGTAGATACGCTGGATGGTGAGAGCGGGATCGATGATAACACGCTCGCCCTTCTTGGTTGTAGAAATGGCCATCTTCTTGCGCTTGTACTGGTCGGCAATCAACGGGGCGACGTTACTCTTGATACCACCGGTACCGAGACCGATGATCAAAATGGCGACGATGAAACCACCGATACCCGAGCCGTGCTGCAGGGCAGTGGGAATGGACGTGCAGACCAGGATGAGCAGACCGACCATATAGACCATACAGAAAAGCACAATGGTCTTGTACTTGCCGAGGTACTGATCAGCGATGATGGCACCAATGATGGGAGTAACGTAGCACCAGAACTGGAAGAAAGTGACGAGACCGGTTGCACCCTGGTGATCCATGCCGAGAGCACCGCGGCCCTGGCTGCCATCGAGAGGACGCTGGACGTAGTTCTGGAATAAACCAGACATGCCGTAGTAGGTGAAACGCTCACACAACTCGACGATGGCCACCAACCAGGCGGAGGCAGGCAAGTTCTCTGCGACATGACGCAAAGAAGTCTTCTCGAGCAGAGTAGGTTCCTCGCCATCTGCGCTGACCTGGTTCTCCTTATCGAGATCAGAGTCCATAGCCGCCTTTTCGTTCAAGACGACATGCTTGGTGACATCCTCATTATCGTAGTTGGGGGGTCTGAGAATAGAGAGTTAGTCGCGTGACTCACTCCTGTGAGGGAATATAGAGGGAAAGACATACGCAGCAGCAGTCTCGATCTCACGGTCTGTGGTCGCCATGGCCGTTACTAGACCCAGTGGTGCCTTCTTTTTCAAGAAAGGCGGTTTAGGATAGCAGTGGAATAGAGAGGAAGAGGAGAAAAGAAGCTTTTAAAAGGAAGGCGACCGTGGTTGTTATAACTATATATGCCAGTTTTGCCGTGAAATATCCGAGACACCGTGGGGGGTGGGCCAATTCCTTTTTTTCTCTTATCGCTTGAACCGTACCATCCAGGAAGGCGCATTAGTAAATAATAAATCAACGAATAAGATCACCAAATCAACCAGCCCTGACGCTAAGGCTATCTGAGAAGGTGGGCATTCGATTGTTCGCAGCTCGACCACGGATGCGATCGGCAGTGGGTTATCGAAGACCGACGGATCACGGATGTAACCCCAGAACGGGTTGGACGGAAACATAACGAGATCCTGACTGGGAATTGCCTGCTATCTCCGTACAAAAAAGCAATTGAGTGGATTCAGTTTGAAGTTGAATCAATCAATCAACTCATTCAAAGTCGTGCCTGAGTGGGCAATTTGGCATCTGGGGGTTCTCGAAGGGCCATTCCGAGCCCACTTCTTTTTCCCCTTTCACGAATCACATTCGATATGTCAGTCGGAGATTGCCGGTGAATCTCGATAAAATTTCCTAATCGAGGATGCTTCCGGTTGGGTTTGTCCTCGTGGCAAAAAGTATCTTTGTTTTATCTTTTTTCCTTTTTATGTCATGATTTTTCTCTCCATGTCGGAGTCCAGTCCATCCTCCGGTGAGGAGGTCATCGGGATATATTCGGGCTCTGGTCTTTTGATCAAGATGTATCTCTTCGTAGATGGGAGTGGCGGATGGAAGTCGAGATCATGGACGTCTTCAGCTGGAGGCGATAGCATTCCACAGTTGCTTGGACCCCCTCCCGGGAGGACCGACCGTTTTCGTTAGTAGGAGAAGTCGTGATCCTGGCTTATCACTTGTCAATCTGACTTAATCTGTGACACCAACCTGATATGCCCGCCGGTCCCCGGTCTTCCATTCCGCTGGATCAAATCCAATGCAACGTTGGGGCCGTACCCCGCGCAGCTTTATCTTTGAGTTTCGGAGGTGTCTCACTGGCCATGCTGCAGGCTACCCGCTTACCCCAGAGTGAAGTCTTGTTTTGTGTTCTGTCGCATGTGGGGAGTAGCCAATGAAGGCTCCAGTGATAGTCGGTGTCATTTTCGGAGCGATGACTTGATCGGAGTGCCTGGATTCTCGGGTCAAGCTCGACTCTGGGGTAATTATTCTCTCGTAACAAAGATGAATTGTTGAGGCGAGAAGGGTGGATCAAAACCACGGGCCAAGCCACGGGTGATAAGAGTTTCTGTTAGTATTGCTCATTAGTGGGAGGCCGAGGTCGTCTTCAATATAGGAGTATAAGGAGAACAACGATGAAGAAGAAATGAATGTAAGTGGGAAGAGGAAGAGAGAGGGAAAGAAAAATAAACCTAAGATCGAAGATCACTGGGACAGACGCTATATTTAAGAACAAAAACCCTCCAAGAAAGACCAAGAGCTCCAAGAGTCATGGCAGACGCCCTTCGGGGTCCGATCTCGCTGTTGACTGGCGATGGACAAACGCCGTGCAAATGGCACCAGCTCCCAAGCCCTTGGCCTGTCCCATATATCACCCGCCAAGCTCGGCATCGCGTGTCTCTTATGTCTGTTTGGCTCAGTCGACATCCTTCGGGCGAGATAAGATATTCCTTTAACATTCGAGTTCGCTTGGCAGGATCGTCTTCTATCGTCTATTGACCTATTCAGGGGTGGCCGGTCTCTATCCGGTTGTTGCAAATCGCTTCCCTTGCCCCGCGCCCGATTCGCGAGAACAGCGTCTTGCTCTCCATTTTTCAGCCTTTTGAGTCTAAAGGTCCCTGTCAATATCAACCATTGGACCAATCTCATGGTGCTTCGGTGAAGGGTGGAACCTACACGAGGATATCACGACTCCGACATCGCAAGCCATTCAGCCGCCAACGGAGGACGCGCAATATAGGCAGCAGGCTTCATGAACCTTTGAAATTGCGACTTGGACATCCGCTCAAGAGTCAAAGCGGCTTAGTGGATCTCTCCGGATGAGTCGGTCTGGTGTCTCGACTGGCTAGCATGGTGCGAGGAAGTCTCCGTACATACACCGTCATTGTGCTGAGGAAATCTATCAATACACCGCCGTCCGAAGGGATACGAGTCTAGGAGCGATATGCTATTCCTCTTCTCAACCCGGTGATTCTATTTGCCAGACTTGGTAGGGAGCTTATCAAGAAAGAAGATGTTGTGGTCGGAGATTCGTCGGCGAAAGCAGCTTCCGTGGTTTGCTCTATGGCAATGTACCATAACTCGCCTATACATGCTCACCTAGCTTCTGCTGGAGAGCGGAGCAATCAATTCTCACGGCTATACAAAGCCGTGAGGCCACACGGTGTATTGCCTGGGCCTAGCGCCGGTGAGTCAGTTGCATCACTATCCATCCACAAAATGTACTCCACATTGCACAACTACGTTTCGTCGCCTAAAATTGCGCATAGATATCAATTTCGCTTGGAGAAATTGAGAATCCCCATACATTGGGTATCTCTTTCTTTGCAGACCTTTGCCAGCTTGCTGGTCTGCTAGTTTGGGCCTTTGCTTCGTTCGACCATGGATCATGGTACTTGGAATTTCTATAGGTATCAGGTGATCTTACGGTTCTTGGTACGGAGTAGTCTGATCCCAGACTCGGATACGATGGCAGCCGAGTAGCCGTCTTGTACCCAATGTTGAGCAATCTGTTCCTCCCCCAGCCCCACGAACTCAGCGCGCGCACCTGAGCGCTTGAATTCCTGCCATTCTTCACGCGTGAAGGCCGACAGGTTCGCTTAGGACGTTGGAGGGGGAGGAATCGATTGCCCAGCATACGATACAAACATCAAGGGCATCTGCGAGGAGCCGACCATCCTCGTAGAAAGAACACCGATGAAACAGCATCCGCGCTGGGCCCGCCGGATGTCGACCAGTGGGATTCGGTTACAAATGACTACGGATCGCAAGCGCATGGTACTACGGTCGAGTCTGGACAGAAGTCCGAAGAAGAGGTTCTTCAGGACCGCCCTTTCGCAATCGCCATTCCGACTACGTCGAAGAAGTGAAATCTAACGGCGATTAGGCTAACACATGCACCAGAGTTGCCCTCTACGAGCGGAAGAAGCTATCTGCGCTAGGATACGATTACAGACATGACTGATCATCAGCGATCGGTCGACCCTTTCGACGGGCGACTGGCCTCGGAGCCTTCGCAACAGTGATCTCCTGCCCACGTTCATACAAATCGCCCGAGACGGCAACCTCGTTGGATTCGAACCTGGAGGGCGGCCTTCGGCAACGCATGATCGTGCGCCACCCGGGCCTCGATCTCTGGCAAACCTTGATGGAGGGAGCTGTTAGGAAAGTTGAGTGGGCAGCTGCCCCTTTTTCTATGTACCGTTGAAGTGTTTTACTCGCATTCGAGGGAGCTACCTAGATGGCCCGACGTCAGCCAGCATCATGTCCAGGTCCTGCTGCTTGCTGGGACCCCGGCGGCCTGGCACAACCACAAAGAATGGGCTGTGGAATACTAGTTGAGATGAAACATGTGGCTTAGGAATCTAGTTGGATGCTTACGCCACTGGAAGACATCGACTACCCAGGTGATCTGTATCTAGGCAGGAGTCAGGACCTCCAATGTCCAAAGGTCAGCTCTACTGGATACTCACCCCGTCCGCTTACTCTAGTGCCAAAAGCGAACTGCATCCTTAAAAGGTCATATTTGTATAGAACAATGTAAAGAAAATACCATCATGGCGAAATGACCTCGATCTCAACCACGGCGTAAGCCTCGTGAGACGTGTTTGGTAGAGCAAGATACAAGTCGCTAGCAATCAGGTTGTCCCTGTAGAACTATGCAGCGGGTGGCACAAATGGAAGACCAAGTCGATTCCTGTATGATCACCTATGTGAATCACTCCCCATTTTCCAGCACCGCATATCGAGCCGAGTCAGTTCCTCTCGATTCGTATCGTCCGTAATCGTGAACTCCGAGTAAAGCTATCTTTTCTATCATTCAGCATCCTCGTCTTCAACACCGTCGCACGCAAGCCTTTAAACAGTGTACTTGGCCTTCGCGCGTGTGCTGCCGCTGTGTGCGCTGTCGGTGTGGCCAGAGAACTCGACCACATCCGCCTCGTTCAGTCGCAGCACCTCCTTGAACCGCCGGCCGATAGCCTCGAGGATCTCCTTGCCCTGGGCCTGTGTGCGAGTGTGCTTGTCGCCTTGGATGCTCTTGCCCACGGTGCGTGTCCACAGACCAACACGGTAGAAGCCCTTGCGCACGTTGACGACCACACCCATAACTTCGTTGTCGTCGTCTTTCTCGAGGCTCTCGCCGATTGCCGCCAGCTGTGCGTGCAGCCAGAGATCGTCGATGGGAACCGAGCGCTTGTCCTTGAATTGGTATGACCATTTTCCACCGTGCTTGTTCTGGGGATCCTCCCACTCGGGCCGTACGCCCTTCTTGAAGAGGTGGTAATCGGCCTTGAGACCGAGCTCGGAGGTCGGCGTGATGTTGTTCTAATAGCCAGCGCAGTCAGTATGATGATCGGTCGGGGGAGCACTTCAAATGGGACATACATAAATGCCCCAGAATTCCTCAACGGAGCTGAAAGTGACGACCTCCTTGAGCAGGTCATTCCAGTTATCGCCCTATTTCCGTACATTAGCGCACTGAAACCAATATGTCCAATTAGTATCACATACCTTGCCACTGGGGGGCTTGGTGAACCACAGGGTCCATTCGTGCATAAGAGGGTGCTTCACGTTGAAGTCATCAGGGTTGTGGAAGACAGTGACGGCATCACCAGACTGTGTCTCGGTGGTAGAAGCGGTGTTCTCATCGGCCACAACCGGTGCACCATTCTCTGCGACGGAAGACATGGTGAGGGTATGTGGAGGGGAGGGAGAGGGGAGATGGGACGATTCAAAGTTCCGACGGAAAGTCGGAGGGGCGAGAAGTTCGGGGAAAGCGCGAATGGGCTTTTCACACAGATAGATGAGAGCTGAATAGGAAGGAGCCTGGATTGAGTCGGCAGTAATAGTCTGCTCCAGGCGTGTGATGAGAGTGCGGTGAGCGACAATTGACTGCAAAGAGTGGAAGTTTTGAAGTTCGAACCACAAAAACTTGCCTTGCCTCTTTGGGTTCTTCCGAAACACAATCAGTATCACCGAACTATCAGGCTTTTATATGAGTTCACAGTGTTCACTTTGCAAAGACTTCAATTCAGTTATTTATTCATTTTTTTTCACTTCATCGTATTTTATTTGCCATCGGTCCTTTGTATATCCTTCGTATATTCTATGCAGACTCATTCCTGACCAACTTGCAGGATAAAAACTCTTCCCGACGACGGTGCCTGAGGACCGAACTGATAGCCCAACACTCAAAAGTCAACTACTCCGGTATGGATGCGCCAATGTGAACAACACAGGGAGGAAAAAAGTGACAATGACCAGTAAAACTTCATGGGTATCTTAAACCAGATTTATAATTCCTCGCCACTGTTCATCAAACTGAGGAAGCAGTTCCAGCCTACCAGTGGTTAGCAGCCGGAGTGACATCGGACTGGGAGCAAAGTACTTACCCAAACTAATGATGTTGACCACCAGCACCCGTAACTCTAGGGGAACAAATGTGAAGTTGATACTCTGCACAAATGGCCAGACCATCAAATTGGCCTTGTAGGCGGGAACGAATGCGCTCTTCAACCGGTCCACGGGGCTGACACCTTCCATAATAGCCATCGAGGATAGGAAGCAGGTGAGTTGTACCGGAGTAAAGAGCAGTTGATCGGCAGTAACACGGGCGGCGGTAGTGGCTGCCCTACTCTTGAGGACGACGTGACGCTGGAGGATGCCGAACCAGGTGGTAGCAACTGGACCGAAGACAGCTAATGAAAGACACGGATCAGTACAAGACACCACAATCGAGACTTGTGGTCATACCTCCGCCGTATAAAGCCATGCGCCCGGTCCGGGCAAAGTCATGCTTCTCAAGACCTCTTCGATCTACAGCTTGTTGTGCTAGGCAATCTCCGCTGCCGAACAGGATCTGTGGTACAAAGAGTCAGGAAGTGTTCGAGCGGAAGGGACGAGGAACGAGTCGTACAGCGCTGGTGATGCTTGCAGTGAGGATGGGCTTCTTCGCCAACTTGGATTGGTACCTGAATCAAATTATTAAAGATTGAGCTTCAATTCGAGAAGGTGAGTAGCAAGAGACTTACCAGCGCAACATGATAAGGATGTAGAACTAACAGGTGTACAAATAGAAAAGTACAAAAAACGAACGACCATGTACACAGTAGGGGAAGGCGCTAAAAGAACTCTTTTGAGGAAACAATCTCGAAATTGCGGAGTCGAGATTACCCTGTCGCATTGCCCAGATAGGAAGTGCATCCGCCTGAACCAGATTTTGCAGTGACGTAGCCGATGATTAGCAACGTGACTCGATTTCTTTGTCTTCTAATAGGAACATGATGTATCATTGTAAGTAGTTAATAGAAGCAGTTTTATTATCTGGTAATCAACAAGAATTAAATACCTTCTACCTCCAAGAACACCAAATACCCCTCCAAATAGTTAACGGCGATCTATCGATCTACTTCTGGCCAGGTCATGTGACATCGCCCTGGAAACCTTAAGTGCACGTGCCACCTCCCCCAATCAGGCACTTAGGGCATAGGGTCCCCACTAGGGCTGCCCGCTCGCTTAGCCCACCCGCGCAAATTTCGGGCAAACAGTGCTCAGCGCCAGTGAATCTCGACGACCAACTCAATCCCGACAACCCTCCCCGTCGCTACCCCATAACAACATCAATATGGCTGACGCTGCTCCCCCGTGGACGTGGTGGTTTCGGATCCCGTGGCGACCGTGGTGGTGACCGTGGTCGTGGTCGTGGTGGCCGTCGTGGCCGTCGTGGCCCCAAGCAGGAGGAGAAGGAGTGGCAGCCCGTCACCAAGCTCGGCCGTCTCGTCAAGGCCGGCAAGATCACCTCCATGGAGCAGATCTACCTCCACTCTCTGCCCGTCAAGGAGTTCCAGATTGTTGACTTCTTCCTGCCCAAGCTCAAGGATGAGGTTATGAAGGTACGGATCGACACTTTTTTTTTGGAATTCGGAGGATTGAGCGGGATTCGACTGGAAATGCGACAATTGCACACATCCAATTGCGCAGTGGAAGCTCGAGCGAAACAAGGAATACCTCGAAATCAGAGATCAAGAAACTAACGTGAATTTCAACCTACAGATCAAGCCCGTCCAGAAGCAGACCCGTGCCGGTCAGCGTACCCGTTTCAAGGCTATTGTCCTGATCGGTGACTCCGAGGGCCACATCGGTCTCGGAATCAAGACCTCCAAGGAAGTCGCTACCGCCATCCGTGCCGCTATCACCATCGCCAAGCTCGCTGTCCTCCCCGTCCGCCGCGGTTACTGGGGTACCAACCTTGGTGAGCCTCACTCTCTGCCCGTCAAGCAGTCTGGAAAGTGTGGTTCCGTCTCCGTCCGTGTAAGTATCCTACAATGGTTATCTTCGATTTGGTCCTGTCTATTCTGGACCACTAATTTGTATGAACGGTTTCTAATTTACTACAGCTCATTCCCGCTCCCCGTGGTACCGGCCTTGTCGCTTCCCCCGCCGTCAAGCGTCTGCTCCAGCTCGCCGGTGTCCAGGATGCCTACACCTCCTCCTCCGGCTCCACCAAGACCCTCGAGAACACCCTCAAGGCCACCTTCGTCGCTGTCGTCAACACCTACGGTTTCCTTACCCCCAACCTTTGGGCCGAGACTAAGCTCATCCGCAGCCCTCTCGAGGAGTTCGGTGATGTCCTGCGCCAGGGCAAGAAGTACTAGGTTATGGATGATGCATGATTTTTGTTCGACAATTCCAACGGGTTTCTTTTAAAACTTCTCCCTCTGCGCTTGGCGATTAAAAGATGGTTCGTGTGTGCGAGAGACATCTCCGCACCGCTCTGGGTGTATTTATCACGGGGAGGGACACAAAATAGCGAAGTCCACGGGCCATTTGCCAGCCATTTGTTCTTTGATGTAGGAGTCGTAAGGTGTAGGGCAGTAATTTTCTCTGTAGAGAGTCTTCGGCATCGTAGTCTGGGGTCCAATCTGATCTATGCCGACAATTCGAATACACGTTCCCGTCTGCAAGTCGCGCGGGCCCAGCATCAGGCCAATCTTAACACCACAATTCCCATGCCCATATACAAGACTAAAATACTGTGCTAGATACTGTGTTTGCAATGAATACCATGTGAACTATTATTTCGATTTTCCTAGTATTCTGTCAAAGGACGGTATTCGATCGAATACAGTATTTCTGCATGAATACTATGAAATTCCCAGGAGGCCAGGACTCACTTGGGAATTTGTAGAATGCCCAGGGTATCACACCACCTACCGACCAAATACCTACTGACGGTCTGAGTCTCTGGCCTCCATCCATCCTCCCGTACACACCGAGTCAGGAACCTTAGGTCCCCCAGAGCTAGACTCCCCGGTGATTATTCCTGGACGTAAATGCTCCGCTGCGGGATTGACGTCCTGAATTAGATACTTAACATATAGAGCGCAAGTCATCCGCTCTTGTCGTACATGACATAGTCACTGCTGTTAACTGGAATCCCGTATGGGAGTTTGTCGACCCGAGGGGCCGAGACACGCGGAGTACTCCAGAATATCGGTGCTATGGACTCAATCATCAAGGAGATCTATTGCCCAGGTGACCCAAAAGGTTCAATGACAACTGTCTGGCCCCATATGTATCTTTTGGAACTAAACAGGCGTTGGAATGGTACTCGCGCGCTTAAACCAATATAGTATTTACGCCTGAAGTTGCAACCACCCACCAAATGGCCGCCTCGCGTCCTCGCGTGATATTGAAGTTTTAGGTAGGCACTTCTCACCCGACCGTGCAATTCGACCTGGCATTGTCCTGGGACAAGGAGGCTGATCCGAAGCGGGAGGCGTTTGATGAAAGCATCTAGCAGTTTGATCACAGATCCATATCTTCTGACTGGAGGCGTTCGCGAAGCTGGTTGGGGTATCGTGAGATTTGCTACAATGGAAATATTGCCCGGAACCTAAGGTACTATGATTTCCATACCTAGTTTGATTGATGCTTGGTACTGGATGTATAACCAGTCGGGTGTATATATATATGACCGTACGCGTAGAAATGGCCTCGGTGGTTTCAGGACATTACATCCACCAGTAGTTGCTCTCTTTTGATAATTTGATTGTTTTACTTTATTGTTGTAACAATTCATTAGAGTACAAGCCCAAAGCCCTCGATGCACTGTAAAGCGTGTGAGCCCTTCCCGTCATTCACCTGGCGGGTTCTAGCGCTGCGTAGTGGGTTGCGGGTCATCCGGGATCCATAACTAGAACGTGATTGGTGCAACCGGAGATGCGCCCGATCTGGATAGATCCGCGGATAAAGCTTACCCCCGCATTTTAGCTTGTCAATATCGAAAGCTGCAGGTTTGAGTAAGCTAACGTGGCAACAGTTGCTGCCAACAATAGTGAATCTAGCCTTCTGGCTTCTATGTTTGTATGGATATAATTTTGAGAAGAAAAAGAGAGCAACACAGCAATTGTACGAGTCGCCCCGCCGTTGCAATTGCTGTGTTGTTCGATTATCATTCATTCAGTCTTCAATCTGCGTCCTATGTAGATGGTCAAGTAAAGAGACACATTAAGAACAGTAATGGTAAAAGTTGCTATCCTACTACGCAATGAGCATCGCTCTCAGATAATAAAAAACGCCAGTCACGTAAGGAGAGGAGAGAGTATTTTAACGATCAAGGGAATCAAGTGGTCGACTCGAGCAAAGAGAAAGACCGAGCCAATTGTGAGAAGTTCATGCCACATTGGTTCCGATTGGGGCAAGTAACCCCTTAAGCACCCTCTTCATCGGAGATACGAATAGCCCCCTCATTGCCGACACCATGGGACCAGAATCCTTCCGAGTATAGAGTGCTGCAGAAGTTAGCATGTTGTGTCTAGTAGCAAAAATTGGATAGAGAACTCACATTCCAGGGGAGCTGTCATGAGCCAGAAGAAGCCAGTATCCGAGGATACCCTGTGTGAAGATATCTAGGACAGCGAACAGGATAGTCTCCATATCAACACTCAGTCGGAGTGCCAGTGCACCAGCCGCGAGGGAACTATTGACACTTTATTAGTATTTGCTCAAGATATATAGAATATCTCTTCACCGGTATACTCACATAGGGAACAGTGCCAGGATGGCAATGGCCGATCCAGAGATAGACGTAAAGAGGCGTCTAGTCTGAGCATCCTTGTTCATCGCCGCCCGCTGCGCATGGAAGCCAACATGGTGAATCACAGCCAGATAGGAGATACATGAAATGGTCAGCCAGACCCAGCGGACACGGGTATGACCTGCAAAGGTGCCCAGGAGACCCGTGGCGAGCATGATCAGGTTGGCGACGGTAGCCATCAGCAGGTTGGCACCTGGGAGGCCAGAGATCAAGGCGAAGTTAGTGAACAAGAGTGGTGCGGTGAGTGCCCAGTTCACGTAGCGCAGCCAGAGGATCTGTCGGACGTAATCTGTGTGGGTGTCTGGGACATGCTTGTGGGATTCATGGGTGGTGCTGTGGCGGTATGTCATGCCCTGACCGGTTGCGAGGGCGAGGTAGACAATGAACGAGATGGTGGTAATCAGAGAGGTCAAGACATGGAAGACTCGCTTGGGCTAGAGCTCTTGGTTAGCAGAGAACATAATGTGAAGATATCGAAATCGATCATCGCAGATCCGCAGATCCGGGGTAAACCCACCAGTGGGGCGCGGGCAGCCAGAACGTAGAACACCAGAGAGGAGAGACCCATCAACACAGTGACAACCCTTTGATTGTTAGACTGAATTCCAAGATTCCATACTAAAGGGAAAAAGGGACACACCAAAGAGTTCGCTTTCCGGCATCATGGAGTTCCTGGTAGACTGGGGACCCCGGAACGACCGTGGGGATAGGCGCCACGGATGACGTAGTGGCGGGGGCCGTCAAGGAAACGAACTGATCAAATGAAGGTGGAATCATGATGGTCCAATTCAGTTTAGAATGGGGAACAGTATTGAAAAGAAGAAGAAGGAAAGAAGAGAGAAGGTGAAAGACGAGGGTATATGAATGGGATGACGATTGCATAAAGCAGGATTCAGGTCGGGATGATTGGGAGGCCCGTCATCGACCCAGGTTGCACTGTCGTCATAGCCTTAATATAAGTATGAAACATGAACATAAATTACTTTGCAGCTTTGAATTCTGATTTGTTAGATTTGTTTGATGTTTCTGGGTTACGGGTGGCACTGCAGATCTGACATGGGTTGGGCAACTTGGTCCAATAAGAAGGCACGATCGTTGATCTGAGGATCGACAACTAGGTACTCCGTATTGAGATTGGTATTGTATAGTACAGACAGAGAAAAATAAGAAAATGGTATAGTACAGCTGAACAGTGGTCTAGGCATTCACCACTGTATCACATCGATCGCAGATTGCATCTTCAGTTGCCACTGGCTCTGGAATGGCGTACCGCCAGCACCGTGGGCATTTGGAGGCCTGTGGTGCATATACGTACACCTTACCTTGCTGGCTACCAATTCCAAAGGTTTCCTCGTACTGCCATTCGGCACTGTTGATCTCAGAGGGTATAGGATCACCATGGGAGGCCAGGGTGATAGAAGACACAACAAAGAGATCGGGGAGTTCGGATAGATATTGTTGGAACAAACCGGAGCTGCCAGGCAGGACAATATGGACGAAGGATTGCAGAGAGGAGCCAAGCTGCTTTTTACTGCGGGCCTGTTCCTGCAAAGTTTTGATAGTAGAGTGGACCACAGTCAGCTCCTGGTAGCTCGTGTCCAGGGATGAATCTTGCCACTCCTGTGGAGGGGTGGAACCAAGGCGCTGCAGGGGGTGCTCAGAACTAGAGCGGATGGATTCCGGGGTATGTTCCCAGGTTTCTTCCACAAGCACTGGGGTGATGGGAGCCAGCACTTCTTGGAGATAGCGGTAGACGTAGAACAAGGTTGTCTGTGCAGCCCGGCGACTCGTGCTGTTCTCACCAAGTGTGTAGAGCCGATCCTTGATCGCCTCCATATAGAAAGCAGAAAACTCGAGATTGGCCCACCGGTTCATTGTATTCACAGCCTTGTAAAATTCAAAATTGTCACATGCCTTTTGCGATGTGAGCACCATGTCCGAGAGATGCTTCAATGCAATTCGATCGACTAGCTGCAGCTGCTCGTACGGAACCACGTTCTCTGGATGGAAATCGGCAAGGGCACCTAGCAGCAACTTGAAGGTGACACGGAACTTGTGGAGACTGGTGTTCACGGTCTGGAGCACCTGCTTTCCGATCACCACGTCGCGCGTGTAGTCACTGCTTGCCGCCCACAGGCGGAGCGCATCGGGGCCAAGAGCGTCGTACACAGGTCCCTGGGTTTCGGGTTGCTTCCTCCCTTTGCCTTTGCGAGGTTTGAGAGGAGGCAGCAATGTGCCATCCATGATAGTCTGCGGGTGGATTACATTGCCAATGGACTTGCTCATCTTCCGCCCGTCTTCATCCAGAGTGAAGCCGTGAGTGATAAGGTTCTTGAATGGAGCACGAGGCGTTGTGGATTCACCTGAGCCAAGTTGATGCGAGATATACGTGAGAAGCCCAGACTGGAACCAACCACGGTGCTGATCGGTACCTTCCAGATACACGTCGGCTGGATGACTACGTCCTTCGAGGGGCACATCAATCTCCGCCCAGCTGGTACCACTGTCGAACCAGACATCCATAGTGTCCGTTCCGCGACGGTATCCCGCTCCGGGTTCGTCCCGTAACGAGGGAGGAATCCATGCCGCATCATCTGCACTGTCGGTCCACCAGGCGTCAATGCCCCGCTCTTCGATTGTAGCCATGATGTGCGAGACACTATCTTTGGTCAAGACAGCCTCTCCAGTGGTCCGATGATAGATGGCAGGAATGGGAACACCCCACGCACGTTGGCGCGAGATACACCATTCACTGCGATTCTTCACGAAGTTTTCCAGTCGGTGCTTCCCAGTCTCAGGAACGAAACGGACATCTTCCAGAGCTCGAAGAGCACTGCTGCGAATGTCGGCCACATCGGCAAACCACTGCTCGGTAGCCCGAACAATGATCGGAAGCTTTGAGCGCCAGTCGTAAGGGTACTTGTGCTCGTACTTGTGCTGGGCAAGCAACTGGCCACATGATTCGACCCATTCCAATACTGCGGTGTTACCTTCGTCCAAGACAGACTTTCCGGTTAGTCGTGTAGGATCGAGGGGCATAGCTTTCTCGGTGAACTTGCCCTCGTCATTGACGGGGGCGTACACTGGAATACCACGCGCAAGACACGCTTCATAATCATCCATTCCGTGCCCAGGCGCGCAGTGAACCATACCAGAGCCAGAATCAGCAGTAACGAAGGATGCAGCGAAGATGGGCTGCGCTTGAGCTTCAGGTCCTTTGAACAGGGGTCGATACGTAGTTTTCTCTGCCAGCGTGGATCCCATAATAGACGGCACAATGACAGACAGTTCTTCTTTGAGCATAGTCTGAAGATATTCGAACCGGGATTGAGCGATGAGAAGATAGCCATGCTTTTCCGACAGAACGACAGTGTATTCCAAAGACTCGCTGACGGCAATAGCAGCATTGGCAGGTAGTGTCCACGGGGTAGTGGTCCAGATCACAGCACTAACATCATTTCCGTGGAGAAGAGGATTTCCAGACAGTTCGGCGGGGATATCGACAAGGGGGAACTTGACCAGGGCAGCCGTCGAGATATGGTCATCCTTGTATTCCAATTCCGCTTCCGCCAAAGCCGTACCCGTTGAAGGTGACCAGTAGACGGGCTTGAACTTCCGGTAAATGAGGCCTCGGTCTACCATTTCCCGGAATATACCTAATTGTCGCATCTCGAATTGTTTGTCCATTGTCTTCCAATGGTTCTCCCAATCAGCCATGACCGCAAAGCCCCGGAATCCCTTCATCTGTTCCTTCACTGTCTGTCGAGCCAATTGCCGCGCAGATTTGCGAATGACTGCCGCGCTGACCGACCCATCCGCCATGTCTGCCTCGCGCAGACCTTGGAGCGCCTTGAGTTCAATCGGCAGTCCATGGCAGTCCCAGCCTGGCACGTACCGCACCCTCTTCCCACGACCCAATTGTACGCGACAGATGATATCTTTCAAGATTTTGTTCAGAGCATGTCCGACATGCAGATCGCCATTGGCGTATGGTGGGCCATCGTGAAGGACAAACGGTTGGTCGGCGGGCCTTTCGCGGCGTTGCCAGGCGTAGAGATCATCGGTGCATCGTTTGAGGTATTTCGTCCGATCGCCGGCCGATACTCGCGGAGGGAAAGTGGATTTCGGAAGTTTCAGTGTTGAGGTCCAGGAGCGGGGGATTGACCGCGCCAGTTCGGACATTGTCCAGCCGAGTGGGATGTTCCAAGTTGAAAACGCGAAGGATTGCAAATGGAAAAGGCGGCCAGCGGTCTTGGCACAAACACCGACCATTCCTGAAATGGTTTAGACCCCGCTCTGCGGGAATCGATTTCTTAACATTATGTCCGAACTTATCAACAGACGTACCGTACATCTCATCTCATGAGTCTAATGACCTACTTTGGATCAGTATAGGGACCGAGAGGGCCTTTGAATGTCGTCATGAATAGGCAACAGATTTCCTCGAGTCCCTTACATAACCTTGGAAAGATGATAACTGAAAGATGTCTCCTATACGTCCAAGCCCCCTTATGTGTGGGGATATCGGAATCCGCGGACCCCGAGGCAGTACGAACGCCAAGGATCGCGCCAAAGAACGCGCAGAGAGAAAGTGGCTGATCATGGTTTATATATTGAGCATGGTCTTCTTGTATCTCTCCTTTTCAAATCTATTCGACAGCTTGCCCCGTCACGTCACCGTGCTTGACAGAGATCCCATTGTCGCACGAATTCGAGTGGATCAGCTTTGCACTCATCCGGAAACATTGATAGGGGGACGTTCACGATGGAAGAAGATGAGAAGAACGGGTCGAATCGGTCTTATGACCTAGAGCCCGAAAAAGAAGCAGAGTCACTTGGTGGCTACTGGGTAACGCCGCACATCTCCGATTTGTAGACCGAAAGGCTAATGTTAGTAGAGGATCTTTCGATATGGCTCGTCCAAGGACTACACCTTGCAGGCCTGTGCCACTGCCTGTGCATTAGGATCTGGGGTGGGCATGGCTCTGGTCAATTTGGTGTTTGGCCAGTTCATCACACTCATCACGGACTATACCACGGGCGACTCGGATCCATCGCAGTTCCGGAACGAGGCCGGAAGACTTAGGTAGGTGCATTCCCTAGTCCATATTGATATTGATAGGTGGGCTAACACCTGAGTAGTCTCTTCTTCTTCGTCATTGGTCTTTGTCGATTTTTCCTCACTTACGGATACAGCACATTGTTCACACTGGCGGCATACCGTATCACACGAAACATTCGCCGCCTGTACCTGAAAGCAGGACTCAGCCAGGAAATTGCATTTTTTGATGCTGGATCCAGTGGATCCATTGCCATGCAGGCGACTTCCAACGGCCGACTGATTCAAGCCGGTATTTCGGAGAAGCTGGGGCTTGTAGTTCAGGGACTTTCCACTTTTATCTCGTCCTTCGTTTTGGCCTTTGTCACCCAATGGAAGCTGACTCTCATCTGCTGTTGTATTGCCCCAGCAATGCTACTCGCTTTGGGCGTAGTCGCCACAGTTGAAGCCGGGATTGAAACGAAAATTCTCAAAGTCCAGGCCCAGGCTGGCACTTTCGCTGAGAGCATTCTGTCAAGTACTCGAACCGTGCATGCTTTTGGTCTTCGAGATCGCCTCCTGCGAGACTATGACAAGTTCTTGGATGTTTCCAGCCGACTTGGGAAAAAGAAAAACCCCCTGTTTGGTTCCCTGTTCGCCACTGAGTACACCATCATCTATGCAGGATTTGGCTTGTGCTTTTGGCAGGGTATCAAGATGATATCCAATGGAGAGGTGAAGGAGGTTGGAGATGTTTTTATGTGAGTTGGACCTTCTTTCTGTACCAATTGAGGTTCTGACCATTTTCACAGTGTCCTTATGTCTGTCATCATCGCAGCCACAAGCTTGACCGCGATCATGCCTTATATGATTGAATTTACTCGCGCTGCCTCGGCTGCATCGGAGCTATTTCAACTCATGGACCGTACCTCGAGTATCGACCCATTCGATGAATCTGGCAATAGACCGACGGGCGTGACGGGTTATCTCGATTTTGACAATGTCTCGTTCGCTTACCCCACGCGCCCCGACGTCAAAGTTTTGGATGACTTCTCCCTGCATATTCCCGCCGGGAAGACAACTGCGCTTGTCGGAGCAAGCGGCTCTGGCAAGAGTACTATTGTTGGACTGATTGAACGATGGTACAACCCTCTCGCGGGGAAGATCAAGCTGGACGGCCAGATTTTGGACCAATTCCACCTCAAATGGCTGCGTCAGAACGTGAGGCTTGTTCAGCAGGAACCTGTTCTGTTCTCAGGGACAGTCGCCGAGAACATCGCTCATGGCCTTGTCGGTACACCGTGGGAACATGAAGCCCCAGCCGAGAAGCTGGTTAGGATTCAAGAAGCTGCTAAAATTGCCTTCGCTCATGACTTCATTACTGAGCTTCCCAACGGATATGACACCGTAATTGGTGAGAGAGGTGGACTGCTATCAGGTGGTCAGAAGCAGCGGGTTGCAATTGCTCGCAGCATTGTTGCGCAGCCACGGGTTCTTCTTCTAGATGAAGCGACGAGTGCACTTGATCCCCACGCCGAGGAGGTCGTTCAACAGGCGCTGAACAACGTTTCGAAGGGACGGACGACCATCACAATTGCACACAAGCTGGCCACTATCCGGGATGCTGATAATATCGTGGTCATGGAGAGTGGCCGCATCCTCGAGCAAGGAACACATGACTCTCTTCTGGCATCGAACGGCGCCTATGCGCGACTGGTGCGGGCTCAAGATCTGTCTGTGGCCGCACGAGGTCCGGAAGAAGCTTCGAGCAATGAAGATTCAGACGAAGATAATCATGTCCCGCTGACCGGTGAACTCACTCGGTACTCCTCGATGACACGGTCAGGCTTGGAGAAGCAATCGTCGCGGGATGATTTCGACAATTGGAAACGATTGGGACTTCTTCCAACAATTTGGCGGCTCATCACATCAACTTCTGAACTCAAGTGGACTTTCGCGATCCTGATTCTGGCGTGCTTCACAGGAGGTAAGATAGTCGTTGTGGCCTTGTTCTAACAGACCAGAACTGATAAATTTTACATCTAGCTGCTGCTTTCCCCGGCCAATCCATCTTGATGTCCAGGTTCATCGAAGTCTTCCAGTTCACAGGTTCAGCCATGCGGGAAAAGGGAAACTTCTTCGCTCTCATGTTCTTCGTTCTGGGACTCGGATCCTTCGTCGTCTACTTCATCATCGGATGGACATCAAACGTTGTGGCACAGGTGATCATCTTTATCCCCTAGTATGAGTCCACTTGCTAATTCCTCACAGACAATGAATCACAAGTACCGGAAGCAAATCCTCAGTGACATAATGAAGCAGGACCTACAGTTCTTCGATCGCCCTGAAAATACCACAGGAGCCCTGAGCAGCCGTGCCGACTCAAACCCTCGCGCCGTGTATGAGCTCATGGGCTTCAACGTTGCCCTGATTCTGATCGCATCGGTCGGTGTGTTGGCATGTGCCATTCTGGCGATTGTATATGCATGGAAGCTCGGCCTGGTGATTGTCTTGGCTGGACTTCCTCCCATGCTCCTCTCGGGCTACGCTCGCATCAGTCTGGAGGGTTTGATGGAAGATAAGATCTCCAAAATGTTTTCTCAGAGCGCATCGATCGCTTCGGAGGCTGTGAGTGCCATCCGAACGGTATCTTCTTTGGCGATCGAGACCTCGGTCTTAGAGCGTTATACGCAGGAGCTGGATCGTGCGATCGCCGCATCTACAAAACCAGTGCTTCTCATTATGCTTCCCTTTGCATTCACGCAAACTGTTGAATATTCCTTCCTGGCACTCGGATTCTGGTATGTTTGATTCGCTCAATATGGATTGCTGTCCTGCTTTCTCTCTATCATGGCGTCCGTCATCTTGCTTCGATGCTAACCGAGTCATGATATGCAGGTACGGCTGTCGTCTTGTCTCCTTTGGCGAACTGAGCATGGTCAACTTCTTTATCTCATTTCTGAGTGTCTTTTTCTCTGGCCAGCAAGCTTCGATTCTTTTCGGCTTCTCAAGCAGTAAGATACATCACCTGGACACCTGAGCCCTACTTGGAACCAGCCACTAATCGCTATACAGGCATGACAAAAGCAACAAACGCGGCCAATTACTTGTTTTGGCTTGAGGAGCTAGATCCTACAATTCGAGAGACTGACGAAAACCGCGATGTCGGCCCAACTGACTTCAAATCCGTGCAATTGGAAAACCTGCAATTCTCCTATCCAATGAGACCGCATGCTCGCGTCCTTCGTGGCATTGACCTTCATGTAAGCTCCTCTTCCCCCATTCTACCTTCTTTTCCACCGACAGCTGGTGTCTGTTTCGTTTCTAATGCCTGGTATAGATTACAAAGGGGCAATTTGTAGCATTCGTCGGCGCCTCCGGCTGTGGAAAAAGCACAATGATCAGCATGCTCGAGCGTTTCTATGATCCGGTCGCCGGTCACATCAAAATCGACTCGCTTGCATTGGACCAATTCAACCCATGGCTGTATCGGGGCCAAGTGGCACTTGTGCAGCAGGAGCCCACGCTCTATCCTGGCACTATTCGTGAGAATGTCTCCATGGGATCACCAACTGGTGACGGATCAACTGTTTCCGACCACGATATCGAGGCCGCCTGTCGGGCTGCGAATGCTTGGGTCTTTATCTCTTCTCTACCAGATGGTCTTATGACTCTCTGTGGCGCCAATGGGACACAGCTCTCTGGTGGCCAGCGTCAACGCATTGCCATTGCCAGGGCGTTACTCCGAAATCCTCGTCTGCTCTTGTTGGATGAAGCAACAAGTGCGTTGGACACGCAGTCTGAGAGGATTGTTCAAGATGCGCTGAACGAGGCGGCAGCTCAAGGGGACAGAATCACAATTGCGGTTGCCCATCGTTTATCGACTGTTCGCCATGCCGATGTGATTTGCGTTTTTGACGGGGGTAGGATTGCGGAGTCTGGGACGCATGAGGAACTACTGGCCAAAGGGCGACTTTATCCCAAGATGTGTGAGGCTCAGAACCTAGGCACCTGATTAGGTGAACTATAGCCGTTCTTGGGATATGTAAGAGTATTTTTAAAAGGAACAAGGGTGAACTGTGTATAGGGACTTATATTGACGGGATAGACTACCATACAATAATGCAGAGCGAATGAGCACATAAAACACACATCGTTCAAATCTTTCGCTCATGATTCAATATCTTACATCGCGATAGCGCCTGAATTTAGCACGACGTCGAGGCTGTCATCTTCATGGAATCATTCTGGCTGGTTCTCCATCCCCGCACCCCCGCATCTCGTGAGGGCTCTCCTTTGGGATGTGGGGGGTTTTGATGCCGGGAGTGTACTTCGAGGATTCTCGCGAATTACGTCTAGGCTTCCAACTTTCAGGATTGAAGGGCGCTATGCCATCTTGCAATATTGAAGAATGACTAGCTAGTATTGTCATGACTCGTAATGTATGCACAAATGTTGGAAATGCTATATTGGGACGTTATCCCAGATCAGTAAACTGTCAAGCAACTCACGGCGCCGTTCTTGAGAACTTCAAATAGAAGCCCCGGAAAACCAAATAGCTCGGTGTTGCCCAATCCCCCATCCTGACCGTCTGCACCAGTCCGAGGTCCTTTGCCTGTACTCTCCTCCCACCCACCAAGGAATTCCACGCTGCTTTCGGGGCTGTCTCCCCATCCACGGTTTAGCACCATTGGTCGCTGTAAAGCACGCTCCTCGGTAGGGTTGGCATATGTTCCTTTCCAAGTAGCGCGCAATCGTTCTGAGATTTCATCATAAGGCGATTCCGAGGTCAGGGGTTCGCGAGAGTTATCCAGAGGAAGCAGCCAGCGACTCCGGCGATGACGATTGAACGGATAAGAGCCTGGAACGTTTCCATGAAGGACGATCTTGGTTACTGTCAACTGTGCAGATGGCGGCGGGGGTGACGGATCCGGTAGATCTGAGGCAGGGAAAGCCGGTCCGGGGGTTGTCGGGTATGAAATAAAGGCATCAAATCCATGGTGGAAGTAATTCATAAAGCACTCTGCAGGTAGCGACGTAGGGTCCCCGGCATTGAAGGTTGCCAGGTCATCGTCTGACTCATCGGTTAGACTGTTAGTAGATGAGTGGTCGACATCTGGAATGTCCATTCCTCTGCCTGGAGAGGTACCAAGGTCTCCGCCACCAGTTGCACGATGGATCGAGATTCGGCGATCATTCTTACGGTAGATTGCGTCAGGTGGCCCAAAGTCTGCAATGAGGTCCTGGGGGTCGTCTCCCCCAGAGTTATGTGTAAGGGAGAACCCGTCCTGCGGAGTACCTGAATTTTCCCGGCCCCGAGAATATGCCACTCCTCAAGTTCATCCGCGAGCGAATCTCGGGATTTGCCAATCAAAGCCGATGAACGCGGATACTGTGGCTGCTGTGTGAATAATTTGGCGCGAACCTCGGGCCATGATGACCCTTGGAAAATAGACATGGACGTGGCCGGCAAGGCAGCCGAAGAGGACAAGAGCGCTACAAAGTCACACTGGTCGGACCAGGCCGAGTGTTGAAGGGGAAACGAGAACGCGATTCCTGGATATGAAAGCACATAGGTGCCATATGGGGACTGGTCTACCGGTGGTACGTATTCTCCTGGGTATGAGGGACCAAACAGGCGATTGTAGACGTGCCGGAAGCTAGGGCCGTGCGAAGACACGGGTTGTTCTGCTGACTTTCCACCTTTGACTACATCCTGATTCTTGTAGACAAGATTCACTCGAGCGAAGTCCAGAACTTCGATCAAACGCAGCCTCTGGTCGGGGCCGTCGAAGCGAAGGCGCAAGCCATTTGAAGGTAACTGCAGTACCACCGGTTTGCGAAGCGGATCTGTAGAGGAATAGGCAAGGTCGATAGCAGGATAGGTTTGAGGATAGGACTTGACTCGAGTAAGGACGTTATGAAGCGATGCGCCCAAGACTATTCAAGTATTGATTAGTTAGAGTCACTCGGAGGGCTAATATGTTGACAGAGACGTACTGATGAAGCCGAGTCCCTTCCCAGGGATGATTTGCGCATGCGGCGTAGTGTTAGGTGTAGTCATATTGGGCGGTCTGATTTCATGACCCGGCGAAAGTTAGTGGACGAAAGTACATGCAATAGGACAAGCTGTGCTTGTTATGAAGAGGGAAGCTCCGGGGAAGTAAGGAAGTCCACATGGTATGAGGGGGTGGATAAGCGATAAGAAGCGATGACGATAAAGCCAGCAGACCGGGTCATGTGAGAGGGGGAATGACCACATTACGTAAGCTTTGTTTATGTTTTCCCCTTTGAGACGGAGCTCCACAGATATACACAACCCTGGAAGCCTCTGACGCGAGCTGGTAAAAGGATTTCGACCTACTCTTGCTTCGCCAGTACTTGGAATATCTCTGCAATATTTCTGCAGAAACAACCGACTCGCAATCAGCGAGTGTCGCATAGTCACCATGGCTGGGCCACCAAGGCCTCCATCTACGCTACCCACCACCACGAGGAGGTCGGGTTTGCGCCAACCGGTCCGAAGAGCGGGCTCAGCAGCTCCAGAACGACATGCAACATCTACAGTTTCCACTCCGACGGTGCGTTCTTCCGCAACGAGCGCAGCGCGCGCGACGAGAAGCCCGGAAAAATCTAGCGCTGCAGCAAAGCGGAAGGATAAAGATTTTGAACGCGAGCTCAACGAGGACACAAGCATTCATGTGGTGGTACGGTGTCGTGGCCGCAGCGATCGCGAAATTAAAGAAAACAATGGCGTCGTCTTGTCAACTCCAGAAGGTGTGAAGGGCAAGACCTTGGATCTCTCAATGGGACCGAACGCGGTTTCGAACAAAACATACGCTTTTGACAAAGTATTTTCACCAGCTGCCGATCAGAGCATGGTTTATGAGGATGTGGTTGTGCCCGTTCTTGACGAGGTTTGTAGACCCGCCGTGTATGGAAAGAGAATGTCTTGCTAAGTTGTGATAGATGTTGGCAGGTTACAATTGCACGATCTTCGCATACGGACAGACCGGAACGGGAAAGACGTATACCATGTCAGGAGACATGACCGACACCTTGGGCATCTTGTCCGATGATGCAGGAATTATTCCACGCACCCTTTACTCCTTATTCAGCAAGCTGGAGGACACGGAAAGCACAGTGAAATGCTCATTCATCGAACTTTACAACGAGGAGCTCCGGGATTTACTGTCCTACGATGATAGCACCAAACTCAAGATTTTCGAAAATGAGAAGAAGGGAGGGCACAGCACAATGGTCCAAGGGATGGAGGAGACCTACATTGACTCTGCGTCCAGCGGCATCAAACTACTTCAATCGGGCAGCCACAAACGTCAAGTGGCAGCGACAAAGTGCAACGATTTGAGTTCTCGAAGTCATACAATCTTTACCGTTACCGTTTTCACGAAGCGCACAACTGAATCTGGCGAGGATTATGTGAGCTCGGGCAAACTGAACCTGGTTGATCTCGCGGGTAGCGAGAATATTGGACGCAGTGGCGCAGAGAACAAACGAGCGACGGAGGCAGGTCTCATCAACAAGAGTCTGCTCACCCTTGGGAGAGTAATCAACGCTTTGGTGGATAAAAGCTCCCACATCCCCTACCGCGAGTCCAAACTCACGAGACTACTCCAAGACTCACTTGGAGGACGAACAAAAACCTGCATCATTGCCACAGTTTCGCCTGCACGGAACAACCTTGAGGAGACCATCTCTACCCTCGACTATGCCTTCCGTGCCAAGAACATTCGCAACAAGCCTCAGATCAATTCTATCATCTCCAAAAACAAGCTTCTACAGGATATCGGGATGGAGATTCAAAAGCTCAAGAGCGAGCTCATTGCCACCCGACATCGCCATGGTGTCTACATGACGCCTGCTGCATACGAAGAAATGACAATGGAAAGTGAATCACGGCGAATTGTAAACGAAGAACAACGCGCCAAGATCGAATCAATGGAGTCCAGTCTCCGACACAAGGTCCAAGAACTGCTCTCTATCACGGGTAACTTCAACTCATTGAAGCATGACAATGAGGAGACTCAATCCAAATTGAACGAGACGCGAGACATCCTCAACGAAACAGAAAGGTTTTGGAAGGACACCCAGGAGAAATTGGATGAGGAGACAACAGTGCGCAGGGCTCATGAAGCTACAGAGAAACAACTTCGTCAGATCGGCGCTGGTCTAGTGTCCACTCTGAATGGCGCCGTCCAAGACGTGGACGGACTATATGCGAAGTTGGATCGCAAAGACAATTTGGAGACTGAGAACCGGCAGACCTGGCACACCTCTACCGGTGAGGTGTCAAATGTCACGCAGCAAATAGATGCTCGCATGCATGACTTCCAAACGCAGCATGCAAAGCTGCTAGAAGACATGTCCGCTAATATTCACCAATTTGTGGACCACGAGCTAGGCACCGTGCAGTCCACCCGCTCCCAAATCCGAGATCTTTCTACTACCTTCGACAAGGTGGAGACAGAGGCAAAGCACAATACCTCCTGTGCTCACAACGAGATGAATGAGGTCCTGGAAGAGATCAAGGTTCTTCGGGAAGAAGTGAAGTCCAAGGTTGGGGAAGGCCTGAATGGGTTGTCAGCTGCTGCTGCTCGAATCTCGAAAGAGGTTATCGGGGAGTTTTCGGAATTTCACTCCCAGCTTCACTCATCATACAGCACGCTCGGCAGAGACTTCAAGTCCATGTTTGAGAACATGGCAACGCATGTCGATGAGCAGAAGAACGAAATCAATAAATTACGCCTGGAGCTGCAGGCAGCAAATCGCCAGACGGTGGAGGCCAATCGAAAGGCCTCTTCCACTCTAGCGCAGGTACTGGAAGAGGAACATGCTAGTGCACAAGCTGAGCGTGACATGGTTATGTCTCAAATTCGGGGGCTCCTGGAGGAATCACACCAAAAGCATAACAACCGCCTGAAAGGCAAATTTGACACCCTTCGCACCGACATCTCGGCATCAGGCGACTCCCTTGAGCAAGCAACTGCACAACACGACAGACACATTGATGAATGGATTTTCAAAGAGGAACAGTTCTCCAAGGACATTACTGCATCCAAAGATGACATCAAGACCAGGATGCAGAATGATTGGGAGGTAAGGAGAATTGCATTTCATGGCTGCGAAATGAGACTAACAATGAATAGGCCTTCGATCAACGTAATCTATCTATACAACGAGTGACAGAGTCTGTGCACCAAGAGACTGTGCGTATTGTGGACGCTCAAGTGAGCGACATGGGCACACAAATGGAAGCTTTAGATGACTTCGTTGCCAAAGCGCGATCGCAGAATGGCCGTTTCCACCAATCTCACTTGAGCAATTTGGATGCCATGGCGAAGAATGTCCGGGAGTCTCGGTCACATGTTCATGAGCAACTTGATGGAATCACTCGTCGTGTCGGGCAGCTCCAAGATGATGTCGGTATGCACACCGAGAGTCTGGAGCAAACCACCGCACCCCTCCAAACTGAAGTCCGCCAGCCACTCCTAGAGCTACGGTCCAATATCCAGAGTCACCCCTTGAAAGAGTATGTTCCAACAGGCATCACCCCTCAGAAACGCCGGTACGAATACCCTTCGGAACTACCTCATACGGAACCTCACGATGGTCTTCGCGCCCGGCATCGGACTTCCAAGCAGTTCACTGCTCTGCCATTCAGCGAACAGGAGGAACAAGATCCTTCTGCTTCGACTTCGCCTTCCAAGAAATTCGTGTACAACGATACTCCGGAAGAGGTAGGCCACCCTCTTCCTTCATCCGCAGCCACACCTCCCAACACTGGCCTTAGGGAAGTCGACCTAAACGTCGCCAGACCGGTTGTGTCTGACGGCAACGACATCCTACCACCCAGTAAATCGGAGACCCCGGCGCTGGCTCCGTCCCTGGACCTGGACGAGACGCCCGAAAAGGAAGAGCCCGAACAGCCATCTCGCAAACGGCGCCGCTCAAACTCCAACAATCACCATACCACCGAGGGCAAAATCCCCAAAACAGTGCTGTCGAAGAAGCTGGCTGGCGTGAAGGAGGGGCGTGAGAATCTGCCGCCTTCTGGCATTGCTGGTGGCCGGAGATACAGGAACCGCACCTCTGATTAAGTAGTTCCCAGGTTGTTTTCCCTGCACGTTGTTTTCTCTGTTCTTTGTTTGATTTCCGTCAATTATTTGATACCCGAGAGTTACTTGCTGGGCTTTTGGAGTTTCTGGCTGAGAGAAAGTATGGGTTCGTCAATCCCTTGTATCTATCGATTCCTTTGTCTGAGTCCCATAGAACGGCGACTGTATTTGGCGTTTCGGGTTTGGCTACATCGATATACCCCATGGGGATGTCAGACTCGATCTTAATACCACTGTCTTTCTCCAGTTTGCTTTTTTTCGCTCGCTATATGCAAAGTGTATTCATGAGATCCGTCCGATTAGCCTGTTAGTAGACTAAGCTGTAAATGCTAACGTGAATCCTTCACCCACGACGCGCCTGGGAATGAAATCATATTTAATCGTCAAGGGTGCTGCACCTCTATCTCAGCACTAGGCGCCGCATTATCTTCCCCGCCCTGCGTGTTCCCTTCAGCTGTGTCCGGTAAGGAAGAATGCTGCTCAACCCCCTCCTCCACGTGGTTCCCCCTCGAATTGGCAGCCTCTGCGCCCTCGGCGGCGTCAATGATAACTTGCAACTCGCTCATCCGCTTCGCAAACTGATCCATCATCTCCTCGAGCTTACCCTCCTTCTCTCTGCCGGTGACTTCAACTGGAAACCCACTTGTGCCCCGGATCTTCAACATTAACCCATGTCCTGGCGACTCGCCAGGGTTGCTGTTCTCAAAGGTTGGTGCCGGCACCACTTCCGTGTTGAGAACCTGCCATGTCGGCGAGAAGCTCTGCGCCGCGGTCACACGGTACTGCTGGTGTGACGAGCTCTGCTCTTGTGGCAATTCAGATGGATTCGCCGGTGACGAGGACATGGATTTCGTTTCACCCCCGCCTTTGGCGGGTGCTAGTTCTCTTATCGGGATAGGCTGTGCTGCGCCGGGTGTGACGGCTGATGGCTCTATGTCGAGAATGACATAGTTGTCCCATACACCTGGGATTGGCGGTGGAAGTAGCGTGGTCTTTGTCTGGTCTAGGTTGGAGGAGTCTCTGGTCTCATTTCGGAGATTGGATGCTTGGGCCTGGGCGATCTGATCTTTCTTGGAATCTGATAATCCTTCTTGCTGCGCTGCCAAGCTGCGTAGAGCGGCCTCTGTCACAATATCGGTGTCATCATCGGAGAATATGTAGTGGACCGTCGGATGGTGGTAGTCCGAGGTATGGGCGTCTTCAATTAAGGTGAAGAATGGCTGAAATGCGGGGTGAGACGCGGGTTGGTGCTCTTGATATTCCTCAACTTGGCCATGCGCTCCATCCAGACCTACACCTTGTCTGGGGGATTCGGTTGTGTCTGGAAGTTGGTGGATGTCGTCTGTTGATAGACGCCCCTCGGGCAGTTGCCCTTGCAAGTGTGGATCACTCGGCCGCGAGGAGGCGGTGCCTGGCCGCGAGAGCGCTGCTTTGCGGAGGAACTGCCGGGATGACGAGGAGGACAGAGGAGGATGGTTGGGAGAATTGTTCAGAGACATCTCCGTGAGCTGAGGCTACATCATTTTGGAAAAGAGCTTGGGATACGTTGAGAACTTGAGGTTCTATATCAGCGTGCGGAGAGCTTCTTATCGATAGCGCCACGTGACCAAGTAAAATTTGATGCCTGAATTTGGCCTGATTTCCCGCTTTCATGATTCATTTCCCCTAGCCATAGGCCCATACGGCATTAACCGACCGCTTTTCTCGCCGCCCTCTGATCAATTTTCTGAGATTCAAGGGAGTGTCCCAGTCTGTCTTCACCACCTCACAACCCAACTCACGGCCACACGGCCTCACAAGAACCCCTACGCTAAACAGCGAGACGACAGCACAGCGCGTCAAGACACGACCTGAAGAACCCCACATGTCGGGGAGGGTACCAGTCACAAGGGCCAAACGTGCCCGGTACCACAGCCAGAGTTGCCATCTATGGGCGTACCTTAATATATATTACTGTATATAATTCCATAGGTAGCGTGGCACGCCCACATACCCTTCGGGAGGTCCGGGGACGCAGGCTACACCTGCGACCCACTGGGCGTTAAATATAACAACAACAACGACAACGACACAACGCCCAAGGCAGAGTCCACTATAGGCCACATCGTCTATATCACTCTTCTTTGGGAAAAAGGACGAGCTGTAGGCCGAGACCTGTGTACTGCCTTCACCCATCAGTTTGATGAGGGAGTAGGCAGCGGTCTACTTAGGTCGATCGCCATGTTTTCAGTTAGGTTGTTTTTTGTTAATGCCGAACATATTGCACAGCAGGTGTGGAAGAGGAGAGAGATTGGAGTATGGGCGCCTCCCGAAGCCTCGGACGCCAGTGGCCTGCCTTCTAAGGAGCCGACCCTTGCCAACCTACCTTTCGCAGCAGTGGAAGCAAGACCAGTTTTGGATACCGGAGCACAAGGCCTGTGGCTTTCCAGTCATCGTGGCAAACGACAAGGAGGATGCGGAGCTTTGGCATGCTGGCCTTTGCGCCCGCGGCATTGCAGCGGTTGTCGCGTCTAACTATTCCGAGCTTGCCGACCATCTGTTTAAGGAAGTCACCATTTGGCTGGGATCGGATTTGGTCGGCACCCGCGCGATTGGTCGTGTCAAGGATAATCCCCACTTGCTTGCGTGGCTTGTGAATCCGACCCCCTTCGGCAGTTCTGCTCATGTTGATGCTTATTGTAAACGGCGGACCTGTGAATTACTGTATCCGGTTAGTTTTGCCTTTTCTGGTTTAGCGCCCCAATACGCCGTCACAACCTAAAGCTGATTTCGAACATTACTGTATGACTTCCATCCTTTGTCATAAACTTTGGCCTGGTAGTTTAATATTAATAGTTTAGGCAAAACAATATATTTCCTATTCCGGTTAGCTCCACTTCAACGTTTAGCTTATCTCTTCTCCGCAGATAAGTAGTCCAATTCCCAGTTGCGCCGATTGACTATTGTTCTCCAGTTATTTTGTTCTCTATGGCACCATCGACTAAACGTCACCGAAGAATATATGTCGCGTGAGTGTCTCATGTTTGCCCTGTTTCGTCTAATACCTTTTATAGCTGCCGAAGATGTCATTCGCAGAAGATCAAATGCTCGGGGTCTCAGCCTTGCGAAGCGTGTTGCTTGTCAAATTATCGAGATCGATGCGAATTTCCTGCCAGGGATCGCAAGATATCGGTATCAGAGACGTGGGTCACCACGTATTCCCCCCAACATTCCGGTTCGTTTACGAACAACGTACCCTAGATACATCAAAAAGCTGGAGAGGGAGCTACATGAGCTGAGAGCTGAGCAAAAGCGACCGCGAGCTCCCACACCCTCTGAGACTACCGATGAGATATGCGGTGCTTCAAATCATCAAGCCCAACTAACAGCAGCTTTCCCCGATACGGATGTTTCAAATCCCTTGCTGGGATCGCCTGCTGGTTTTGTTGCGGCTGGCTCTGCTTCATTATCAGTATATGTTGGAGAGGGGTCCAGTATTGCTTTTGGAGATACTGTGCTAAAATACGTGGATAAAGATACGGATCTTGCCGCCGTGCCTCCTGCAGCATACTTCGAACACGAAACCTTCAATCGCCTTCTTCGACCAGGTGTGACCGTACCCGATCGCATCAAGTCTCGCTTGCTGGTAGAAGTTGCGATCCGGTTCATAGGAACCGACTTTCATCTCGTTATGAAAAGGTCTTTTTTTGAAACACTAGACCGAGTGTGCACAGGGAAAGGGCCACACGACCTTGTATGGGTGTGCAAGTACTTTGCTCTGTTGGCACTGGGTGAGATATACTCAAGTCGAAAACGCAGGACAGTGAATCAACATGTGCCTGGAACAGACTACTTTTTACAAGCGGTTAGACTATTACAAAATCGATATGAAGATCCATCAGTTGAGCAGGTCGAAGTAATGACTCTTTTTGTAAGTTGTTTAATTCAATATTTCCAATACAAACAGACTTTTGTGCTCCTGCTAATATTGAATGCCTAGTGTCTTTACTCAAACACTTTAGGTCGTTCTAAATCTGCATATAACTACATTGGTATAGCCATGAGAATGGCTTTGACGATGGGACTTCATCGAAGTCTGCCGACTGAAGCCGCATTCCCTCCAATAGAGCGCGAACACCGAAGGCGTGTTTGGTGGACGCTATATACTTTGGACAGGCTGTGCAGCTCGATTTTAGGATATCCGCTCCTCATAAGTGACTCCGCAATCGATGTGGAATTGCCGTCAAATGATGGGCTTACCGCCACTGACCAGGAGGAGTTCGCAGATCCGGCACATTTGGTTGCAAATGTCAAGCTTGCTCGGATCACAGGTCAGATTCGTAAGATCAACCTTGCCCACCGGACAGATTACACAGAGTTGACAACTGCCTTTCTAGTTAGCGACATATACTGTCTACCACACCGAAGCCAGGAGAACTTCGTACAAAGAGTCCACCGAGTTCTCCTAAGCTTGCAAAAATGGGATGATGAACTGCCCCAGAGTCTGGTTTTACGACAAGCCAATCTGCCTCGCAACGTCACAAGTCTTCATCTGCACTATAACCAGAGTGTCATTTCAACCACTCGACCTATTCTGCTCTATTTATTCAAAACCCGTTTCTCCCTCAATTCCACCACAATGGAGGCTACACCTAGGAGCTTTTCATCCACAACTCTTGCCCTGGCAGAAAGCTGTGTTCAAGCTGCCAGGGCTTCGAACTCCATTTTGTCAAGATGCTTTGTTGAGGGCACTCTTGCATCATTTGGCTATCTTGATGCGCATTATCTATTTTCTTCAACCTTGATTCTGATTATCTCCGCTGTCATGGATCCTAACGTGATCGTTTCAGACGCCGTTTCATACGCTTTCACTATCATGAAGGCTATGAAGGAAGATGGGAATCTACCTAGCTGTGACTACTATGAGAGATTGCAGCGTACGAAGGTGAGTGTGGGGAAATTGAAAGAAACTTGTAACGCACAGGTGCGCTCACTGGTGGTCCCCGAGAACAACCAAAGTCTGGATATACAGCCATCCGAAGTGGTGGATAGCCAAGAACTGGGATTCGGTGAAGGCCTCCCTCTGAACCATCCCTTGATTCATAGCTTTTTAGCCGACCAGGGGTTATGGGCTAACGGAATGCTTCCCCGAGGATCATTTCTTGAGGGACTTGGCCTGCGACCTGGACGATGAATTTCTATTTGGCGGACAGCAATGAGTTCAGTTCCTACTGAAGTAGGTCATCATCCAAACCACATATCACAAAAGCCCCCACCGGCGGTGAAAGACACTCTATATGGATTCCCAATTCTTAGGCTTTTATAATTCCAACGACCTCTGCCAAAGAATCAACCACAAATTGTGGCTTCAATTCCTGACAGGCCTCACGATCTCCGTACCCATACCGACACCAACAAACAGTGCTCCCAATGTTGGTTGCAAACTGAATATCTGCCACTGTATCACCGACCACTAGAACGTCCTCTGCCTTGACATCCACCCCGTAGCTCTCACGCAAGGTAGGGATTAAAATATCAACAAAGCTAGCAGGATCCGGCTTGCGCTTTGCACCAGGGGTCTTATCTCCAATAATCAAATCTTCGGGCACGTAGCCATCAAGGCCATTCCGCTGTAGCGCGGTCTTGACTGCTGCTACACCCTTATTGCTGACAATGGCGATTGGGACTTTCTGGGCATTGAGCTCAGTCAAGAGATCTTTCGCGCCAGGGAAGGCCTTGATAAGTTGTTGACCGTGAGTCGCATACAGGGCGCGGTACTTTTCAATCCATTCGTTCTCAACAGCAGCGAATTCACTCGGCGAGGGATATAAGGCCCGGAAAGTGTCTCCTAGGCCAGCACCGCTGGCGATCAGGCGATGGATTTCGGGTCGAGGAGGGGTGTAGGTTGAAAGGGCATCGAATGTGAGCTTGATGGTTTGTGAAATTGATTCATGTGTATCGAAGAGAGTGCCGTCGAAGTCAAAGACAGCGAGAGAAATCATCTTGAGGGGGGTGTGTGTGTGTTCAGACTCGAGGGGTAGAGAGCATGAAAATAACAATTAAAAAAAGGCACGGTAGACAGAAAAAGAGTCTAACTAGCGTAAGACTAACTACTAAACGATCACCTGGGAAATAATTCGTTTTCCCGTATCATATTACAATACTGTCTAGTCAGGACTGTTGCAGTAGCGTAGGGTGAACTACGCCGCTGTATAAGCGCCAGGGGCCAAAATGCCGTTTCTAACTAATCTTGATGCCTTAATGCCTGACTTTGGCCTGATTTGGCCTAGGAGCCTGAAATTTTGGCCAGACCCCTGACCGCCTTTTACACCGCACTGTACAATGTAATGTAAATTGTAATCATATGCTTGTAAAATTGAAGCTTTTTGTCCCATACAAATGCATGCATCTCCAGTTTCGAAGGTGGTTTACTCTCCATGTGTGAGACTGAAGCCTTTTTGTCCCATACAAATGCATGTATCTCCATTTTTGAAGGTGGTTTACCAGCGCTCTCTCTCCGGCACGGAATAATGCACAGGTAAACCTCGATGCTTTAATAGCTAATGAAACCTTTACAAGCTAATCCCTTACAGTATTTTATTTTAATTCCAACCATAGGTTAATTCTAAATTCACCCAGATAAATCGACCATGCATCTTCCCATAACTAGAGATGTATGCGTTTGTATGGGACAAAAAGGCTTCATTTCGCACATGGAGAGTAAACCACCTTTGAACTTGGAGATGTATGCATTTGTATGGGACAAAAAGGCTTCATTTCGCACATCATACATGGAGAGTAAACCACCTTTGAACTTGGAGATGTATGCGTTTGTATGGGATAAAAAGGCTTCTTTTTTATGGCTGGACAGCGAGCTAGGAAAGTATGGTACCTCGCTTATTAAGTCAAGTGTAATCGTAATTCAGACAGCCCTATTTTTCTGCCCGTCGTAATTCAGGCTCCTAGGCCAAAACCTCAGGCTCCTAGGCAAAATCAGGCCAAAGTCAGGCATTAAGGCATCAAGATTAGTTAGAAACGGCATTTTGGCCCCTGGCGCTTATACAGCGGCGTAGTGAACATGGTTAATCACGAGGCTCATGCAGCTAAAGTGCTATGGTTACATCGAGAAAATGCAAACGCCATCGCGGCGCGGAGAAACATGCCGAAACTTTTTGAACAAGACTGATCCCGCTAGCGCATGGCTCGGTCGGACTCTGTGTGCATTTGCACGAGGCATCTTGGAGCGGGCGATCGGCTTGGTGGGTATTTCTGCCAGTGAATTCATAGTCTACTTTAGCGATAACCGCTACTTTGAAGAATAATTTCTGTCAGTTATACTATACGTACAATAATTATTGCCAAGTAATCTAGTCTTTGCTCTATCTCTACTGATCAGACAGGAACAACAATCAACATTATACTCCGTAAAGTGGAAGAAAATTATGAGATCCCGCCCCCACATGAAGCTAGTCAAGTACCAAGAACTGTTGCACGTATGCATACTCTAAGCCTCTCATACATGAAAATACGAGTAGAAACGTCTAGTTTCCAAATTTTCAATATCATGCACTCTTTACTTCGTGGTATGTTCACAAAAGACAGGACATAATGGCAGTCTCAGCTCCGATCATCGAAGTCCCTCAAAATGAAACACTCACGAGTCTAATGACGACATTCTGCTCTGCATCTTCCTCTCCAAAGCTGATGCAAGACACAATTCATGGCTTGACGGAGGAGATTATGAGTGTGGCAAAGTCCCACGACGGAAGCCTTACCCAATCTGCGACCACGATGATCCCAATTCTACGCGGAGCTTTGCCAATGTTCGTGGCCGCGCAACGATGTCTCCCTGCTACCTCATGCATCTTGTCGCGCTGCAGCAAGGCAAAAGGCACCCAGAATGTGGTGGTTGAATGGCTAGGCCGGCGGCCGTTTCCAACGGACCCCGATGATGGGAAGATTTTGATACTCGACACGATCATTGCTACCGGCGATACAGTTGTCAAGCTCTGTGAGGAGCTTTGGGAAATGGGTGGACAGCAGTCCATATCAGTGGTGGTATTATGCTGCTATGCAGCCCCTGAGGCATTAAAGAGGGTAGCAGAGTGCCCGGTGGTTGAGTATGTGGTTGTTGGAAAGAAAGCTGAGAAATGTGACGAAAAAGGGTACTTGGTTCCTTATACGAATGGAGACATAGGCGATAAGATTTATGGAATCCGGGATACGGAGACGAAGACAAGGAAACCGATGATTGCGGAAGGAGAGGATGTGCAGAGTGTTTTGTCGGGGGTTGAGACTTTGCTCGTTGAGAATGGTGGATTTTGGGAATTGAGCGAGGACGGTATGGGAATTCAACGGGAGATGCAGTTCCCTGGGTTCAAGCAGGCATGGGTAAGTTATGCTTCTCAATCACATTCTGGGTAACACTAACCGGGTGTGAAAAATGAAGATCTTTATGAACCAGGTCGCAGATTGTGCGGCTAAGCACCGCCATCATCCTGAATGGACGAATGTGTGTCGATTTGAATATCTTTCCTGTCAAATTGCCGTTTGAAATGCTGACCAATGAATGTTTTCAGGTTTACAACAATGTCTCTATCCGCTGGACTACTCACCACCCGAAAGGGCTGACGAACTTGGATGTTACTATGGCTCGGCTTTGTGATAGTTTTGTGTAAAAGGGTAACTAGAAAATCCCCTGCTCTATTTTCAAACTTTTTTCGCGATAGACAGCCCTCCAAGAACTACTCTCGCCATAGTGAAGAAAAATACGCTTGCCATCATCATTGCACCCGCCCATACCTGTAATCCCCAATATGTCTCGTTTTGTCGACTCAAAATCGCTCCAGCAATGGGGCTTCCGGTGAGCGATGCGATACTGATGCAAGTGAACAAAACTCCCTGGCGAACACCAATCTTGGTCACGTCGGGTGAGATTTGACCCAGTAGGGCAGGCACCATGCCGACAAACGCACCCGATGCAAACCCGTAAAGCATGCTAAAGACAATGTAGATGGTCGCACTCCCCGGTGCGAGAAGAGTACCTGGAAGCCATAGGGCGAGAATCACAATTGCAGACAATGAACACATAGCGATCATAACATTGAATCGACCCAATTTGTCTCCGAGGTAGCCTGGTAGAATTCGACCTGGAAGACTTTTGGCGACAATTTTGTTAGCTCAGTCATGCCTTTCCCAAGAACACAGGAAATGCCGTGGTACTCACCTGGCGGCATTAAGGATAGTCAACAAGTAACCAGCTATGTCGCGGCTCACGCCATCCTCCTGGGCCTCTAGCACAACATAGTTGATTGGTACAAACATGGCGAAAAATCCACAACAGGATGCCAGCACCAACAAAACAAACGGTACCTCCCTAAACGGACTTGTATAATCACTCAACTTAACTGGCCGAGGGACAGGTACGATTCTTGATCGGACAGTCAGGTTGGCAATTAGCAATAGTGCGAGGACGATAAACCCGGAGATGCGTAGGGACCATCCAAACCCGATAGTGGGCAAAAGCCGAGACAACATGGTGGGGAAGACAACTCCACCAAGTGATGATCCACTGGACACAATACCAAAAGCCAAGGCACGTCGTTTCTCGAACCACGTTGCGGTACAAGAGAGCGCTGGCGAGAATACAAAGCTTGCACCAAGAGGGCTGCAAATTCCCTGGGCCACGAAAAATTGATAGTACTCAGTGGATATGGAGGTCATCATGAGGCCAAAGACATGAAGAAATGTTCCAATTAGAAGTAGCCACTTGGGGCCATAATTGTCGAATACCTGGAGAAAGAAAGAATATCAACATTCACATCCTGAGCGTAGTTGACGGGGTTGATTCACTCTTCCAATAACAAGTCCAGCCGCAAAGAGTACAAACGGCTCCAGGGATAAGATCCAGGAGATGCTAGATGACGAGTAGGAATGTAGTTGATTACTCTGATAATAGTCCTGAAAGATCCCAATGGCTAATGGTGGAGACAAGCGTCTCAGATTAGCTCCGGTCGGCATGAGACATGGTATGATACAGGACTCAGTCTTACCATTGACCCAACCAAAGGCGCAAAATAGACAGCACCAAGCTCCTATGACGACGGTCCAGGCGCGAATTCCCCCATCCACCTGTTCAGCGGCATCCTCTTGGGCGTCACTATCCGAGGCCGCCACCGGGCCTTTCGACTCTGTGACAAATGTTGTTGCCATGTTTGGCCTTTAGACAAGTCTGAATTCAACGATTTTGACACAACATCTAGAGCCACAAGGCAGGCAACGAGCGAGAGATAAGCGAATGGACGATAGTTTGCCAAGGGATAAATCTACTATCTCAACGATATCCAAGTCGGGCCCCCTAACACGTGACTGGGTTTTAAATCCATCTTTGCCTTGTTTGCCAATTGCATTGGATAATTAGGTTGGTGAGATTAGCTAGTTTTCTATCTCGAGCGTAGTGGTGTTTCGGGCACCCCGATCACACGACTTGCCCTGAAAACTGGATCGAACAACCCCGGGATCAATCTTATTGGAAGGCTCTTGACCATGCAATTTTCTTTGTTGTGTGCCCCTTTGCCCAGCTCGTTGGGTTTTCAGCGACTAACCACAATCATCCCCTCCGCGCCCTCCGCGTCCCGGCCCGCTGTCGATCGCCACTCTTACCCCACAAAGCAATGTGGCCAATTCTAGACTAATGAATTAAATTGGCCACGACTGTCAAGTTATGGCCCACTTTTTCCATTGGCGTACGGTATGACCGTGATCTTTCAACTGCACAATATCATGAGTCTTACTTACAGACAAGATAATCTCAGTATCTGTGAGACTATCTACCGGAGTCTGACTTCTCGCCGATCACAGATACAGAGGGAGAAGGTCCAAGGTCAGTGGGGTACATCGCAGGGGTCACGTAGCCAATTGGGTGTATGGTCTCAGTACCACAAGATCGAAGACATGCCGTTTCGCGAGCGTTGTAGGCTGATCAAGGTTCTGAAGTAGATCGAAGTTTGTGGAAAAGACAAGGAACACTATATATAAGCCTTGGAAGCCATAACTTAATGCTAACGTTACATGAGAACAAGAAGATTATTGTTTTAGCAAAGACCTTTTCTAAAATGGCTGTTGTCAACAATAATGACCGTGCCATGGAAGAGGTATAGGTTGTTTAGGCGACTCTCTATCGAAGGCCTTCCGTGGGAAAATTTACGGTCTTTCATCCTTCAGCACTCTACTTCGAAGGCTTGAGTGTACATTTCATTTCACTTTTACTTTTATTCTCTCGTTGTATCCAAGGAAAATACAAAAATGGACTACGAAAAGGGAAATAACTTGCTGACTAGAGTCCCAAGACGCGTTCACGCGATAGGAAGTCAGGAAAAGCCAAGAATATATCCACTGGCAAAGGTACTGACTACTCTTTCCTTTATCCAATCAATTATCGTGAAAACAAAAAGCAGTACGTAGCGGAAACAAGGCGTTACGGGGCAACTAATTTGGCCAAAGGTCCGTGGAGAATGTGGACTTGTGCCATTGAAGGTCAGGGAAAAGCTTCACAATACTTACGTGCAGAAAAGTAAGCAAAGAATGTAACCCCAAAAGAATACGAAGTACATGCATCTGATATGATTCGCTGAAACACGCTTGTAGAGTCAATTCCCATGCTTGCAGGGCGCCTGGAAATTAGTGTCCTCGCAAGCAAGAAGAGTTACCGTAATTTTGGAACCCCAATCTGATATAGGTCTATAAGAGTGCTAGCAACGTATGGGCTCAGCAGACTTATCCAGTGAGCATCTCTGAGCTTCATCCCAAGTTTCTCTGTTTACAACATGTATTCAATCGCTTCCATATTACGGACAATACTACAAGACTATCTCTTGAGTTCAACGGCTGAGCCAATTTCTGACAAAGAACAACTACTCTCAGAAAAACCGCCACAATTTTCTCGTGATTCCTCGGAAGGACTCCTGCACCCTTTCGAAGATCTATCCCCTGCCTATGATTCTTCAACATGGTGGTTAGATGGCCACTTCCCTGCGCATCCTCACCTGTGTGATGACGAAAGAGTTCGATCCCATATAGAGGCCATCAAATGCGCTTTGTTCCAATATACTCTGGAAGGATGCAAGTTTCTCGTGGAGAGAGCGGACAACAATTTGCTCCTCTCTTCCTTTTCCGATCACGAATTGCTTTGGAAAGCAGCAATCTCGGTACAAAAATATGGAGTTATATTTATGGCAGCTCGCTCGGAATGCAGGAAAAAGTTCCTACCAACGGTCCAATCGGACCTTCATCTTTTCGCAGAAATCGATGTCTTCCTCTCTGACAACAACAACGCTATTCGGGCTATTAATTATGGTGTTCATCGTCTGGTCAAAAGTTCAACTTTTACTGTGGACTACCAGACCAGACTCATTCCTCCAAACGCTATATCAGCAATTGGTGTAAGCCATATTGCAGTTCGAGCAAAGGATTTTGAAAAAGAGAGCATTTTGATGCTAGAAAATGCATCTCCTCTTTGGGACCTCCATGATTTCGCCCACCTTTCGGCTGCATCAGTAGCCCCCAATCTATACGGCTCGAAATATTTCCCGCATCTCGTGAAGCTCCCATCTAAGCTGACGGCCTTGATTCGCAGCCCGAAAATGAAGACTGCAGATCCCGAACCTCGGTTTTCAGATGGTGTTGTCTTCAGTGAGCTTCTCACGCCTCTATTCACGTCCGAAATAGAGGCTGTGCAAAGGGGGGAGAAAGTGCATACGTATATGTCTCTCACGAATACTTTGGCCGAATACATTGCAGATTATTTAATGGGGAGACGCGAGCTCCAGCATTTGACTACTGGTAAAATGCTGGGTGTGAAGCATCCCATACGGCCCGTTGAGTTGGCAACTCTCGCGCAGAACAAGAACTATGAGTTGGTGGCGAGCGAGATTGAACAGCGGGTGTTTACGCGAGGGGGCCCTGCTGGGGATGCCAAGGACGACCTGGACAAGTTGTCCGCATTTGAGAGAATCAAGTTCATTGCGGGCTGTCGCAGATGGTTATATTTTGAAATGAGAAATACCATCAAGCACCGTGCCCACAAGCTTGCTTACCAAAAAGTGGCTGAGAATATGCTTGCGTCCGACAATGAAGCTTCGATCACTGCCAGCGATTCTGTCCTGTTGACAAAAACTCTACAAAACATTAACTACCGAGGCTGGGAAAACGATCAAGTGGTGAACCTTTGGCAAATCGTTTCAGATCTTTAAGGGTTTTCTTTTTTCAATACTGTGAGGGCAGGGGAAAATACACGGATTCAATGGAATGCCCGGGGTGTAGCAACATACAAAATCGTTTAAATATCATACACAAGAGAAACTTGGTGGGCCAATTTGGTTCCTTTGAATCTACAATCGCATGAGTGTGCTCACTTATGAAGCCCAAGTCTTGTTGGTCTATAGGCTGTTCTCTATAACTTATCTCCTGCGATACCACAGGCACAAAGAAACACCTGAAGCCATAAAGTCTTTGATCCTGGAAAAAATAGGGTATGAAGTTTCTCGCCACCATTTTTTCCTAGCCACGTTGATGATCTCTAATTGGAAACTTGGACCTACTTATTGTGTCTGATCCTCTAGAAAACTTGATTTGATTAACATTGTGTCTCCCTCCCTCACATATGGTCTTAATTGTTGTGAAGAAATGAGAGTTTTCACCAGGTTCGTGTACCCACTTTAAAGACCGAAAGTGCCACATGCCTGCTATTTGCGGGGTCGGTTCAATGCTTCTCTTGCCGGAGCACGTAGTTCAGTCGGCTCATCAGCTGTCGTGCCAAGTGGATATCGAGGAGCACATAGCCGACATGCGCGGGGTAGATAACACCAAATAGAAATCGGATAGATATGGTTGTGCCGAATGGGCAATATCTGTCTGAGCTTTTTCTAATCCGCCTAGCTGCTATAAACAGCTCGCAAATAACGTGGTCCAGCATGCTACGCACGAGGTGGTCCGTTGACTGTGACAGATGCCAACTTCTTCCTGGGGCGAGTTATACCGAAGTACTTCCCGATGAAACTAGATCTTCAGGTTGTTAGGGACAAATTTGTTGCGCTCACAGATGTCATAAACGCCGAGAAGGATGGCTCCTCGGAGCTTACGGCGGAGGACGTTGCTGTCGGATTCCTCTCCATTGCCAACGCAACCATGACTCGGCCGATTCGAGCACTGAGTGAGGGCCGTGGATTTGAGACTGCTGCCCACAATCTGTGTTGCTTCGTTTGGAAAATAGAGTCAAGAATAGCAAAAGCCGGATTCAACCATGCACTGACGAGATTACACTCAATATCTGGATTGAAAAAGGTGCTGCATAAGAGGGAGCGTAAACCCCACGCGTTAGAACTTAACGTTATGTACTTCAAGAGCGATTCGCTATGCTCGTTGAGAAGTTTGGTAATAGAGACATGAGAGTCACCAGCAATATTCTTTCTTTCGAGCCAAAAACCTTATTTTGGGAACGGAAGAGAAACCATTCTCTTCTTTAAAAATGGGATGCAGAGTACTCTGGCAAGTACAACTGAGCACTGAGCGTATAGGCGATGATGCATACAGAAACGAGAAACGTATTTGAGAGCTGTAACTGAATCTGGTGGATTTGGTTTGGCACCCAAAATACCTTCTGTGGCTAGGGTGAATCCCGCATTCTTTACCGACACCGACCATGGCGACAAATATTCACGGCCATTATATTTAGACGTCGCATCCTAGCCATTGCCAGAGAATAAAATGGCGCGCCACCAGAACACTTCTTCTTTACAAGCATTGTCGCCGATGTCGATTTCAACCACGGATTGCTTATCCGACTGCGGTAATGGATACTCCACCTCTTGCAGTATAGGCCATATGACATTCATGATCTGTAGAGCGACTTAGCAACTCAAACTCGTCGACATTGGTGATGTGGGCAGGGCGTTGGACGTTGCAGACAATGGCTGTACGACTACGCCTGCGGGGAAGTTTGGTGGCGAGGGCTACGACCGGCCGAAGACGAGGGCGCTCTGGAATCGCGAACGGCGGTATAAGCGGCGGTATAAGCGGCGGCACTATTTTGATGTCGTTTCGCTATATCGTGCGTGTCTCGAGGTCTGGACCTCTGAAGGCCACGGGCGCTTGTTTGCTTCGATCGCTAAGCGCTTGCTGTTCGACGCGGTATCTTCGCAGTTAGATTATGGGCGCATCTACCTTACCATGTCCTGGATCTGGGCGGGGCCTTATTGGATAGATATCGGCCGGTACGTCCTTGACTCAGGGCTACTCAAGCTGTCGGATGCGCAATACCGACTCGCCTGCAAGGAGACGACGGCGCAGGTTGCGAGGTCCTGGTTCTTCCCTAAGACCAACACGCAGCACATCGCGTCAACTTATTTCTTGAATGCTGAGGACCTCGTTGGCTACCCCGATACAGCTACCCTGAGCGTGCTCAGGGCACGCGCAGCTTCGAAGCGTATCTCAGGCAGTATTCCCTTGCCGCCGAATCGCTAGTCGAGCCGCTTTATGCGCGCTATAACGACAAGGCTGTATCGCTAGACGAGATGCTCCGGACGCGTGTTGCTTGGGGAGCCGGTGGAGTATCGGGGCGCCGCGCGCGTGAGCTGTTGGGGCCTGATGTCGCGCCGGCAGGCAGTGCGAAGGGTTATGTTTTGGCGCGCACGGGAGCGGACTTGTGGCGTAAGCCTTGGGGCACTACTTACGTCGAAACCGCTGACAAGAGTGACGAGCGTGGCGTCACGCGAACAATTGCCGCCACCGACATGCGCGATCAGCTGAGCGAACAGGTCGCCTTCAAGGCCATCACTAACCGGTATCCTGAGGTTGGCCTCGACATCGGAGAATCTCCCACGCAAGCAATGGCGCGCCACCTCAATTTGGCGGTTGCTAGCGAACGCCGAGACGTGGATATGCATGATGGGAAGGTGATCATGTGTTGGGACTGGCAGGCCTGGGATCATTTAGTCCACTCGGCTGAGCGGGTGCTGGTACTGCAGGCCATGCTGAAGATGAGCAGGAAGTATCTTTCCGGTGCTATTCTCAAGGATGTCGAGACGGAGCTTCTTGCTCTTGTCGCTAGCGCCGATGAGCTAGTGTTCAGGTCCCAAGCTTATGCTGACGAGCGCTACTCGCAAGTCGTGGATGACATCATCACGGCTTCGGAGGGCAGGGCACGCCGGCTCCCGGGGCATGCGGGGCAGTTTGCCATTAGTATCGACAAGCCCAATGGGCAGCAGTCCGGTCGCAAGTCAACTCTCGAGGGCAATACTGGAACGAAGAACAATGGGGTGATACAACGAAGCAGGTACAGAAATATCTCCGCCAATTTCTGATCATCAATGGTGTTTGCGTGGAGCGGTTCCGCATACTTGTTCTCGCGGTTCCGTGCGTCGGACGGTCTCCAAGTAGGATCTGGGCTGCCGACCCGTGGAGCTGTCGTTGAAGTTTGGGGAGGCGGGGGAGCGGAGTGCTCGCGAGGTTGCGGAATATAAGGACATCATCATCATCACCCCATTGTTCTTCGTTACAGTCATCAGACTGATGAGTGAAGGCAGTCCATAGGTCTCGGCCTACAGCTCGTCTTTTTTCCCAAAGAAGACTGATGTCGACGATGTGGCCTGTAGTTTGTTGCTCGGTGGGGGACGTAAGCTTGTCGCATTTGGTGATCCTACCCCATGTATCTAGGTCAACCTTATCAACGAAAAGATTGAGGGTCTTCGCCCTGGGAGGTACTCCCAGCGACCGACACTGCCACTGGGACTCATGGGGGATCCTCCTGATGATTCGCCTGTTGCCATCTTTCTCGTTCTTGCCCTCGGTAGGCAGTCTTGGGATCTGGCGAGGGCGCGCAACGCGTAGAAGTAGTGGGATCAAGATTGAGCGAGAAAATGAAGCTTTCGCGATGTTCGAGCTGTGTATAATGCCCTCGCTAAATTTGTCATGTCATCACATGATTTAAATTTCACGTGATCTAAATTTTTATGTTGTATGCTTAGTAATTATTGTCTGACCCTGGCAGATTGTGAAACTCGGACTTTGGTGTTTTTATATTGACTTAGTTAAACAAAAGTTTCACTTGAGGTACATGGTGGCTGAATGCCGATGTTTCGCCCAAGTCCGCGGCATACTCCGCTGATTGAGAATCTCATGAGCGTCCTTTCAGCCACCATGTACCTCAAGTGAAACTTTTGTTTAACTAAGTCAATATAAAAACACCAACGTCCGAGTTTGATGTGCGTGAACCGAAATTTCCCTTCTTTTTGGATAATCTTAGTGAGCTCCCGCACTGCGTCGTTTAGCTTCGATCGAACAAATGCATTCTCCTGTATGGCTTTAGAAAAAAAGCCTGTCCGGTAGAGCATCGAAAGCGAATGTGAATATACCGTTCAGTATTTCAGGTTGGTTCTATGAGCAAGGCGTGGTCAGCTTCAAGTTACTCGCGTAGTCAATTTAGATTACTCACTCGCTTATTCCAATTGCAAACGACCGTAAGGAAATCCACCCAGTGATTGAGCTCTAATGGACGTTTCTTCGAATGCCGCTCGCAAGTTTTATTTCGCTTCCCTTGCTTGTTGATTCGAAATTCATCAATGGGACGGGGGCGACTGCACTTAGTGCAAAAGATACCCACAGGATCCACTCTTAAAGACGTAGAACAAAGCAGCGGGTGAGGGTGGTGGGAGAAGGGTTGAGAGTATGAGAGTATGAGATGCGGTGAAAGGGGCGCGCGTAACAAGCTAGGGAGAAGGAAATGAGAAAACGTAAACAAAAATGACTAATCGTACACAGAAACCTCATGACTAATCAATCATGACTAACAAAAAGCATCACGTGCCCAACAAAAATTGAGAGGGCACCCTCCTCGGATATGCATTCATTCTTAGCTATAACAACAACGAAATACTACACAGATTACACCGAGCAGGAGCTTCCACGATAGTAGGCCCTCTGCCCAGTAATCGCCGTAGTCTTCGACGTTTCGCACACCAGCAATATTGCAGTGTAGAATTAACACTGATCAGTCACCAGTGGTTGACCCTACTCAACCTACAGATCAACAAGGCTCATCGCGAAATCCGAGGAGGGTGCCCTCTCCAGCTTGAAAGCATCGCGAAATACCCCTCAATACACCGGACGCAAACGGTTTGTTAACTTGTTACACCAGTTCCAACACCATGACTTCGGTTTAAATGATCTGAATCCAGTTTGATCTTGATCGTTCAATCAGCATAGTCTATGTAGCCAACCACTGGACTTCATTAACGCTTGGGGGACAATATGAGCCTAGGTAGCAAGCAGGCCCAGTATCGTAAGCCAAATAAGGAAAAAAGCAAAAGGGTATCTATATTTCGTCCAGTAACGCCCTGATCATCATGATAAAAAGAAAACACCGTTAAGGCCATTATTCCTTGCCCTTGAACTCGAATTCTAGAAACGATTAGCCCAACACCTAGAATAAAAAGTGTAGGAAAGCATACTTTGTCGGCACATTGGACATAATCCCTTGGAAGTGTCCAGTTCAATCCAAGTCATTAAGCAATGCTGTCAAGTGTTGATCAGTCCTGTCCTAGCGTATATGCCCACTCCGCAGGCTTACCATATGGAATGCATGGTTGCATTTTCCTTGTACTGCAATGGTCATCATAGTCAGCGCTGAGCATCGACTTGGTGAAGCAAAAGTGGTCACTCACCAAGGGCGCAGTCGTCGCCGGGGAATTTGCAGGTTGGACACGTGCCGTCGAATTGCACGCGACAGATGCCACACACTTCATCGTCGGGGATATCCCAATGCCAAGTAGCAATGGCGTTCCATTCTTTAATGGTGACTTTCATTTTGCGCAGTGTAGAAACTTGATGCCAAGCAAGAAGGTGAGGGAGGCTGGAGAAAAACATTGATAAGCGGGTCAACGCACTATCTCTTATCACATGAGGCCTTCTCCGCATCCCCCCAATGCCGCCCTAAAACGCAATAACACTCCTCTTATTGCTCTTCCTAGCTGGGTTTACTGGTCTTACTTGCAGTTGAAGTTTGACCTAGTTATGTAAATTGGACTCAAGAAAGGCTCTTCTCTCCACTATGACATTCACGGCCATCCGATCCCTTTCCCCTGCCCGGCTCTTCCGTCACAACATGTCCACTTCCACCGGCCTTCATGGCCAGCGCAGTATCTCTTTTTCTTCGTACCTAGTGACGCCAAAACAACTGAGTGAAGCACTCAAGAAGAACCCTCCAACCAAAATTTCAACTTCCCCGCGTGTGATTCCTCTCTGCGCAGCATGGTTCATGCCAAATGACCCACAGGGTCGTACGGGCATCGAGTCCTTCCGCAACTCGCGCATTCCTCAAGCCCGATTTTTCGACCTTGATGCCATCAAAGACAAAGACTCCCCATATCCCCACATGCTTCCAACTTGTGAGGCATTTGCTGAGGCCATGAGCGAGTTGGGCATCCGCCGCGACGACGAGGTGGTGGTCTATGATACTGCCGAGCTGGGTATTTTCAGTGCACCCCGTGTTGGTTGGACATTTCGTGTTTTTGGCCATCCAAATGTGCATGTCCTCAACAACTACCGCCTCTGGGTTAAGGAGGGACTTCCGACCGAGAGCGGCGAGCCTGCGCCAGTGGAGAAATCCAAGTACACTATTCCAACCTTCGACTCACGGTTGGTGATCTCCTTCCGCGAGATGAAAGAGCTTGCTTTGGACTATGGCAAGGAAGGTGCCGAGCCAGTTGAGATACTAGATGCACGCTCCTACGGTCGCTGGGCTGGAACCGACCCGGAGCCGCGCCCAGGCTTGTCATCTGGCCATCTTCCTGGCTCTAAGAGCCTGCCTTTCCAAGAACTTTTGGACCCTGAGACAAAGACATATCTTCCCGCTGAAGAGCTGCGGAACGTCTTTGAGAAACACGAGGTGGATCCTACTCAGACAATCATCAGCTCGTGCGGGACTGGCGTGACTGCCTCCATCATCGAGACGGCCTTGGGCGAGGCAGACTATGGCGACCCGCATCTGCGTCGGGTATATGACGGTAGCTGGACGTAAGTGCACAAAGATTACCCCGGTGGTTGCTAGTACTAACAATGAAACCAGTGAATGGGCGCAGCGAGTTAAGGAATCGGATGGCCTCATTAAGAAGGTGAAGTCATAAGCCATGGCTCTCTCACCAACATGATTCTTATCTCTTTCTCCATTTTGGACCATTTCCATTATATTAGACTGTATACCTCCAGATACCTCCAAATACCTCCAGAAGATATAGAAACTCTCCTAAATTCCTCCAACCTTGGAAGGCCGTTCCTGAATTAGTCAGCATATCTCCATCCCGCCAGCCCATCGCATCATTTCCGGAGGCAGTTTCTTTGGCTTCAAGCAGACTGTATCTACTACAAAGATGCTGCAGATGGGAACATCTTGTCAACTGACTTCTCATAGTGAGTGAAAAGTTCCGGCCTCTTCTATCCGCACCCGCACCCTTCCCCCACATTCTCATGTCCGTCAAACCTCCTTCCTCAGCTCTAGGCCCGTGCTGACCGGCCGATTCAGTTGCAGTTGTCTGCACTTCTAGTCCGATAAGAGACGGTCTCTATTCTCTCACCTATCCTTCGCTTTAAAGACATTCGTTTACCATCCGCCATGTCGACCGGACGCAAGGTCTTTCATTGTGCCGTCGACGAGACGGCCCTCTCCACCAATATCAGCGAAATCAAGAAATGGACCGCCAACGGCGCTATTGATCTTGTGGTTCCTCTCTACAGTGAGTGCTTGAGTCTTTCAGAGGGCTTCATTGCCCCGGTATAGTCCTTGTTGATCTAATCGTTACTCTCCGATTAGCTCTTGAACGACTCCATGCGCTGAAGCGAGCCGGGTCTCAGGTCGCTATCAATGCCCGCGAGGCAGTCCGCTTTCTCGACAGGGTCACCTCCGGCAAGGATCATATTACCGCCGATCGAGTTGTCCTTCAAGGCCCCATGGAGCAATACGAGCGCTGGGAGGACGCCGAGAAATATTTCCTGCCAGAATTCGAGGAGGAACCCGAGGAGACCAGCGAGGTCGCCACTAATGACGAGCCGGCGACCGAATCAAGCGTTAATGAGACTGTGGCCAAGAAAGAGTCGGATGATTTGTCGCAAATGCTGTTGTCCAAGCTGAACTTCAAGAAGGACCCGGAGGCCGTGTCGATTACCTCTGTCGGTACCCCCAGCGGACATGGCTCGCGCACATCCTCTCGCAGCTCTCGCACTAGCCCCGAGTGCGCTCAGCATGACGCCAGTAACGGAACAGGAAAGAGCAATGACAAGACCAAGCGAAAGTCCTCAAGCCACCAGCGCACCACCTCTGGATCCGCCATTCCGACAGCGCCACCCGCTCTGCGCCCGTTGCTGAGCGCCCTGCTTTGGCGATTGCATGCTGGGCCCGATGCCGAGAACTCTACTAAGACATGCATTCTTATCACCAACGACCGTGCGACTCAGGTGTGGGCTCAAAAGTTCGGCATTGGCGTCAAGAACATCCTGCAGCTGCGCACCGCCATCCAGTACGAGGAACGCGAATACAAGAACCGCTGCAAATACGTCGAGAAGACTCAAACTCAACCCGTTGAACCCAAGACACTGTTGTCTTACGAGGAAGAAAGCGACGAGGATGAGCTGGTGTTCGTTCCCCGTGGCCGTGGTAAGGGAGCCGCCCGAGCTGCGCCGCGCACTGGTGGCCAGCGCAAGCCTACACCGAAAGTTGCGCCTCCTCCCGTTGAACCTATTACTACGGTTGAAGTTCCTACTCAGCCCATTGACCCGGACTCTTTCAGTCGTTCTCTGGGTGGCGCTACCAAGCAGGCCACGGTGGACTTGGACACTCAGCAAGGCGCTGCCAATACCGCCCGTGGTGACTCCGGAGCCTCTCGGCGCTCAGCTAATGGTCGCCGTGGTGGAGCTTCACGTGGCGGGGCTTCGCGTGGTGTCAGAGGCAATGCCCGTGGTCGTGGTAAACTCTGGGTTCCTTGATCGGTACGAGTAGAACGGCCTACTCCGAATCATCGCATGATAACAGTAGGCCGGAGTGTTTTGTGAACCAATGCATCCAGAACCAGACAGGGTGTCTCTCTTTCTGAAGAACTACACAGTATCCTCAAATTCAGGGGAACTGAAACTGGATCTGTCTTGCTGTGATTGCCTACAGAGTGATTTCCTCTTCCCTCGGCATAAAACATCTCAGGACCCCGGCATAATCGGACCTTGGAAACGAAAGGACATGAATCCCATGGTGGATTCAACACGCGGCTCAATGCGCTGCTTGGATATGTCCATTTCGGAACGCCTGTGCCCTCCTTTGCTCCCTTTCACCCTTTCCCCTCGGAGACGGAGATGAGAGGTCGTCGAAGCAGACGTTGAGACAGTTGCTATTTTCGGACTGGGATATGGTATGGATTCTTTTATTTTTCTCCATGTGCTAGCATAGCAGTTCAGTTTATCCCGGTAATTCAATTACTTCAATTACTTGTTTTTTTTATAAATGACACTTCCACGTAGATCGATCAGGTAGATCGATCAGCCGGATGTACCTGTTCAAGTACATGTAACTATACCGTTTGGGTTTCCCCGCGTGCCGTGGGACATCACTTGACCTTGTACTTCTTCTCTTCTTCTTTTTCTCTTCTTTAACAGCTTAGATCCTTTTAAAACTTCCCACATCTTTGAACCCCATATATCTTTTACCATGTCTTCTATCGAACAGACCCTCCCTCCAACCCATGAGCGCCGCAACTCGTTGGAGAAACATCTCCAAACCCGCCCGGACATGCAGGATCTCAAGGACCGCCACATCCTGCTGGATACCAATGTAGCTCCGTGGGTGTTCTCATGGAATATGGGTAATGAAATGAATCGTTGACCCAACTTCAGAGCCCTTCAATCCGTCCGCCAGGACCTCGACCGTCAGCGTGCTACAGACAGTCTGAAGAAGAACCTGGAGAAGAGACCCGAGAAAGACCAGCTGATTGAGCGTATGGTCTCCTTTCTTTACCTTTGCTTAAATTTTCCCACATTTCCAAGTTTCCATCTTTGTTTTCAATGGGCGATATCTACGTGAATGTACTAACCCCCGCCAAGGGAACATCCTCCCCGCATCTTCCGCCGCCCCAGCATTGCAGGCCCACGCCCGCGAACTCGAGAAGCATATGCGGGCCGACAGTCTCGAGCACAAGATACAGAACCGGCCACAGCCGGAAGAGCTGATTTCGCAGGGTATCCTCTCTGAAGATGAGAACCCGCGCTCGCCGGTCTAATCCTTGTCTTACGGAGTCATCACCGCCACGGCGGTGATACGAGATATGGGTGCCACGATCGTTTTATGAGGGCGTTTAACTTTACTTTCGATTTGACCACTGGGATTGACTTGATTCACTGGCTTAAATTGTTTCTGCGGTCGTTTCTATGTCCAGCCGTTTCGACTTACTGTCTTTATCGTGACTTGTGCTGATGTCATTGTGACGCATCATTCTCACCTATCGGTACGGAGTAGAGCAATGTCAATATGGACGGGAGATCTGTTGTGGTAATTGTAGGTTTAACAAGTCGATAATGAGAATGGGTATGCAATCAAATGAATGATGTTTACTGTTGGATCAAGTAATTATAGGCATGCTACATGTATCCCTAGGTCTTACGTTCTTCTAGTTATTGAAGACAGTGTAGTTAGATGCTGTCCGAAACATGCCGTTGCTCATTGCTACATCTCTGAAGACTAAAGATGACTTTTCTAGTGAGTTTCCACCTCAACCGGCCCTGACAGATCAGGCGTCCACCCACTCGGCCGTTCACTTCCACGCACGAGAATCCCATACGCCGCCCTCTCAACCTTTTCCACACTATTCTGCATCACCTCCATTTTCTTCCCCAAGTCCCGGAGCATAGAATGTCGCCTCGGCACAGTCATAGCCTCGAAACCGGCACGAATCGCACGCAGATCAACGACGATACCACCTTGTGACGGAGCGAGTGTCGGTCTCGCGCTTTCGCCCTCTGTATTCCCCGACTTCGTTGCTGCTGCATTTCCGGAGCTCAGTGACAGAACTGCGAATCGCATCATTTCTCCCGTTAGGTCGAATAGACCCATTAGGTAGTCTTCTTCTGAGACGAGGATCTGGGATGGGATGCGGGCGGCGCACTCGGCATGCGTGATTAGCGTTTGTGTGCGGAGGTAGTGGTCGAAAGAGAGGGCTTCGATGAATTCTTGGATGCCGCCGCTGATTTGGCGCTGGTAGCGCCAGCCGTTTATGCCGAGTTGTTCGGGCACGACGGCTTCGAAGAGCTCGTTGATTGCGTTGAAGCGGAGTTGGTTTTCTTGGGCGATCTTGGGTGGGAGGGGTTGGTTGGTTGCGCGGACTCGTTGGAGGGCGAAGATGCTATAGAATTGGATTAGATGTAGATCATTTAAGAGAAAGGGAAGGCATACATCTTCTTGCTTAGAGCTGTGATGTCGCGGCTCTTTTTGATGATCCGCTCGCGTCGGTCATGGTGTTCGTCCAGCTCGTCACGGAAGTTCTCGAACATGGACTGGATTGAGGGGGCTGATGGTTCTGATTCGGCCATGATTGTGTCTTTGGGATGAAGCTCAAGTGGCTGGCCTTCCCAGGAGCGTTTGGTGCCCATTTGTAAAAAAATTGGGAGGTTGGAGGTTGCTACTTGAATGCGAGATTGCACTATCTCCCGCGTAACGATAACGTCGATACGTCGATAAGATATGGCATGCAGATCTCTAACCTGCCGACCTGCCAACCTGCACATATCTTTCGAAACCTCCAGTTCCCTCTCTTTGAATGAAGATTACAAGCTATGGCATTACCTGATGAAAGAACTCTTACTTCGATGGCCAATGGATTGCAGGTTGTGTAAAGAGTGGAATCGAGGGATGCTCAATGCTGGGAAGGGTCAGTAGCTTATATCATCGAGACAGACGGACAGTAGATGACAGCCTTTCGTTGAGCCTCTGAGGGACAGCGATCAAGAGCCCTGAACAAATGCATTTGGATATAGTGTGGTGCATTCTATTGAGCTGCTGCTGCTGACCAATAAGCTAGGTAGTTCATTATTGTCACTCCTGACTTTGTGTCTCGAGTCTCGACTCTCTATGATTTACCTACTTTGAATCAGAAAAGCATACATTTAAGCGTACATTGCTTTTGACTATTGCGTTAACCGTGTGAAATTGCTTGTAATATACATTCACGTCACTTCTCTTTAATTGCACGGCCCTTCCACAGGCTCGCCCAGCAAGGCCTTCTTCGGCGGGGTCTTCGTATTGCCGCTGCCTTCCGACTTGACGATTTTGGCATCTGCTAGTTGCGACGGTGCATGGTTCGGACCAGACCCTGATCCGACAGACACGCCATTCTTGTTGTCTGTAGCTTGGCTGCGCGGGGAGTTGAGGTTAGACCCATAAACATCAGGTCTTTCTCAAAGCTTGAAGCTTCAAAGCAGACTCAGGCTTTCCAGCTTCGCCTCAAGGGTTTGCATTTTGACACCTGACTTGTGAGTATGCTTGAACCCCATCGTCCCTTCCCATCTATCTAGATTCCAGAATCAACATCGACAGCTTCCTGGTGAAGGGTCTGGCTTTCGGCACAGACAACAATATCTGTGACTGGAGCGAGCTTAGCGTTTTCAATCTGGCCCCTGGAAATTGCGAACGGAGAATCCCTCGGGGACATCTGGATTTAAGAACTGGTCATCCACAGCGGCGCAGTCCCCGCCCGACTTGCTAACAAGCCGCCAAGCTCTAGCCTCTTGGCACATGTCTGGAGCTTTGACGCCAATTTCATCCTTGGCCAGATCTCATCTGACAGATTGACAGAAGGTGAAAGAACTCATCATTGCTTCAGCGACAAAAACATGAAAGTAAGCCTGCCCTGACTCGGAATGAGGATCTCTCATCAAAACAAATCGAAACAAAACTCATTTGCCATCCTTCGTTGTTCCAACATCATTGCCGATTGAGTCGGCCCAAGCCGTCGACACTCTGGCCGCCTCGCCAAGCCCTTCGGTAGCAGCAGTCCTTCCGGTTTTGCGCACGGAAAAGGTATAGTCGGTTGATCCGCATTCCCGCATGCTGGATGTGTTCCTTGTACCATCGTGCCATGTTCTGGGCTCCCCGACAATTATGACATCGGTACGTTGTCAAAGTTCGGGAATGGGGAGAGACAGGCAAACCTTCACATCGTGGTGGACGGGTCGGGAGGAGATGATTCCATCTCTCGCGTGAATTCGGGCCAGGACGAGGTCCATCAATTCCTCGTCGGTGAGTCTGCGGTCGGCCCAGTTGAAGAAGACGGTTACCCATGGATATGGGCCGGCCACGGCATGATCCTCGCGGTAGTTTCGGCCGTCAACATGGTTGAACATGCCTCCTCGGTACTGAGGGCGATGCTTGCGGCGCTGCTGCTTCTTCTTCTTCTCCTTCGTCACTCGCGAGGAGGCCATGGAGGATGTGTTGTTTCCCATTGTGAATGTGCAGTCGATGGATCCAGATATTCCATCGCCAACCATCGCGAGACACTTTCCCCAAATTGCCTAAGCAGTCGACCACAGGGCAGCCCCACGCCCGTCGTCTCACCCGAGTCACCCCTACCGTCCACGCCCGTCATCAATTTCGCAGGAATGTTAAACTGCGAAGGGTCAAGGAATGTCGCATGAGTATCCGGGTTTGATACCCAGATCGGCAGACGATACAACCGAGGATCCATTGTTGGCCTAGTATGTCGACTGGGTGGTCTCAATCAGTTTCAGATGACCAGTACTCTTCTTGCAGATCGCCTTGATGAGCCGGGGGTGCTCATCAACAAGGGGGCACTATCGGGAAGAAAGAGTAAGTATCGAGATCCCATAGATGATCTTAGATCATTGTCGGACGAGGGCCTATTACTTACTATGCATAGCCTTCTGCCGATTCTCAAGGATCTCAAAGGCACTCGACCTCCATTGGACGTTGCTTGCGATGCCTATCTTCGAGGCTGCGAGCAGGTGGAGCTCCGTTCCCCGTGGACCAAGAGGGGGGATATCCGGAGGGATCGACGAGCGTCGGGAGAGCAGAGATTACGATCATGGATTCCCCGGGTGGGTGTGAGCTGCGCGGCGCAGCAAGGTGTGACAACAAATTTGGCGAGGAAACCGAGACGAACTACGATGTGATCGTTTCGGCCGGTGTTATGGTTTATGATTGGGTATTTTTGGGGAACGGAGCTCAGAATCGAAGAGAACAGGTGACCAACATGAGATGTTGGTTTGTTTGAACCAAGCTCGCGGATCTCGAGTACGATGCACCGTCACTTTGGTCTAAAAAGGAGGGGCTCGAGGAGTGTATTCCGACCTGCAGCCGACGATCGGAAAGGAAAGAGAGGACAGCGAGGAAACGATGGCTCAACAGCCTCTGTGTCGTCTGCAGTCATCAGTATCAACCTTCGTCATGGAGATGGAGTGATGCAATTGGAAGAGATGAGAACAGAGGAAAGAGATGAAAAGGGGGGAATAGATGGCGGGATCCTTACCAAGAGAGACGAGGGGTTGAGTGCCCCTCGAGGCATCAAGGCCGCGAGGCCGTCGAGGCAGCGAGGCAGCGAGGCCGCCGAGGCCCCCTTGAGGCCCCCTTGAGGCAGCGAGGGAGCCGAGGGAAGGACGCGCTTGGGGCCCTTCATTTTCTACTCGGACGTCATGAGGCGCCTCATCAACCGATTCCGCAGAACAAATGAACCAGGAACCTCGTGGTGCCAGGTATATGGATTGTTCTGGCGATGAAGGTTGATGGGGGATCGGTTGAGAAAGAAGAAGATAAAGTGAGAGGGAGGGGAGGGCATGCCAAAGCACGCGACACATGATGAGACCAGCAAACCGGAAGAGGAACCATGGGGAGCACTGAATATGGCAACCTGGAACGACATAAGCGCCTGCTATACGTTGGAAATGAACGGCTCGCTTAAGGCGAGAGCATTGGAGGGTTGTCTCACATTGTGCTGTGAGGTTGTGTTGCCGGTGACACTTCCGACGACATCATGTCCATTGGCCTTCCTGTCTGAACAAGGGCCTAAGGTAGGTGGAGAACTCCTCAGCTTCCCTTTCTCAAACGCTTGGACTTCTCCCACTTTCAGACCGGTCTCTACCTACACGACACATGGGATTATGGAGTGTTCTGGGTTGACTGGTGGGTCTGCTAAACGATTGAGACCAATTACAAGAGCCATGGAATGGTTTTAGTGAACCATGAGTTATGACCAAGCGAAATGTGTCCCAATGAGTCGTGGGGTGCACTTTTCGTACTGACATCCATCTCAAACCGATGTAGAAGCTGAAAGATGGCTCGGCAGAGCACTCAGACCAGCGGACTCACCAGCCGCAGACCGGAGAGGAAACCAGTCAATTGATTCATAGGTGGTGAATGCATCAAACGGCATTCTACATGCTGCAGGGCCAATGGCTTGTATAATTACTCCTTGGTTCCTCAACACTGATATATATACACAGTTCGTCCATACCTATTAGTAGCCGCCTGGTGGACCCTTCGGGCACTTGATGTAAGTTCCATGTATTCCCGCTGCATTTCCACCGACTGGGATAAGCCGTCAAAATGAGGTCCCGCTCGAAATACGACAGAAATTCAAACGAAATGCAAGCGAAATGCAAACAAGAAACAAAGCCAGAAGTGACATCAATTTCCCATCCATCGGGCTGCCGCAGCCATAGGTAATCTACGGCCAATCCCTGTTTCAACGAAGTATTTGCATTACGCCTGGGCAGCATACTTGAATTTCTTCCCGAGCATTCTGGCCGGCTCCTCGTTATCAACAGGAAAACCCGTACAGCGGGCTTCCATGTCGTCAGATTTTGCGCCTCATTCTTCGTTCTGCACGATTGTGAGCATCTTCCAGACCTCTTAGCGTGACTCCCCGTCTATCAAGGCGGGATAATCATCCTGTTTGGCAGGTGGGTAGTTGATAAACTTTGCTTTACGCGCTTTGAGGGCTTCGGGCAGGTGCATGATTTACTGGATGGTCTTTCCATGGTGTTGCCAATATTCTGTTGAAAAAGTAGTAGGCTAGGTATAGGGCAAGCTCTCACATTCATTCTCTAGCGTAATCAACTGCCATACCCGTGAACGGGATACTGTCACTCACTCAACAACCTCAGCAGCTTCCTGTCCCAGGTACCGATACTTCAGAGGCCTATTTCCGAGGCCAGTTATTGTGACTGTCTGCTCATCACCAGGCACAATGTCAATAGCGTTATCCCCAAGCTGGACCCCTTCTTGTTCCTCGAAAACAACACACTTGACCGGCTTGCGGGCATTGATCACCAACACCGTTTCACCTGATTTATCTGTTCTCCGCTTGATATCCAGCTGTCTATCGGAAAAGTTGAGATACTTGAATGGCTGAGGCCAGTCAACATCCCGTGCAACGATCTGATGGTTCACCCACAGCCGGGCGGCAAGGACATGGGGTTCTGGCTCGGCAATGTGATCGAGCACTCCATCCGTGATGATATCGGTGGTACCATTGGCAGTGATGATAATATCCTCGCGCACAATCGGTGCCCGAATATCACGACCCGTGTTGACGGAAAGGAATCGCAGCTCAACGCTGCCTTTGACGGTCTCGGGTTTGTTGCTGGAGATCCAAAGCTCGTACTTGCTGGTCTTAGGGGGCTGTGCGTGTGCTACGCTCCAATCGTGGTGCTCACGTCGTACTCCGACAGCAATCGGGTTTAGTACCCGCTTCACAGCGTAGTATGCGGGCTTCGGGTTGATGAAGTAGTCCACGATGGCCCACGAGATTGTCGGCCAGCAGTCGTTCAGCTGCCAGAGCAATGCTCCACCGCAGTGTCGCTCGTCGCCCCATTGTCGGCGCCAGCCTCGGTAGCCGAACATCATTGTCTCGGCTTGTACAACTTGGGTGAGGTAGATATATGTCTGGATATGTCAGCGTATAGTCACAAGATGGTCCTCGGTGGCCATACCTCGAGATCAGTGGCGGTCCGCAAATTCTCTACTAGATAAGTCGCCAGTCTTCGTTCATGGCCATCGGCTTTGTTGTGGAAATCAATCACATGAGACTGTGGGAATTTATCTTCGGGATTCTCGACAAAGTAGTCGATTGTGGAGATGTGAGGGAAAGCCTCCATTCCAAACTCGCTGTTGAAACGGCCACCGAGCGTATCGAAAATCTGGTATTTTTCCTGTGTTCCATGCCATACTATCTTGTTGATTAGCGGGGGCACTTGTGTTCTGTTAAAGACAACTCACCGTTCCACTGGTGCATATCACCAACTGTGGTATCCGATGAGATTTTGCCATCTCCCCACGGGCTTCCAGGATGGTAGAATGTGCTGGGTGAGTGTTCAGCCACTACCTCGGGGAGCAGCTTCTCATAGATATATCGTGCCGGGAAGTCTGTGGCCAACCAACTCTCCGGGTCTTTATCATCGTAGTTATAGGTCAAGCCCTCTGATTCTGCAACCTGATAGTCCTCGTTGTTGCCCGCATAGATCACAATCGATGGGTGATGGCGCATGCGTTGCAGATTGTAAACTGTCTCTTGACGGACAGACTCGAGCATCTCGGGCCAAGTGGGATAGTTGCCGCATCCAAACATGAAGTCTTGCCAGACAAGCACTCCCAGTTCATCACAGGCCTCGTAAAAAGCGTCGTCTTCATAGATACCACCACCCCAGACACTAGTCAAGCGTTAGCTTGATTGGCACAGGCTTTAGACGGCAAAAAAATCCGAACCTACCGAATCATCACTTGTCTGCCAGCTACCATGAGCTCAATCCACTTGCGGTATCGCTCCGCGCTGACGGCAGGAAGCAAACTGTCCGCGGGGATCCAGCATGAGCCACCGCAGAAGATATCCATCCCGTTAATCCGGAAGAAAAAGGATTTGCCATGCTTGTCTGGTTGTTGGACGACCTCGGCAGTGCGAATACCAAACTTCTTTGATGCGTGGTCAACCTGTTCATCATTCCGAAGCAACGATACCGAAACCTCGTACAGAATCTGCTCGCCGTATCCGTGTGGCCACCAAAGAGCTGGCTGGTCCACCTGGAATGTTACTTGAGCTGTCTTTCCGGACAATGAAATAACTTGGCGTGCGATCTCGTTGCCTTTTGAACTTAAGCTGAACTCGGCCGTATATTCTCCGTCAACGATGCTCTCCACATCAATCACAGCAGTCACCTCAGCTGTCTTGTGGTCCGCTGAGAGCTGAGTCTGAGGCCATATATTGGACACGCGGGCTTGGTACACTTCAAATCGTACGGCGCGCCAGATACCAGCGGTCATCAGCACTGGTCCCCAATCCCAGCCCCAGTGATATTGTGCTTTCCGTACAGCCAATCGTGCTGGATCGCCGTTGAATCCAACCCACTTATGCTTGGGGTCCTTGGCTCGGAGCTCGCGTGCCTTTAGTAGGGCACAGTCGAACTCGATCTCAAGGGTATGTTCGCCATCTGCTTCCAGGGCTTTGGTCACATCCACCCGATGACCCAAGAACATGTTGTCACATTCCAGGATGACCTGTCCGTCGAGCTTCACTGTGGCAAATGTGTCCAGACCGTCGAATACCAGCACAATTGCAGAGCCGGCAGGAGCAGATGGTTTCTGGAAAACATTTCGGTAGACCCATGATTTCTCATTGACCCAGCGGGCGTCCAGTTCCTTGAACCCGATGTAAGGGTCATCAAGCCTGTCGTAAGAACACCGCCGTTAGGATGGAATGGCTTTATCGGAGAAAAGAAGCTTACTTCTTATTGGCAATGAGATCTTGCTGCACCACTGAGGGTACCGTAGCCACCGGTAGCCATTCTTCGGTGTCCCGGTCTCTAAAGGACCAGCCAGTAGACAGAGACTGCACAACCTTGGTCATTTTGAGATATAATTGCCAATTGGTAATATGAAAGAGCTTTTGCTTCTCCCCAATTTATACACAGTTGGAGATCAACATTTGTTATCGATAAGCTCGGAGCTCCCCTCTTTCCCCACTCGCCTTCCTCTTTGGGACAGGGGGGTATCCGTGCCGAAAGAGGTTAGCACAACACATGATCGATTCTGACTTTCGCAAAACTTTTGCAAATTGAAATGGTCGTCTTCAAAAGTTCGAGTACAGTGTAACAGTGAAATAGTTCAATGTTGAGATTTGCATGTGTACCAATACACAATTACACGTGATCAACACATAATGCCTCCCCTTCGGGGTGAGAACAAAGATATGCACGATATGCGGGGAGTCGGGGACTGTGAAGAAACGTGGGATGCTCTACCTCATCATACTCTTACTCACCTTATAAGGAAAAGCACCCAAACTTCGAATGCCGTGCATAGTTGACTGCCGTGCATAGTTGAGACCAGGGACTTCTCCATGAGTTCGTTTACCGTGTCCTTCTACACGTGGAATCTCAAGGGGATGCATCTGCATATCATTTGCAGGCATGCCCCTCTGTGCACACACCTCACTACTGAATTGCCTGAATTCATCTATTTGACATTTGCCGTTAGCACAAATGCAACATAACCGGACCAATGACCTGACTCTTCGGCTGACCAGTGACAGGCTGCATCCTTCGGGTTCGGGTCTTCCCATGGCCTTGGCACATCCAACCAACTTCTACAACTTCTCTGCTCTTTTCCCGGAGATCATCAGAAGTTCAGAACCGTTGAGACTGGTCTCTGCAGATCTTTCAATTTCTCTGACTTGGTCCCTGGTGATCTTGCCTTTGTCCACTCTAGATCACCAAAATTGGATGGGATAGTCGGGCTGCGACACTACACACCTTTCCCAGTGTTGTTGTTTTCCACTACATGATAATTCTGAGTAACCAGGTACCTTTTATATGCCATCCCCGTAGACAAGGTACAAATGTTTCTACAAATGTTTCTACGAAGTTCTCGAACCGGCTAAAGGGTAACAAATAGGGTTTGGAGCTAGTCAACACTCAGAAAGCGGTGTTCAGTAGTGCCGTAACTGCTGTTGTTAGGCGAGATCCTACCCGCTCTCCATTTCGGGCCCTTGACTCGAACGAGACAATGGGCGCCCCGCGAAATTACCTGCCCCCTCCCAGTGGCAAGGTACGAACCAAGAACTCCAGACGCCGCCCCTCCAGGATAAGCAGATCTGAGCCCCTCAATTTATGGAAAATTCCCTCAAGAGGCGTCAGCGTCAAGGTTCACTGGTTCAGAGCCGCCATGCTAGTCCCAAGTGTCTGAGACTAGAGAGGGACTGACCAGTGCCACAGTGGTGAAGAATAAGTTGAGTCCGGCCGAAAGGAACCTCGGTCAAGATCACCGGACACGACCCCATAAAAGCATGGGGTCTTCATGGACCGGACGGTGTCCGGACCCCACCGGTCTTCCCCAGATGACTGTCTAGTTGGCATTTGCAGGACCTGTTAAAGACCATGCAGTTTGCCCCTCGACCAAGTCTGGGGAAACGGCCCCCTCTCTCTGGGGAATTCAGGCCATACAACCCTAGTGACATGCGCATCCCTGTGGCGTGTGAAATCCGGAAGCGAAATTGCCTATGGCTGGCACCTTTACACCCCTGGTCATGCTGGCGTGGCACTCTCCCGGCTAAGAAGAGTAGTCTGCAGGGAATCACAAGGCTAATGGCTCCCATCAAAAGACCCTAGCTTTCTATATGCCGGGAATTACGTAGATGAAACGATGTTCGACGCCCATGGGGCTTTCAGCCTTTTCTACCAGATCAGAGAAGATGTGCAGCCCTTTTTCGGTACCTTTCCACGCATTCTAAGGGAAGAAGTAGAGTCACAGAGAGATCACTAGCTCATAATAATCACAAGTAATCACCATTTCAACCAATCAAGTCGACCCGAGCGAGCCGGACAGCATACAAGTCTACTCTTCTAAGCCACGAAGGCATCAAGCAAAATGCGGGGAGATTAAGCGGATCGGCCTAAACTATTTCATTTTGGCGTTAGTTCTCTTTTGTCTTTGTGTTTTCCCTCTAAATTTCTGTTTCTTTTTTATCCCTCACATAGACATACTTGCCACAGCAATGTGAAGCCCTCAAACTCTTATTGAACATTCTACGCCAAAAGAATTCCACTCCTGACATCCACATCCATGTTGTCCGCTCAGTGACAACACGGTGGTCAGACTATGCATTTGGATCATTCGATAACTCATCACAATGTTCCACACATTCGAGGGTTTCGAGAACCCAACGGCAGCAACGCCTGCCCGCAATCGGGCATCCAGTGAACGGCGAGATTCTGTCAGTCGCCGTGTGACAACCTTGCGCGCTTGTACGTCTTGTCGCCATCGTAAGATCAAATGTGACGGGGAGAAACCGTGTGAGGCCTGTCGGTGGTATAAGAAATCAGATCAGTGCCACTATTCAGATCCACGACCGTCTCGGAGGTGAGTCACGCCGTTCATATTTCCCCCGGATCCAACCGGCTAAGTCGAGTATACAGACATGTAGAGAAGCTGTCTACTACTTTGGAAGAATATCGAAGTATACTGGGAAAGTTATTCCCCAACTTCGCACCGGAGTCACTCGTCAATCTGTCGCGGGAAAAGCTCCTTGAGCTCACAACTACTACGTCGGGATCATATCCCCAAGGACTATCACATCATGGTGGATCGCCGGCTACCTCGGCTTCACTGGATGCACACGTCTCACCTACTTCGGGTGATGATGACAATCTCGAAGCCTTGCAGACCATGCCTGAAGAACTACCGGATAGCCGCAATGCCAGCTCCACAGATCTGGTAGAAGGTGTCTCGGACGATGTCAATGCGCTATCGCTGTCTGCGCGTCAGCCTTCTTCATATCTGGGTGTATCATCGATCCAGGCCGTCATCAAGGTCATTGTTTGGTTGGACCCGGGATGTGCCTCCTACTTTTCTCGAACGCCGCCCAGTGAGCAGGAGCATCCCATCGCATGGCCGCATCATGCACCTATTACACCTCCACAACCCCTGATTCCACCCTCGGAAATGCAAATGTTGGATGCATATTTCCTTTATTTCCAAGCATTTGCTCCTATGATCGATGAGCGATCCTTCCGCGAGGCTTACATTGCTGGCCGTCGGCGAGATGACCATTGGCTTGCTTTGCTGAACATTGTTCTTGCCCTGGGTTGCATTGCGGCCACAGGACCTGATGACATGACACATCAGACATATTTCCTGAGGTGCAAGGGTCACTTGAGTCTAAGCTCCCTGGGTAGCTCACATATTGAGACGATTCAGGCGCTTGGTCTCATGGGTGGCTGGTACTGCCACTATATCAGCCAGCCGAATCTGGCATATTCCATCTTGGGTGCTGCGATGCGTATGGCAGCTGCCCTGGGACTACACAAAGAGTTCTCAGAGGCTCGTCAAATACCGAGTCCGGCGAAATTAGCCTCTATGGATCTTAAGCGCCGCGTGTGGTGGTCTTTGTTCTGCATGGATACGTGGGCCGGCATGACCCTAGGGCGGCCCAGCATGGGTCGAATAGGTTCGACCATTACCGTTAAGCCCCCTCTATGTCGAGACAAGGTAGGTCATATCTGGTCAATGAAAGAATGATTATTTTGCTAACTATGATATAGGACAATGTCCTCGAGATCCTCCCTTTGGTCGAAAATATTCGCTTCGCCAAAATCGCAACTCAAGTCCAGGAATTCCTCGCCGCGGCACCGCTGGTCAAACACCAAGAAATGGCGCAGGCAGATGCTCAGCTCCTAGAGTGGTGGGACAATCTCCCTTCCGTCCTGAAGGACCACGAGCCCTGCTCAGAGTCAATCAACACCGTCCGCACAGTTATGCGCTGGCGCTACTACAACCAACGAATGCTCCTCTACCGACCGACACTACTCAGCTACGCCATGCGCCGCGTACCCTATATCGCACTGCGATCAGAAGAGCGCACGGCAATCGAAAAATGTCGCGAAGTAGCCGAGCTCTCTATTCAGAACATTGCCGCGACGGCTCAGCTGAACCAGCTGTGCGGATGGAATGCCGTCTGGTGGACGTTCCAGGCGTCCATGGTCCCTTTGGTCGGACTCTTCCTCAACGATTCAACAGTCGATGATCCCCGTGCATCTATTGAGTCCTGCCAGGCGCAGGTCGAGACTGCCATGATGACCCTTGCCCGTATGCAGTCCTTTGGCCATACGGCGAAGCGGTCGCTGGATGCCATTTCGCGCATCTACGAGGCAAGCAAGCGGGGACAGGATGTTGCCGAGTCTGATTCCTCGGCCAATCTTCCTAGCGGCTCTTATCCTGCTGGTCGGGATATGGTGCAGGTGTTTGCGGCACCGGAGCCCGGACGTGGTCCCATGTCGATGAGCGAAAATGGGTTCCTAGATCCGCTTGCGGCTCCTTTTACGGAAGATTCCGGAGGTCAGTATCTTTGGGAATACTTGAGCTGGAGTGATAATAATTTGTGGCCCGGGATTGTTAACGAGATCGATGGACGAAATGATGCGATGGCTATGTTGACTCCTGAGGAGAAAGTCCGGAAATTCGAACAACCGACGTACTTCGATCCAATGTCTGATCCGGGGTACTTTGTAAATGGTGGAGTTTATTACTGAGTGCTTTTCTGTTTTGTTTGTGGCTTCTTACTTCAGCGTGTTAGCATAGGATATATGGAAATGAATGTATGACTTCAACCTCTCAATACTTCATTCCTCAATGGCGAAAAGTAGATCAAGCGCTTGTATGCTTCTCTCTTGAGTGAGCCCCGTCCGCAAGGCAAACACTGCTGAAAAGGGTATCCTCAAATACCATGCCTCGTATTCTTATTGAATGGAGATGCGGATATTGTACGAAGACGATCATTCATATTAACACGTCAATCAACAAATCTTGTTGGGTCGAGTCTCCAATACGTGGGAGATGAAATGAATTACAGGGATGAGGGCTAGGTTGGAAATAGAAGGGAAGAACAATATCATTAGAGGTATCATTATATTCAATTCAACGTAGGTGGTATATTCGGTGTACTCATAGCGACGCATAATATCGAGCCAGCGAGTCTATCATAGCGTCTCGTCGTTGAGGTTCTTCATCCCCGAAAACCTCCTGGACGTGTTTATTGTGTTTCAGACTTGATACCTGGCTGAATGCGTCGCCGTATCCAACCGGGCTGTCCAACTGTACAGCCCTTCGGCGTTTGTCGTCATCTTTGATGGCCGACAGTGCACCCGACAGATCCAGCTTGCCACCGGATTTCAAGTGGCCGAGCGTGTTCTTGAGCACTTCGCCAATGCCCACGTTTGCCACCAGCGGCAAGGACCCGAGCACGTTGGTGTAGTATGGAATCAGGGTGCCGTTGGAGACAATTGTTCTGGTTACGGCTGTTAGTCCCAGTGAGCCGTTCCGGAGCGAGGTGGCTTGGGAGGCGAGGACTGCGGTGAGGTTGCCGAGCACTGTCTTGAGGTCGAGGACACCTCGCAATGGGAATACGTTGTTGCCCGGTCTCAGGGTGACATCTGTGATGGTGGCGTTGCCGAGCACTATGTCTGTATCGCCACTCTTGAGGTCAAGGACAATGGTGCCCACTTCGAAGGTGAGAACGGTTGGGTTTGGCAGGGTAATGTTGGCGATAAGGTTGCTGCCGTCGTCTTCTGCTGGAAGAACGAGGGTGGCGTCTGCGATGCTGAAACCCTCAAACTTGTTCAATGCTGTTGGTATGGTTAGCTAGAACAATGGAAGGCATAGCGAAAGACTGACTTGGAATCACTATATTCCTATCCAAGGTGATTTTGTTCTTCAGGACTCCGAGGTACCCGGTGGTCTTTCCATACAGAGATAATGATGTCTTCTCTTGGTAGACAGCTTGATGCACGAACTCCTCCCAGGTCGTTAGGTTGAGGAGTGGTGTAAATTGGTCGTAGACTCCGAGTGAATAATTTCCCTTGACGGTTTGACCGGGGATATCGATTGCTGCATATGGGGTCTCATGGCCAAACTTGCGCACGAAGGTGTAGAAGACGACAGGGTCGAGCCGGACGGGGAGTGCAAGCTTCAAGTTGATTTTGGTTTCCAATGTCATGCGCACTGATTCTGGCGTTGGGTTCATAACCTCCGCCTTGATAAGGCGAATGTCTGCTTTGTTCACGACAAGTTGTGCAACGGCGGGAATTACGACCAAGAAGCTTTTCGGGTTCAGCTCACTGTATTTGGGAAAGCAGCAGAATAACAGGGTCACTTACAAGATGGGCAAGAGAATTGCTAAGAAGATTACATTGCCGATGAGGTAAAGACACCAGAATCGTCTGCAATGGCGGCGAAATTTATCTTTCTTCGGATTTGTGCTCACGCTCACTGAGGATCCGACCTTCTCGAGCTCTGAAAGCTCTTCTGGACTGGGATTTGGGTGAAGGAACCCTCGATTGCCTCCGATGATATACTTCTCTCTCGCCATGATGGAATTTATTGAACGAACGGAAGAACATGCGAGGGACAATCCATCTATATAATTCAATGCCACCCTTCACACGATTATCATATGTCTTTCTATCAAAGATACCGAGGAATAGGAGATAATTAGGTTTATAATAGAGGAACTCTGTTTTCTTTTGCGGGGGATCGACATCTAGCAGGCAGGTCGAGCATGTATGTCATGTTTCTTACCAAGATACAATACATCGTCGGATCTGTGGTACGTCCTCATGAACTGGATCTTTGACTGGACTAGCCATGTTTGAATTGAAGGTATTACTGTCCTCTCATCCGTTTTTCATTTTGACCACAGCAGCTGACTGTATCGGACCTATCATATCCGTTGCTCGGAGCTCCCAACTTAGCCCGCTGAATTTCGAAGGCGCACGATGGCGTCTTACGCCACAGGTACACGTATGTATGCAATATGGACATTCGAAGTGATACAGGCCCGAGCTGGAATTTGCCTACTCGGCAAAGAATGTGCTCCCCGTGTCACACGGCACGGCCCCGTTAAGGGTCTCGTCTATTCCTGACTCTGTGTAGATCGATGATATTCATCAACTTACAATGGCCTTACTAATGGTTGGCTAATTGGAAGGTCTTTGATGACCATGGTGAGTGCTTTTTACCACTGTAGGAGAGGATCACGGCCGTGATGGGGCATAAAATGGGGCCCTAAGACCATGATCAGCTTGGGCAGTCACTGAGCCTCTGAGGTGCTTTTACAGGGCTCCTCGTTCTTGTCACTGTAATACACTGGCCCAGCGTATGTTGAGAAATCTAACTGAGACTCAATAAGATCAGATTCTGGGTGTTTTAGCCGATGTCCGACAATTTAGACCCCATATATGGACCTGGACATGATCTTGATACCACGAGTTGCATTACGAGAAACACTGGTGCTGTTCCTTGTTTATTCCGCCGATGAAGAAACTGTCAGCAAGAGCTTGAGATGTGGAGGAATGATTCAGGGGGTCTTCAACGACTGATTCGGGTGACCCCTCTCAGTGGCGTAACAATCTGCATTGGGAAGCTTGGAAGTCACAAACACTCGATATGACTGGCTCGGCTTGGATTATTTGGGAATAATTGAATCCTTCTGTGTGGCTGGTCGAGGGTAGCGAGTCAGCGACATCAGACTCCCCGCATTCGCTTAACTTCGTGGATCAGTGGGTATTTGACTTCATTGGGCAAGTTCATCTTTTGCGGGGGGACACGCGGTAAATATAAATCTTATTTGACAATCTCCTCGGGTATAGTTGCTGTGAGCTTAGGTCGGCTACATGTTCAGTTACTTCTGGGCAGTACAAGCCCTACTCGGCTCTGCATCACGGGCGGTATCATTCGAGGCAATAGACTTTTGACGACAAGCTATTTCTTAACTATCTCTATTCTTGTGAGTTCAAGATCCAGGAACACATCCAAACCATAAAAGCACCTGAGGGGGCTTTGGTTTATGAAGGGTGTGAAACCTTCAAACCTCGGGACTCGGGAGTCAACTGGTCAATTGCCATGCTCACCATGGATGGGAAGGGCGCTACCTACCTATGAGGCAGGGGTAGGATATATATAATATGCTAAAGCCTAACTATGTCTATGATTATTGATTGAACTATCCACTTGATTATCCAAAGGAGAGAAACTAAATGATGTAGCTATCCATATTGCCTGTGTGTTGATTCCAGAGACGGCGGAGAGGGTCCAGATACTCGGCCCCCACATCCCAAATAGGGCTGGGAGCCTGGGGCTGACGACCTACAGTGCACGGGCCAGGCTGAGTCATGAAAACCTCAGGTTGGCAACAACAAGCCTCCACGTTGAGTCGTTGACATCCAGCAATCGAACAAGCCACGAATTATATGGAAGGACCTCAATCAAACCTATTCCAATCACGGTCATTACAGATATCTTTATTCCAGAAGTCTTGTCTGTCTTGATTCGATGTGCAGCTGCTGAACCTCAACACGACATTCGTCAAGGGGTTCACCAAGCCCGCCCAATTATGCGAGCTAGCCGCAACAAACAATCTAGCGATCTTTGATTTCTTCTGTCGATGTTCATCTGAAGAGGAGACAAAAGGTCAAATAAAAAATGACTCTCTTCGACTCCCCATCACGAGTTTTCCTCGGTGCCATTGTCCTCCGCCTCGTGCTCCTCGTGTATGGAGGCTGGCAAGATGCGCATTCCGCTGTGAAATATACCGACATTGACTACATGGTATTCACTGATGCGGCACGCTATGTTGGGAAAGGGCAATCGCCCTATGCTCGCGATACTTACCGCTACACCCCGCTCTTGGCATGGATGCTTCTTCCGACTGCGTGGGAGGGTCCCGCGCCTTGGTCAACGCTGACATTCGCCTTTGGTAAGGCCTTGTTTGCTCTATCTGATGTCATTGCTGGATGGCTGGTTACTCAGCTACTTGTGCGTTGCTACCGCTTTCCCGTTGAGCGCGCGCTGCGTTATGTAGCAGCGGTTTGGTTGTGGAATCCGATGGTTGCCAATATCAGTACTCGTGGTAGCTCCGAGGGACTCCTCGGTGTGCTTGTTGCGGCGCTTATATGGGCAACTCTGACGAAGAAACCCATCGTTGCTGGATTGATCTTGGGAATTGCTGTGCATTTCAAGATCTATCCCTTCATTTATGGCATTTCGATTATGTGGTGGTGGGATTCCGAGCGCGATGGGGCTGCCCCTACTAGATTGGGTCTGCTGGCAAAGGCATTGAGATTCATTACGCCGTCCCGGGTCAAGTTGACTGTCGCTGCATTGGGTAGTTTCGCCGCCTTGAATCTCGTCATGTATCTCCAGTACGGCCAACCGTTCCTGCAGCACACTTTCTTCCACCATCTTACCCGTATTGATCACCGCCACAACTTCTCTCCATACAGTACCCTTCTGTATCTGACTGCTGCCGGTGGTGCCGAAACACGCTTTGAGGCACTGGCCTTCCTTCCGCAGCTCATCCTTGCGGTCATTGCTCTGCCTCTCGTTTTGGCGAAGAAGAGCTTGACTACCGCGATGCTTGCGCAGACGTTCACTTTTGTTACTTTCAACAAAGTTTGTACCAGTCAGGTATGGATATGATCTCAGGTCAATCTTGGTAACCGCTAACCTGTTCAGTATTTCCTGTGGTACCTCATCCTGCTTCCATTTTACCTCCCCTCTTCGTCCCTTATCCGTAAGCCAAGCTTGGGCATCTCCGCAGCCATCTTATGGGTTGCTGGGCAGGTATGTATTGGTTTTTCCCATCTGATTCGTCAACAACGTCACCCGGGTCTGATCTTTGACACATCGTTTAGGCTCTATGGCTGCACCAAGGTTACAATCTCGAATTCTTGGGATTGCCATCTTTCGTCCCGGGGCTGTTCCTAGCAGGCCTGTTCTTCTTCGCCGTGAATGTGTGGATCTTGGGTATCATCATCAGGGATGGAGGCGAGGGTGCAAGTGAGATCACGGGTGAAGTTGACCATCCCAAGTCGCACTGAGATGAGATATTCGCCATATGTACTTTATAAAAATGTATAGTTATCGCTGCTACCTAGACGAATGGGGCAAATATTCCTGCATACGGAGCAATTTTGCACCGAGGGCGAACCCGCCGCTACCTAGAGCCACAGCACGCAGATATGCTGCGGAATGCTCACGTTCACTGGTCTATGACTCGACATTACGTGGACCTGAGCGCCTACCTAGGTAAGAGAGGTGGGCCCTGGATATCTAAACGGCAGACGAAAGCCAGACTCCCGAAAATGACATTTACGAGTACATCTTTGTACGGAAATTGATAAAGATCCTAAATCAGATGAATGAGATATTGAGGGTATCGATACAGAACACTCTGACGAGAAACCTAGCGTTTACGCCTGAACCGGAAACGAAGGCCATCATCGCTGTCAGAGTCGCGCTCTTCCCGGGGCCTCTTTCGGCGCTGAGCAGGCGTCGGCTCTGGAGTCGGTTCAGGCGACGTGCCCCCAGCGACCGACAACTCAGGGCGTGGAGCCACTTCGGGGAAGTCATCATCCACAGGGGTCGGGTTTTCTAGTTCCGTCTCTAGTTCCGTCGGAGCATTCCTCTCAGTGACAGAGCTGCTCCAGTAGTGATCGCCGATTCCATAGTCTTTGCGGGTCACTTCTTCAAGGGGAACAATAACTGTCTGGATTCGAGCTCGACTACCTGGCTCTCCCTTTCGCCGGAATTTCTTGAAGTTTTTGCGCCCGTTCCAATGCTCGTCCCAGCGGTCCGAGGTTGTATCAGCGCGTGCTGGGGCTCTCCGGACGGGAATCTCCATTTCCTCCACAATGGCCAGGTTTTTCAATTGTTCCATGTCCATATCGTTCATATCTGCCTGATGTGAATCTTCCTCGGTTTTGCGGTGCTGTTCTTCCTCTTCCCGATGCTTGCGGGCCGCTTCGAGCACATCGAGTTTAGCTCGCTTCCGTTTGGGAACCTCCTCAGGCTCAGTAACTATGGCTGTGCCCTCTGCGGCACGGTTGGTCATCTCTGCCCGACGACGCTTCATAGCACGGGCCCCTGGTAGAAGATCAGAGACTATATCCTCTTCCGCTTCTTCCTTAATCGTATCTGGGGGTTGCGATGGTTGGGACGGTAGTTGAACTTCTTCGTCCATCAACATCGTCTGAGTAGTGTCCAAATTGGCATTGTCCTCATCTTCGGGCGCATAAATCGGGACTGATTCCATGTCGAAACCGTCATCAAATGTTTTCATTTTGCTGACATAGGGACGTACGCGAGGGGTTTTGGCCCGGGCTCTCGGGGGCTGGCTAGCCTCACGCTCAGCGGGCGCGAGTGACTCTGCAGCAGCGGGTATTGGCCGTTCCTTCGTTAGTGCAGGCTCGGCGGCTGCCGTGGATATAGATGCCTGGCTAGAACTGTCCTCCGTAGGTAATGGGCGACAGAGGGATGATGCATCGTTGCCCAAAATAGCGTCAAGAAATTCTGATTGCTCGATCACGCGCTGGTCCGTCATAAGAGCCACTTCATTGCTGACCTCAATGGACCAGGCCTCGAGGTCACCCTTGGATCGAAAGCGAACGAGAACGACACCACCAGGACCTTGCCGTTCGCTACCGACGCCTTTCCGTCCCGCTGCTTGTTTCATAAATCTGACAATCTCGGCGGCGGTTGTAACCCCATGCTCAACTTCGTAGAAAAGCGCCTTTCCTTGGCCATTGTTGATCGGACCTTGGAGGTTCTCAAACTGTGTTAGGTCCCCAAAGATAAATGTGTAGTCTTCGAATACATTGAGACGCGCGGGGTTTGGGGCGAATGCGGCGGCGGGACGCTGGGTGGGCTCCTTTCCAGGTGGCGGCAGGTGATCATTTGGATTGGGCCATGCTGATTCATAGTCGACCTCGAGAGGAGAAAGTGACTCGATATTCTCTAGATCGCCCGGTGTGGCAGCATAGACAATTGCGTCAATATAGGAATCATTCACGATGTATTTCCCGTTGACAAGGGCTTGAAGTCCCTTAGCCGTATTTCGCTTGCGTTGTACTACATGCGTTGTGTGATCCACGATGTAATCCATCACGGTCTTGATGTCAAGATCTTCTAAGCGCATGCGAACATGAGCTAGAGGATCCTCGCCTCGTACCGCTTGGGAGGAGACAGACATTGTCAGCACTACTGGCTCCCATTTTATTCTATCCACATTGTCAGCTCTATATTCAGCGCAGAAAAGTCGGGCATACGCACCGGAGCGGGTGCTGGTATTTGGCTAGTTGGATGACATGCTCATCGCTCTTCTCGAGCTTATGTTCTCCTTGTATTCTCTGGCCATCCACGACTGTGCCTAATTTCGATCCCAAGTCGGTTATTGTGATGTCAGATCGTGCTCGTGGTGATAACTGTCCTCAATCAGCTAAAGGGCGCTTCAACTGCGGGGGAATAGCCGTACCCCATCTCTCGGCTTGACCGGTGAGATTTCAATGGTCATATGTCGGCGGGATATCGAAACGTGATTGACAAGGACTAGCAGCAAGAGGTCAGTAAGACTGTGTGCTTTCTCATGGGAAGTGGGCCGTACCTTCGCCTTTGCATCGACCAAATAGATACTTCTTTCCGGGCCGCAGCCATACGCGCTTCCCTATGGCCTGTTAACGACCAAATGATCTCATTGCTAGGAATCGTATCCCACCTTCTAGAAAGTCACCGGTCGAATCGAGAATCCACATGATGATGGGCCCGCATACCGGGGAAATCTTAGGCAGCCCAAGCTTAAAGCCGAGCTGAGGCACCAGCGCGCAAATTGAAACGCGTGACCACGTGACTCCGCGTCAAGTGATTCCCGCGTTCTTCACCTCTTCGACGATTTATTAGCCATCGATGGGACGCTGAGACATGGATACCACGGGCGAGAAGCCTGATAGTCGTCCGACGCCTGAATCAGTCCCCGAGGGGGAAAATGATACTCTAAAATATCAGCTGCTCGGTCCGTCTTTGACCAAAGCGGGTCAAGACTCAGTCGACCAACAAAAGGTGCGCTTGGTATTTGTATGTGTATGGAGCTATGGCTGAATTTCGAAATTCCAGGTATCAGAAATCATCTACAATGCGTCGAAAGGCTCTAAGTTCTTCAATCATGAACAAGATCGCGATAGGAACCTCACAATCAAGATTGAGCGAATTTTGAAGGAAAAGGCACGGCTCGAACGATTGGATTTAAGCCATGAGCTACGACGTGCCGATGAATACCTCGCTGAGCTGGAAATGAGCCGCGACCTTTCCCAGCATGTTATACACGTGGACTGCGATGCGTTCTTTGCCGCGGTGGAGGAACTTGACCGACCTGAGTTGAAGACAGTACCGATGGCTGTGGGTAAGGGCGTGTTGACAACCTGCAACTATCTGGCGAGGAAGTTCGGAGTCAGAAGTGGCATGGCTTCGTTTGTCGCAAAGAAGCTATGCCCGCAGCTGGTTCTCTTGCCGCAGAACTACGAGAAATACACCGAGAAGGCCAAGGAAATCCGCGCTATCCTGGCCGAATACGACCCTCTTTTCGAGAGCGCGAGTATAGATGAAGCCTATTTGAACATCACAGCTTATTGCGATCAAAATCAGCTGGAACCCGAGGAGGCGGTTCAGCGGATGCGTGCTGAGATATTGGAGAAGACAAAAGTGTCTGTCTCGGCTGGAATTGCTGCCAATGCGAAAATCGCCAAGATCGCCTCGAACATCAATAAACCTAAGGGGCAGTTCAAAGTCCCCAGTGAACGCGAGGCCATCATGGAATTCATGCGCGACTTGCCGGTCCGCAAAGTCAACGGAGTTGGCCGAGTTTTCGAGCGAGAGTTGGAATCAATAGGCGTTAAGAAGTGTGGTGATATATACTCACATCGCGTTTTCTTGACCAAGTTATTCGGAGAGAAGGCTTTCCAGTTCCTGGCGCAGTGCTACCTCGGTCTCGGGCGAACCAAGATTGAACCTGTGGAGAATCATGAACGCAAGAGCGTCAGCACTGAGAGCACGTTCCACGAGATTGGTGACAAAGAGGAATTCCGGGCGAAGCTTTGGTGGGCTGCGCAAGAACTTGAAAAGGATCTAGCGCGGACTCAGTTCAAGGGCCGTACCCTTGCCCTGAAAGTCAAACTGCATACCTTCGAGGTGCTAACCCGCCAGACAGCGCCATCTCGTCCGGTCTCTCTGGCAAAGGACTTGTACTCCTTTGCTTTGCCGATGCTGACGAAGCTGGAGAAGGAGATCCCGGGGATGAAACTTCGGCTTCTTGGTCTGCGCTGCTCGAATTTGGTTAGCACTCAGAAGGCCGGGATCAACTTTTTCGGCGTGGTGGCCCAACCCAAAGCCGCCGCTGGGCCGACTTCTGAGCCCACTTCTGCACCGGCTAGCGATGTAAATGCAGATCGCGAGATCTGTGCCGAGGAGGCTTTCGAGACAGCGGCGCGCCAGGAGCTCCAGGATGAAATGAATGATTTGGAGCAATTGAGTCAAGAAACGCCGGAGACCTCCACGTCTCGCAAGCCAGGCCCCTCTGCGGTGCCTGAACCTGTTGCAGAGCCCCCCATGTGGGATTGCCCTATCTGTATACGGCCACAAATTGCCGACGATCGAATGTTCAATGAACATGTGGACTTCTGTCTTTCTAGACAGACAATCCGGCAAGTGGTGCAGGACACCTCAGACGATACACCCACGATACCCCCAAGCACCAAAAAGAGAAAGCACACATCTCCCTCGGGTGTTCATGAAGCAGACCCGAAGCAGAAGCGCCTCTTTTTCCAATGATTTTTTCTCTTGAAGTTCTTCATGAATGTAACCTATGTGTAAACTACGACATGGTCTGCACCCATCACCAAGATGCACAGTACACTGATTGCCATGCCCTTCGGCCAATGCCGCCCAACACAATAACAGTATCGGAACCCCACTCCTAGCGTGGAGTGAAGCAATAATTGTTGTTGTAGGCTCACCGTCGTGTCTCCACTTGACAGCCGCCAGATTCAGGATAACCAGAGGTTGGATGCTATAGAAGGGAACAGGATAGGCTCTGTCAATTTCCAGCAGTGTCAAGCAGTCAAAACCAAGTAGAGACCTCACAAATTCCTCAATATCACCTCAATAGTTCGCCCTTGTTGGAAGTAAGGAATTCCACGTTGCGGTGAAGCGGCGCCCTAAACCCAATCGGGCGGCAATGTTTTCGTCGGTCTTCAGTCGGGTCTCCCCTCGACTTTCCCGACTTCCTCGCCTTTCTCGTATTTCTCGCAGTTCTTAATCCCCTAAGGCCACACCCTTATACACAGGCGATCCTGAGTAGTGGCACATGCCACCATGCTGATGTGTCGTGGGATCCTGCAATGCCATAACTTGCACTCCCCGCAACTATGACCTACGATAAACAAAACAATGGCAATCTCGCCAAACCATTCACACCTACCCTCAGTGCTGCTTTTCACAGGAGTAACAAGGGTCCTCTAACACCAAAACTTGCAAGTCCAAGTCCAGGGCCCGGATACACTCCCCGACGTCTCGCACAGTCCGAACACCCCTATTCGACCCCCTCCAAAGATGACTCCCCCGCGGTTCCAGGTTTCCTGAGCGCCAACGTCACTCCACGATCTGGCCCTCGAATGACCCGGCGAGATGGTGCTTTCTACTCCCCGACAACCACATCTCCTGCTCCGTCTCCACAAACCCCCTACTCCCAGTCAACAATTGGTTATGGTCGTCGAGACCGCAGCCCGGCTCGTGGGGTCAAGCCGGAACAATCTCGAAGCTTGAGAGCAAAGACGTTGACGGCGGAGAATCAACCACACGTATCACGACCGAATTCTTTCTCGGAGATGACATCGGGGGCTCCTCTGTTCTTTCATGCGTCCGACGCACGATCATCGCACCCTTCTGAGCCACCGGATGTCCCACGGCCGAAACCTCACGGGAAGACGTCTCCAGCTTCGAGCTTTGTGTATGCGAATGGGGAACAGGAGCGGAAATCATTGGGAGAACAATCGAATGGAACATCCAATTCTGGCAAGCGTCGCTCGATCGGTCTCCCCCGCCCCCTGCCCACCAGTAAACCAGCACTTTCCCCTTCTTCGCGCCTGAGTTCGCCCAGGCTTTCAGATGCCGCCTCGCCTCCTCCGGAAGATACGAGACCCCCATATATCGCCAACAATGATAACGGACTGGGGATCATACCCCATCTTGGCTCGCCGTCCAGCACGACTGGGGAGCAACCACTACCGCCGCTGATCCGACATACCAAGTCCTCGAGTGTCGACTCGGCCCGCAATAGCGTACCTCCACACGATGGCTTAGGTCCCAGCCCGATCATCGTATCGAGTAGCCACTTTGGCGATGGAGCACCCCCTGTGATATCGGAGCAAATCCCCACCCTTCGCCCTCGCATCTTCAGCAACGGCTCAAGCATCTCGACCGATACATACCCCCTGTTCCACTCAGCCCGGGAAAGTCTGACGGAGCAAGCGAAGCCGCTCTCAATGCACGAACTGAACGCAAGATCATGGATTTGGAAATCAGCAATTCTTCTCTGCTCGCCATCAACCGTACACTGGAGCGCGAGATGCGACAGCAGAAAGCAGAACTTCGCCGATTTCGGCGACTGAGTCGCGCTGGACGTATATCGATGGCTCCGTCCGCCCGCTCATTCTCCGGAGTGGCACTATCGATGACCAGCGAGTTGGAGGAAGGCGAAAGCGAGTGTTCCAGCCGATCACAAGACGATATGTCCGATTTGAGCGACGAAGATTCGATGGCGGACGAAAGTATCATGAGTCCAGGCTCGCTGGCCGAGCATGATGCTAAACACCGTGTTCATGACGAGAAACGTGTCATGCTTGACTTGGCGCGACATCAGGAGGTATTACAGGATAGCCAAAGGATAAACCAAAGTCTCAAGCGCTGCCTAGGATGGACCGAGGAGCTTATCAAGGAAGGACAAAAGGCTCTTGAATACAACGTTCATGTCCAAGACGTTGAACTCGGCGGCCGAGTCTTGTCCCCCGAAGAATTGGGCGAAGTTGGCGAGAGCGGTCACGGTCTTCTAAGCCCTTCAACCGAATATAACGTCGTCTTTTCACCTGTCACATCGTCCTCCGCCGAGGTGTCATTTCTTGAATCACCGTCTATTGAAACATATATTGAGCCCTCTATCTCTGCTGATGCGACTACATGATGCCTTGTGTGTTTCATCTTTTGATTTTCGCATTCGTCTCCTGGTGGGACTATTCCTTTTTTCGCTTCTTCATACACCGTTTGCACAATACCCCTTGATGCTTTTCAGTCTGAATTGTTTTCCATTCCATTTGATGATACAGGCCATCTTTTCACTCTTTTGGGCTTAGCGATTTGTACCATGTACTTTTGGACTGTTTCTGCCTTTCTTCGAGGACCTGATGGTTATCGATAGGTAGAGCCTTCACTTGAATCTTGTCAACCATTTCGAACGATTTTCCCTGGATATTTGAAAGATACCCGATGCGCAACTATTGTCTTTGTTTTTGTTTCGTCTGTATGAGCACTACTTGACTTGAACTTGTGATAATAATAGACTTCTCTCCATGGATGGTATCCACACTGTTTTCTACACTGTCTCATTATCTTTAGGTATCTGCGGACAAAGACCAGGATTGAGATTGAACTAATATCATCAAGTCATATTATCAACACAAGTTCATCTCCAATCTCTATCATGGGAACGGACACTGGCCCGTTCGCTGCTGACGGAGTGTCTCCTTGATGAGCTCGACTTCCTTCCACCCTTTACCCTCAAAGTACTTCGGTCCGAGGTCCTGGGTTCGATAGCCCTTGGGATAATACTTGTCACCATCATCACCAGGCAAAGGCTGTCCGACTGCCCACTTGAACCATGCCACCGGCCCCCAACGGTTCCAGATCGTGGGCTTCACATAATACGGCGCTCCTTCATATATCGTCACCCAGTTGCGGCCGTGCTCGTTTGGTTTGTCGGTAAACACGTCCATACGCATGAAGTTCGGACGTGGGAGGGCAAGGTAACGCAGGTACAGCCGGCGGGTTTTGAAGATGAAGGTGAAGAGGACACGGAAGATGGCGGGCGGCGGGTCCATCCTAGGATTGTTAGTATCTGGGCTGCGTGAATCGCGTGATCAAGAGTCATACATCATTGCGGTTCGTAGTCGATCGTCCATCATGTATGAGACGATGTATTCACCCAGCGGCTTCATGAAGCTAGGTAGGTTATATACCAGTACGTCAATGGTTCTCGCTGCAATCTCCTTGTTGCGAGGATGCGGCTTCATGTACTCGACTTCGTACTGCTTGCTCCAGAGACCCATCTCCTCCAACCAATGGAGGCCGTCTTGGAAACCGGTCTTGCCAGAGGGTAGAGCCTCATAACTGATGCCCAATGCATCACCAAGGCTCTTCCAGTATGTCCCGACAGCGCACCGCTCCATGTCGGTCATCTCGCGCCACTCGAACTGCTGCACAAATCGGATCGGCTCCAAAGCGAACAGACTCAGTGTGTACAGCATGTCGGCTTCGAGGATCTTCCCGCTGGCTCGATAACCTTGGTGCAAGAACTTGGTTCGGGCGATTGCCGTTTGCGCTCGCTCGGAGCGTGGGTCGAATGCCATGAACTCGCCGATCAGGGTGCCTGTGTCGGCATATCGCTTGAATGAAGTCGACGGCTCGGAGAACTGAGATGTCGTCAATAGTAGGGTTGATATCGTGGGGATGCCATATGTCTGTCCGAGGTGTTAGCTTTGATACGAGCAGTTGATGGGGGTTTCCCTTACTCGGAACAGAGCAAATTGCAGTGACTTCATGACAATGAAAGGAAACTCGGTTTGCATAACTGTTTTCTGAATGGACCAGGCATCGCGGTCGGTCATGGTACGCAAGGATTGCCTCGTTCCATAGTAACTATATTTCTTTTGGATTGCCTGGCGTCGCTGGAAACGGAGGGAAGATACTAAGGCTAGGTATGTTGCCAGCCCTAGCAGCGCACAGAGTATCTGCTGATACACGGAGGCTTGTAATAAGGCGTTGAGGAGCGAGACATCCCTGATGTTGCGGAGCAGAGGCAGTGTCGGCATCTCTATAGGTCGTAAGATCGCTATCGACTGGGGGGTTTTTCGACGAGAATGCGGATAAAATTATACTTCTGGATCATCTACGCTCTTGACCTTATATACATTCTGCCTGAAGTGGTAGATTCCCATGAATCAGCTGTTCATGACGATGGCAGTGGTTATGAGTGACTCTAGGGCTTGGATACGCATGTCAGAAAACACTCGTGAATGCGGACCGAGGAGGTTGGCGATCCCGCGCGGGGGAGGATAATCCCCAGATTATGCCCCCAAACATGGCATTTTATGCTTGAAACAGGCCAAATGAGACCAAATACAGACTTTAATGATTGAATTCAAGTGACTGATCCGATATCCAGGGTGGTCTGACCCAACCCTGAAACATATCACCGAGGTTTGCAATCGACTTGGAATCACTCGATCCTGCACACAGTTATCCCGGGGCAAATGGCACAACCGAGATCCAATCATAGACAGTTCAGTCAGCAAGATCGACACAAAGGGTTCGGTATCTCGGTCGGAGGAGGAAGACCCGACATCGTACGACTGGCTTTGTACAATATAAGCCGAGATGACATCAGTGTACTCTTGGCTCTTGGCTCTTGGCTCAGGGTCTACTTTGTACACAGTATTTGGTGGAGGAGTGCATCGCCTATGATGCGCAATATCATTTGACAGGAAGAGCTACGCTTGTGGTGTGAAAGCTAACCTTGGTGTCAGGTGCCAAATGCCTGGGTATGGTGGATAGCCTGGTAGACTGGTAACGGAAACTCATCACGAGAAATTGCTGTGCGTGCAAGATATCCGCATATTCTGTTACCCAGAGCATGAATCCCTATCTGTTCTTGGAGGCTTGAGGGGACAACTAAAGGATGGTCATCGGTTCTGCCACTGTTCGGGGAGAGTGTTGAGGCCTGACTCTTGACAATGATGGCATAACGTTAGTGAATGCTCAGATATCTTTGGCACATGCCGTCGTTGCAGGACCTTCAAATTAATCAACGGTCTCTTGGTCTTGTTGGCCCCACTTGTCTGCTTCGATCATGATTCCCAACAGGACGGGCAGTCAGCCTTAACTGCCAAGTGGTTCGAGACCGTTCGACAGAGTCATTGCTTTCTATTAGCAATCTTCCTCATGTTAGAACTTGGAATTGCATGTGAGATGCGCTCAGGTCTCTCAGCCAAGGTCCTTCTTCTGTCTTTCTGCCTGTATTCGTAACAGCGCCAATCATCTTTACCAACGATCATGAAGTATGGAACGTAACCACGTGGAACGAATTATATTCACTGGAACCTTATCTACAAACCCACGAATCATAATGAGCATCTCACGTGCTCATATATATACACTAGGACCCCGACCAGGGCTTTAAACAGCTATGAGTGATACTCCCACCGTTCAAGACTGGATGGGCTGCCCATTGCCAACCTGGGTGGTGATATTGTAGTCACCAAAGCAGGCCTCCTGGTACATGGCTTCCTTGTTGAGACCGGGAATAGCACTGAGGAACTTGTCGACCTTGCAGAATCCATTGACCGAACCATCGCAGGCCTTCAAACCATCCAGAGGCACGGGTGCATTGTTCAGAACAAATCGGATATAATCGGTAGTATCCGACTTAGACGACAGATCGGGGTTCTTGTACTTCTGCACCTGGAGATGCTTGAATGAGACGTCCTTGGGACAAGTCCAAATCTCACTGTACAAGCGAGCGCCAAAGGGAGTCATCTGGTTCAGGTTGAAGGTGCGGGGTGGCGCGTGTGCAACAGAGACAGGCAGGCCATGAGGACCGTACTTGAAGTAGTCCAATCCAAGAGCAGCCAGCACGGACACGATGATGTCGTCGTGAGACATGTCCATGTAGAGAGGCTGGTCGAGAGGGAAAGTCTTGGTGTTGTCGTCGTAAGTGTAGTTGACGCTGCTGTCACTGCTCATGATGAGCTTGTGCTGCAAACGAGCTGCGAGCTCCTGGACATATCCAATTCCCTGGGCACGGCCGCTGGGAGAGCCGAAGCCGTAGTCTCCGTAGAATTGAAGATCGATGTAATATTCGAAGTCGCGCCATTCCTGTTCGGTGAACAACGCACAGAAGGAGGACTGACCCAAGGTAGCATACTCATAGGGGCACATGTTGAGCATTGCGAGGATGTCGAAAGAGTCAAGGGTCAGATCGTTAGGGAGATACGCAGCAAGACGTTTCCGGGCGCTCTTAGCGAGAGACGAGGCGAATACCTTGGCAGCATTGTCACCTGGCTCCCAGCCCTGGGTACACGCATCAGTTGAAGACAGCGTGTTATTGAAATCGGACTCCTCGGGGATGATTGTAAGATCGTACTCTGAGTACGAGCTATTGGCTCCGGTGTTTGCGAAAAAGCCACTCAGCCACCAGCGGGCGCTTTCCAGGATTCGGGGGTACGAAGTCGTGCGGAAAGTGGGCTTCGGGCGCGCAGTGCCATTCGGATACACATTCAGGGATGCATCCCAAGCTGCCTGGCCATTCTCTGCGCGATACAACAATCGCCCATACTGGCTCCAGAATTGGGCGCCGGAAGTGGCTTCGGTGGCAGCGCCAGTGGGGAGCAGAGTGTTCAAGTCCAGAACATACTCCCAATCATTCAGAAAGGCCAGAGGACCGGAGCCAATCTTCTTGTTTGGGTGCTTTTTGCTGTAATTGGTCAATTTCTGGGCGAAGTTCTCCATGCCCTCCCCGTCCAGAGGCCATTGGGTTGGGTAGCGCTGGGCATGACGGTGTAGCACATGCACCTGTGACAGTTCACACTCTGATGGGAATCCCTTCGAGACATTGAACCCGGTTGCATCGGCATAGGGGCTGAGATTTCCCCAGCTGGTTTTCATGTCAAATCCCGACGGGTAGGAAAGGCCGGTCGGACCGGCTGCGGCGGCCGATGAGCTCGAGGCCATGGCGGACGTGCCACCGGCAAGGGCCAGCATGACCATTGCAGATACGTGAAGAGATGTCATGTGGAATCGTTACTGGTCACTTGGCTGGAGTTCCTGAATTTTCGCGAGGAATTGCCATGTTATAAAGACTCGCCAGTTACCGGCTGGGGGTGGAGAAAGGGGGCCGATCCCTTCCCCATGTAAATCCGGTTGTTCATTTCGGTTGGGGTCACTCCGGTGTGACATTGTGTGGGATATTCATGATTCAGTTGAACTTCGAACATCGAACTGGGAGGATCTTAGGATACTGTAGTCATCCCTTAAGTAGGGTCCAAAAATCCAAAGAGCCAAGCCGTGTGGGGAAATGCTTGGCCTGTGAAGGACAGCTTCAAGGCGGCGGACAAGGCCCGATAAGCCGAAGGCCCACGCCGTGATCAGGCCCCGAAGTCGAACGGACTTTCAGACTCGGGAAATTTCGCGATCGACAGGAGGTTATTGCACTAACTGCTTTGGGGATGAAGTCAGGCAGTGATCATCTCAACCTGGGCGCTGACACCGTCGATCAATGCGATACGATGAAATAAATGTTGAGGAATGGACATCAAAGGGAAAACAAACCGATCCATTATCCAATGATAGGTAAGGACACTGGGAGACTGCACAGGTGGTCACTTACAGTGGTCACTCACAGTTGATATGCAGGATTCTCCTTTCTTCGTGATGCTCGTGAAGGAGATAAAGACGCCAAAGCGAGCGAGTAGCCCTAAAGGCTAAAGCTCACGACTTATCACATCTCCGCATCCAAAGACAACAATACATCCCTTGCGCCTTTCCTACAGGCCCATTAATAATGTCGATAGCACCAAAGCGAAAAAAAGTCACACTCGAAACACTCACTCTCTTGCCTTCTACCAATCTGGCTCCCCCAGACGCCATGTTGATGCGGCTGCTCGTATCGGACACGAAGACCAAGACTCGTCAGAGTCTGTACCCTCTGGTGGCGCCGATTTTTCTACTGGCTCTTCAGCTGCAAATCAATATCCTGCTTGGGCTTCGATCACGAGCCTCATGAGCTGCACATGGAAGAAACCATAAAGCGCAAGGGTCCTACCCCCTTGAGGCTCTCCTGCCAGTACAGCTTTTGTTTTATTATCCCCTTTTCCTACCTTCTCTCCGACCCTCTTGCCCCTCGAAGTTGGAAAAGCGTGCCGTATTGATTTCATCATGCTGGCGCTCAACATTATACTATATGCCCTCTTGGGCACATCGCTGGTCTTTGCCATCGTCGAACTGGGTCTCTCGGCTTATGTTACCTCCATATCTTCCGGCACGGTATCAAATGGCTACTATTACTATGACGTGGACCCTCCAGCCATTGTTATCTTCCTTGTCTTTTCTTCAGTCTGGACCATCCTCGTCACTATCGCGGCCCTGGTACTGCCCTGGCACTATGGTCGTAAGGGCTTGGTGAGCGCGAAGCTCAACACGGTCCTCGCCGCCATTTTTGTGGCCGTGTACTTTGTGACAATGGTATTCTGGTTGGCGTGTTTCGCCGATCTCGCGAATATAGTCAGTGGCTATACCAATATCGACCCGTACTATAGTGCCGTGCTGGCCTTCGGCGTGCTTCTCTGGTGAGTTCCTCGCTTCGTTTCTAGTCAACACATGTAGCACATCAAACTGATATGAGGGTTCATTTGCAATCAGGCTACTTTTCCTCGCCCTCGTTGTCTTGACCATTCTTGCAATGTGTGGTGTCTTGGTCTCGGACTGGGCCGGGTATCATTCTCTCAGGAAGAACAAGGAAGTTGGGGCAACCCAGACCGCTGGGCCTGCTCAAGATGTCCAAATGAGTATGCCCACTGTGGTTCCATCGGATTTGTCATCTAGCGATGCTAAGGCTCTACATAACCAGCCGAACACCCAGTCGTTTAGCCCTTCCGAGCCTTCACCCATCCACAGTGCCGAATTGAGCGGCAATAGCGTCCACCATGATCATCGCACAGGCCCGCTTGAGATCAGCCCGGTCTGATTGCCCATCTCGAGTTGACGATCACCGTCATTTGGGATTGTGGAGAGCACGGGTGTAGGACTGGTTTTCATGATTGGCCGGGTTGTGTCTTCTGCATGTTTTTTGAGATTATCTATACCACCTACAGTACTAATGTAATTCGTCAATAATTGTTGTGACAATATCCAGCAAAATATCTATTTCCATATGATTTGTAACAAACCGTTGTCGTGCTGTCGCGACTAACCAAAGGATAAAGGAGGTATCAAGGCCAATCTATTCGCTCGCCAACCCCCGCGCGCATTGCGATGAGCGGCCGCCCAGTCCCGAGCGGTAACCCCGAAACAGAGTGGTTGAGCTCGTTAATGTTGAAAGATGAAAGAAAAACTCGAATGTATGTCCAGGATATAATGAACCGGCTATCAAGACAGGCAAGGTGCGGAAGGTGACTCGAACGAGAAAACAAGGAGACTGATAAGTGGGTAATTAAATGGTGGTCTCTTCCACTGACTGCTTTCCGCTGTGAGTCTCCTCATGATCGTGCTTGTGCTTCTTCTTCTTCTTGTCCTTATCATCCTTGCCCTTCTTGCTCATGGCCTCGGCCATTAGCTGCTCGAAGGCCATATAATCGCCTTCCTCCTCAGGGTCGCGTGCGGCCTAAGTTGCAATGATGAGCATGGTACCCAGTATTAGGGGGACAATCAAACATACCTTCGCGTAGATATTACCAGCAATAACCAGGGCATGTGCACGCTCAACCCGCTTTTCAAGTCGGGTCCGCTTGTCATTCAGGATTTGATCGCAGACATCCCGCAGGACACTCTGGATTTCGAACTTGCTGCCACGCCAGGCTGCAGCGAGAATCTTGCCGGTCACCTTCTTCTCATACTCGGCCTTCTTCTCATCAGTCCAGTCTTCACCGCCGCGCTCCTCCATTTTGGCCATCTCCTCCATCGTCATCTGCGCATCAATGGCAGTGGAGATGGTGGTCCATGTCTCCTTAGCAAGGGTGCCCTTATCCTTCAGGCGGGAGAAGAACCCGGAGATGCCAAGGAACTTTTGTGACTTGAGGAAAGAAGTACCCTTTTGAACATAGGTCTGACCGACTGCATGGAGAATTTCCAGGCCGAACGACTCCATTTTCAGGTTCTCCACCTCGAGTCGAATCTTCTCTTCGAAAGCGTGGGATACGTCCTTGCCCTTGTCAGTCTCGGTCCAAACGCTCAAGCGATCAATCAATTTGTTTGCTAGAGTGTTGACACGTGCTTCACGGGCCTTTCTGCGTTCCTCTTCGAAGGCGTTGAGGCGTTCCTGTTGCTCCTTTGAGAGGCCCTTCTTCTTCTCCTTCTTGCGCAGTTCCTTCTCCTCCTGGGACAGACCAGCTGCCTCCATGCGGGCCTCCTCCTCAGACTTGTCCATAAGAGCCTGTTGACCAAAGTTCCGGCGAGGAGTGCTGGTGCCAGAGCTCTGGCCGGAGACGGGTTTCTCGGACGGACCGGCAGCTGCAGCTGCAGCCCCACCTGTGGCTTCGTGGGCGGCAGCAGTGGATGCTGATTCACCACCTGCAGCCTTCACTTCCTCGTCGTGGATGTTGAGCTTCTCTTCCGCAGATTGGGCCAGCTCCTCCTCCTCCATTTCCTGCATCGTGATGTCCATGGTCGCGGTGAGGTCCTTCATGAGTGAGATTTCGCCGATAAGATCGACAAAGGCCTCGCCACCAAAGATCATGCTAAAGAATTCCGACGGGTCCTCTGCGCAGAGAAAGTCAGAGATGTTGCGTTGAACACGAGCATGCATGTGATAAACCAACCAAAGCCACCACCAGGTACCGACTCCTCCTTTCCAAACTTGTCATATCGCTTTCGAAGATCTTCATTGCTCAGAACTTGATAAGCTTCGCCAATCTACAGTAGCACGAGGTCAGCCTTTGCAATTTCAAAAGCTTTCGGGGTTTTCCGGACATACAGCTTGGAAGCGTTCGTGTGCAGTTTCATCACCCGGGTTCTTGTCTGCGATAATGTATTAAAAACTCTGCCGTGGATATGAACCACCAAATGCGACCATACCAGGGTGAGTGACGATGGCCAACTTTCGGTAAGCCTTCTTGATCTCGAGCTCGGTGGCCGTAGGCGGCACACCTAGGGCGTCGTAGTAGGCAGTATCGGCAACCATCTTAGCAACCGAGCCTAAATCGAGGACGGAAGCGTGGATGAGAGATATGGATTTAACGAGATCGCAGATCCGATCAAGACAATAAGTGAGTAAAGCTGTGTTTAGGCAGAATCTCGAGATATTTTTCGGAAGTTGGCGCTGATATCATGTGGGGTTGTATGCACCGTTTGTCTGAACATCACGTGCTAGCTAGCTAACTTTGCTTTTAATCTGTGGCCTTTCCCCTTTTCTCCTCAATCTCGAGTCCCCAGGTTTTGCTGGTTTTCTAATTCTGGATTTGATTTTCTTCAATACCAGATTGCCTTACATTCACCTTATCATTCTTATATTAGGGCTATTTGCCTTGTTAATACATTGAGCATCCACCTGACGCGCATCTCTCCCCGCCCATCATGGGTTTCATCGGCAATGCTCTCTACTACTCCTTCCACCCTATGCAGCTCAGGGCAATCGTCCAATGGTAAGTTTCAATTGCTAATTATGCGAAGCTGGCCCCCCGTGTGCAAAGCTAACCATCCGGAATTACAGGAAAGTCTGGCACAATCCTCCCCATGAGCGCAACGAGAAGGACGAGACTGAGAACCAGAAAATCTGCTTCAAGTTCTTGGACAAGACCAGCCGCAGCTTCAGTGCTGTGATCAAGGAGTTGCACCCGGAACTGCTGATTCCGATCTGTATCTTCTACCTGGTCCTCCGTGGACTGGATACCATTGAGGATGATACTTCTATTCCCCTGGCCACTAAGGAGCCCCTCCTCCGAAACTTCAAAGACATTCTCACGCAAGACGGCTGGACTTTCACCGGAAACCGGCCTGAGGAGAAGGACCGTGAGCTGCTGGTTCAGTTCAATCACGTCATCACCGAGTTCATGAACATGAAGCCCGAGTACCAGGCCATCATCAGTGACATCACCGAGAAGATGGGCAATGGCATGGCCGACTATGCGGTAAAGGCAGAAAATGACGATGCCAGTGTGAAGACCAAGGAGGAGTACGATTTGTACTGCTACTACGTCGCAGGATTGGTTGGTGAGGGTCTTACTCGCCTGTTCGTCGAGGCCCAATTCGGTAATCCGGCTCTGTTGAAGCGCCCCAGGTTGCATAAGTCAATGGGTCTTTTCCTTCAGAAGACCAATATTATCCGTGACATCCGGGAGGACTTCGATGATAACCGACGCTTTTGGCCGCAGGAAATCTGGTCCAAGCACGTCGACAATTTCGAGGATCTCTTCAAGCCAGAGTATCTGGAGGCGGCCCTCAACTGCAGCTCGGATATGGTTCTGAACGCCCTGGAGCACGGCGAGGACTGTCTGTTCTATCTGGCGGGTCTGCGTGAACAGAGTGTCTTCAACTTCTGTGCAATTCCCCAGTCCATGGCCATCGCCACATTGGAGTTGTGTTTCCGCAACCCCGACATCTTCAAGCGCAACATCAAGATTACCAAGGGAGATGCATGTGACCTCATGCACAAATCAACACAGAACCTCTCCGTTCTATGCGACAGCTTCCGGGAGTACGTCCGCAGAATTCACAAGAAGAACACCCCCAAGGATCCCAACTTCCTGAAGATCAGCATTGTCTGTGGACAGATCGAGAAGTTCATCGAGACGCTCTTCCCGACGCAAACCGCCGAGGCCGCCAACCGCAGAGTTGCCGGTGAGCTCACTGCGGCCGAGGCGCAGCGTAAGAAGGAAGAGGATGAGAACAAGAGCGATGTCTATTTCATGATGGCTCTGATGGGCGTCATTGTCGTCGTTATCACCAGCATCATGATTTTCACTGCCTGGATGATGGGCGCTCGGTTTGATCTTGCCTTCAAAGAGATCACGTCGGGCAACTTCCGACCCCCGGTCAAAAACCAGCTAGAGCACCCCGAGCTTTGATTTCTCGATTCTCACATCCACGGCGTTACGACCTTTTATTGTCCAATATTTTCGATTCCCCCTCCCGGCGGCACATTGTTTTACTATTTTTTTGCCCCCTACCGGTGCCCCGATGTGTATTGATAATAACAGAACTGTTTTCTTTTAGACAAGTGTATAATTGACTGACTGACTTTCTCTTTCCTACCCAGTTCCCTTAGCACGGATGTCAAATTGCGATCCGGCCCTTCTATGGCCGCGGTCGCGCCGAAGAAGTGCTTATAACGAAATGGAGATTTATCTCCCTCGCCAGTGAGTACTAGATTTTTGTCCTACGGTTCGCCCGAGGTGGCAAACATCCATTGAAGATCTGGGATATCAAGTGTACACTGAACGTAGCTTTGCATGTCCGTAGCTTTTCAATGCATTTGTTCCTCTTTCTACTAAGAAAATACCATGGGAGGATAATCCCTGCTTTTCCGCGTCACATCCATTATATTCAGGTGAAATGTACAGGACACCCTTACGGACGAAGTCTGTTCAGAAGGGCGAAGACAACTGACGGTGAGCTCCGGAATCAGGTAACTGGCGAATGGAACGAACCGCAGGTGGCTCTAGCGTGCAGTCAGCAATCTCTGTTTTTCGGCCTTCACTTCTATCTTCCCTTTCAGTATCTCGGTGATCTCTTCTGCATTGCTGGCATTTTGATAATCGGCAATACTTCAATTTCTAACTGCCGCCTCATGCGTCTCCAACCCGCTGTTCGCCCATCGCTTCTGAAATTTCTTGTTCCCAGATCGAGTTTTCTTCCCCATACAAGGATCTCACCGGTTCGAGCGAATCTCAAACAAATGGCATCTTCTTCATCTGCGAGCTCCGGCGACCTTCCGCCCCTATCTGCCAGTGATTTTCGGACATATAATCGTATGGCGGAGCATATGGAAGCATTTGTAAGCTGACCACCAATCACTTGGAGACGGCATCTTCATTGTAACAGTTCGACTAACATACATCCAGCACAGCCATTTCCGCTTAACGTGGAACCAGCTCTCGGAGGCATGTGGAAACTCCGGGAAACGAGGTCTGTCAGCCCGGCAAATGATCATGATGGGTCTACAGTTCTGTGCGCAACTGAATTTGCACCATAATATCGAGGAGCAACATATCTTCCCCGTGTTGGCGAAAAAGATGCCTGAATTTCGGAAAAACGTCGAGTTGTTGAGTCAACATAAACAGATTCATGCGGGACTTGAGAAGCTCGAGAAATATCTCGAGCAATGTCAGTGCGGTGAGGAAGATCTACGTCGTGAGGAGGTGAAGCGGCTGATGGAAGGGTTTGAGAAGGTTCTATGGGTGCACTTGGATCAAGAGGTGGAGACTCTCGGTGCAGCTAATATGCGCAAGTTTTGGTCTCTTGATGAGATGCGTCGGCTTCCTATGTAATGTCGGGACGTTGATAGCGAGACACTGTGGCGGCCTTTGGCTTGGAACTACATTTTGACTATCGCATGATGTTTTGTTTATTACTGTTGCTCATTTCACTGTATTTGTTGCCAGAGCATTTTCTCTGCTCGAACTGTTTTATTTCGCACGTGCGCTGTTCAAAGGCAGCGGTTGTGTGTTGTTTCGGCTCAGGGTGCCTCGTCGACCGTCCTACGCGACACATATGAGACGAACGTCATCGCAAGAGGGCTAGATCTTCTCAAGTGACTGCCAAGGCTGCACGAATGTGAATCAACAGCTGTCAGATTGGATCTGGCCGAGTACATCGCATGCTCATCGGCTGCATATCAGCACGCGACAGGGAATCACCTCGCCGGGTCATTGAACACCCTAAGCCAATAAGTCTGATGTCAATGACCGTTGCGAATAAGGTGTGCTGTTCCCGGCATAAGCCACCGATGGTGTCCGACTGAGGAATGTGAAGGTGTCGACATCCCTTGACTGGTATGTACGCTAACCGCATCCCGCCGATGACATCGCGAGCTGCACGCTCCCATACATTTTCGTCTTCCAGGAGCCTAGGGTGGACCTGACTTTCTTTCAATGGTCGTGTGTTGGATTAGACACACGCACTTACGTCTTTAAGAAGTGAATCGTGTGGGAAGAACCGATGGCCACGGTGGTATTCGGGCTCAACCTTGCGAATGTATGAACAAGAGAGACCTGATATGCGAGAACCTCAACCCTCGAGACAATCGCCATTGAATATGAAACTCATCATTCAGATCTCTCAAGATGCAAGTCCATCAAAGTTGGGGTCGATCTCGTGGCTTGCAGATGTCAGTGTCAGGCGTCGCCGATCTACCAGTTGTTCGTCACGTCTCCACTGTTAGATGTTTCTGGCTTCAGGAATGTGCCTGTCACCCCGACGCGCAATCTCACCTGAGCTGCCCATTTGATCTAGAGGTCGTCTCATGACGAGAACGGAAGCACAATTTGGCCTTGGTAATAGGTGAACCTTCAACAGGAAAAGAACAAGATCAACACAAGTCCCATCGCAGGCCAATAAGCTTGCTTCTTCATGCTACTAGGTTCCTATGGAAAACCTGCTTTTCTTTTTCCTCATCTCTCCACCATGGCGGGGCCCAGACTTTGTCTCACGTTGTGTGGCCGACTGCCACACCACGAGCTCACTTACCCCATACGGATTGGGGGGGACAGTGTGCCGCATGCAACTCACGCACCCTGAGATGGAGAATATAAATACCATGAGCATCATTGCAATGTAGAGTAAGCCTGTCACGACTCAATTTGGATCCTTCTATCATCTCCTTCCGGTGTCTGGCCGGACCTGTCCTCATCACCGTGAAAATGAAGTTCACTACAACCACGATCCTCACCACTGCCATGCTGGCAGGCAGCTCTCTTGCTGCCCCTCGCAGTGGTCTCCTTGAGCGTCTCCAGGCACGTGGTGCTCTGTCACGCCGCTCAGTACCGGCTGAAAGGAACGGCGTTTTGCTCAAGGAAGCATCCCTGGGAGGCAATCTTCAATACAGCAAGAACTGGGCAGGTGTGGTGCGCGAGGAACCTCCAGCTAGCGCAACCTACAACGCTGTATCGGCAACTTTCACCGTCCCCACGCCAACAGCCACTGACAACTCTGGCGATATGCAAGCTGTGTCTGCCTGGGTTGGCATCGACGGCGACACCTACACCAAGGCGATTCTGCAAACTGGTATCGATTCTTACATTCAGAACGGCGAACAGACCTTCGACGCTTGGTATGAGTGGTACCCAAAGAACGCCGAGAACTTTGACTTAAAGTTGTCAGCGGGTGATGTTATCATTGCGAAGGTTGAGTCCTCGTCGCCCAGTAGGGGTGTTGCCATCATTGAGAACAAGTCCACCGGCAAGAGCGTCACCAAGACTCTGGATGCTCCTTCAACCAGCGCCACCCTCGCTGGTCAAAACGCCGAATGGATCGTCGAGGATTTCAACGCTGGCAGCACAATGGTTCCTTTGGTCAATTTTGGCAAGGTCGACTTCACGGGTGCCCAGGCCAGGGCCGGTAGCGGATCTTATGGTGTTGATGATGCCGAGATCCTGGATATTCAGCAGAATGGTGATGTGAAGGCTCATGTCGAAGTGAAGAGCAACAGCGAGTTCACTGTCACCTATCAGTAGACTTGGGTCTGCATTTGCATTGAATTGAGGCGTTTCGGTTGGAGTTGGAGTCTACAACAGGCGAAATTCATGGATTAAGTGTCTTAATGAGGAGGGTGGAAATACGTGGTTTAAAATGGGTGGCTTTTGACTTCAATGTACTGGTATTATATCAACTGCAGATAATGATTGATCATAACTGAACCAAAGCAAGCTTGAAAAGATTCCCCGGATCGTACTGTTTCTTAAGACGTGCCAGAGTCTCGTACTGCTGTCCATATATCTTTCTCATGTTGACTTTGCTTGTTTCCGTGAGCGCAAGGAAGGTGGAGGGTAGCAGGTTCTCGGTGTCGATTCTCATCATGTCGTTGTAAAAGTCATTTCCCCATGCCACCGTCTCGTCCAGCTTGTTTTTATCCAGGACGCAAGGGAGTATTTCAAGGACGAAATGAGGGCAACGGGTGCCAAAAACGGATTTTTCCACGGGCTCTGGGGCGCAGTCACGTAGTTGGTGTATGGAAATGAGGGTAGCAGGATCGCCAGGCTGCAGCAGTGCATGCTTGCTAATGACCTCCACAACTTCAGGAGTAAATTCATGGAAGTTTACCGTGAAGGCATGTCCATATACGGCTTTAGGGAGGACGTCTTTGATGCTTTCATGGAACCCAGCGACCGTGGTGGGTGCAACAGTGCTCATGACCACGGGTGACCAAGTGTTGACCTTAGACAACCATTTCTGTCCGGCGGTGATATCTGAAGATGCCCAAACGAAGAAAACTGCCATTGCCTTACCTGCTGGACCGTTAAGAACAGACGGCTGGAGATTGAGCTCGGCAGGAAGACCTTCTTCGCTCTGTTGACGATAGGCATCGGTGTATCGCCGAATGGTCGCTGGTAGATCGCTGGATTCAAGCACCAAGAAACCTGCAAGTATCTGATTTCTCGTTCAGCACCAAAGCAATGCATACTCAAAGAAGCTATTTCGTACCTGTTCAAGAGGATACACCTTGATCGTTAATTCGACAATCACTCCGACTGCTCCACCACCGCCGCGAATTGCAGTCAACATGTCCTCATCCGCATCCCGAACAACTGCTTGGGCATCAACCACTTTAGCTTGGAGTATTTGATCGGCTCCCAGACCGAACTTTGGCGTTAGAAGGCCATATCCCGCATGGGTAGCCCAACCAACATATCCGACGGTCGCGACCAAAGGATGCGGTACAGCCACGTCATTCCGGCTCAATTCCTTGATGAGATCTACGAAGAGCACGCCACCCCCGACGCGAGCAGAGAGATTGTCCCGGTCTACATGGATGTAGGCGATCTCGCGTAGGTCAATCGTAATAGCATCCTGCACCTGGGACCGGCCAAACATGTCATGACCACCGACCCGAATGGTGAATGGAAGATTGTTTTCTTTCAAGACCCCAAGGAGACCGGCTACATCTTCCGCCGAGCGAGGGCGCACGATCATGGCTGGGACTGTGGGTTTGATCACAAACGCCTCACGCAAGGTTTCGAAGTCTGGAGACGAAGGGCTAGCATGGTGAATGTGTGGGTGTTGTGCGAGGAAGTCCCTGAGTTGGTCCATGGCGTCTAGGAATTTGGTCAATCGTTGCAACGTCTTGTAAACTGCCTCCTAACCAGCTGGTCGAGACCATCTTATAGTTATAAATGTGCCGGGATGTAAGCTTATGAGATAAACCTCGGAATGAGGGGCCCATCTCATCATGTTCCCAGCATTTGATTTGATCCCACAATAATCAGCTATCAGCTATACGCGGTGGAGCTGCCAGCGCGGAGTCTAGGCATTATGGGCATACAGTCTATGCTCACGCTGACGTGAGATAATTAGAAATCAGAACAAACTCTGAATCGTGGCTTGTCTGGTATATCTCTGTATCTCATCAGTTCTCATTTCTCGCAGTAACAAAAATGCTAAAATTGGGAGTTTGTGGCTTGTCGGGATGTCGATTCCCCCGGATTGCCAGCCGGGGCCGATGCGCCCTAAAGCGGTGTGCGGTGTGTACCTTGAGTCATCGCATCGTCTCCCCGGCTTCACGGTTCAGCCTCACATTTACTGAAAGGAACTTCCAACATTCCCTTTCACAACCTTCCTCGATGTCGTTATGGAAATCCAGATAGAGACCGCCAAATTTCCCGAAGATGCCAAATCCATTGCCTCGCTGTTTTCCGGGTATGCCATCTCTCTCGGCATTGACCTCACCTTCCAATCTTTCCAAGAAGAACTCGATTCACTCCCCGGAAAATATGACCCATCTCAAGGGGGTTCTCTGTTGATAGCACGGGCTGTCAGTGTTGCTCGAGATCACACGAACGGGCATACAGTTGACTCAACAATCTCTCCTGCCCCGCAAATACCCCCCGTCCTCGGATGTGTCGCCCTACGCCGCAGCTCCGATGGCTGGTGCGAAATGAAGCGGTTATATGTGCTCAAAGAAGCTCGCGGATTGCGACTGGGGGAGAGACTCGTTCAAGCCATCATTGCTCAAGCTCGAGATCTGGGCTACCGAGGAATGCGCCTAGACACTCTGCCGGAAATGACAGCGGCACAACGACTCTATCGGAGGTTTGGATTTGTGGATATTGCACCCTACTATGAAACTCCGATTGAAAGGACGGTTTTCATGGGTTGTGATTTCACTTGTTCACGACCTGGCGTGTCCATGGCTTAAGTGGCTGACACTCGATTTCCTCCATACAGTCTTCGGAATTACCCTCTCACGATTGTGTGATAGCAAACCCCAACAATCTTTGCTATTGCAGCAATATCTTTAATCGACGTTGTATTGTTAGAAGTGGATATATATGATGATTGGGAAGTAGCACTGTCGACTGCGACCTCGTCGATCATCCACCGACCAAATCAGAGTCAATAACACCACGAAGTCTCGCCATTCCTTCTTTTGGTGTATCCGACGACTTCTGTTTGATGAAAAGGGGTCGTAAATCCAGACCGCAGGGACAATGGAACAGCATCCATCATCCAGTATCGCTAAGACACTCGGGGGTAGCGGTCGGAGACTCCCATATCAGAACCCGGATGAGAGGGTATGGCCATAAGTATCAGGCATAATTTCGGTGACAGCGTGGTCCAGCCACTTAGAGATTCCTCGCCATAACCATCCCAGGCCAGCCTCTTGGCATTCTGGAATCTGGTGATCGATGCTTGCAAGCATTGCTCGCCTCAATTGATGTCCAAGGGAGAATTCACTGAAATTCATCATCTCGGGCAAGCAGTAGATAACTTGACATACTAGTCGGCACAATGTACTCTACTACGTGTCAAGGTGAAAGTCGGGCGGAGCTGGATCGATGGATAAGGCACCTGCATCGCAGTACTGTAGCGGATGAGGCCAATCAGATATTCTGCAACGCCAGTGTCTCCCAATTCAACTAGTTGTTTGAATCTACTTACCAGGCCCCACTGTAATCCTTGCTTCTGCGCCGACATTGGTTACCGATACTGTGGGTGGGTGTTCAGCTGAACTGGCAGATTGGGAAAAGGGACGAGAGATGAAGTCCACAAAGTACAGATTTGGGGGAACTTACCAAGGAGGTCGATTTACGACTAAGATATGTATCACGATTTAACATTTTAGAATTTCTGGGGTTTTCGCCTTTCCATGGTTACTTCCCGTTTCTCCCAGGGGACGGCGAATGGCACCGATCCAATCACCCCGGTGAAGCACTAGTTAAACCTTGGAGAACAATTAGGTTAGTCGAAACCTTAACCATGTGCTGTAGAAAAAGCCCTTCCGCTGTGTAGTATATCCGCCCGGAGACTTACCTAGGAGAGGTCATAACTAGTAGATGTATGCTCAGAGTATACGTACACGCATTGAGTGACTGACGGGCATTACATAGTCTAAATAAATGGAAACGAAGGTCATGCCCGGTTGATCAAGCGGCCCTACAGACTAATCTCCCACAAGGATCAGACTCGAACCCGACACTCTGGGCGTGTCGGACTTGCAGAGTTGCAGGGGTCATGGATCCTCGTTTTTATCGGTGTGCTAATGTATGTATGTTACAAGTCCGTACAGTAGGTCGCTAGTACATCTACGGGCGGAACTTTCCAATCTAAGCTGCCGCCGCTTTTACAAGGGCGCTCTGAATCAGGCCCACCGAGTAAATTTCAGTCCGGGCTCAGACTCAGTGAGCTACTGAAAATTGAAATACATCCGGTGACAAGCAGTAAGTCCAAATCCAATGATAAAGAGACGAGACTGATCAGAACATTTACTCTGTAATCAGCTCAGGCAATGACCGGCTCTCGATCCACATTCAGTCCATACCGAAAGGAGGATTTTACATGGAGCAATACTGTGCATTTTGCGATCACTATTGATTGTGTTGCGCTCTAGTCTAAGAAATCCGGGGAAGGACTTGCCCCGGTACCATGGGTGCCTCTGATATCCATATGGTCTCAACGAATCTCATGACCTTAGCGATCGTCCCTTGACTCGTATCACACAAATGAAGACGTGATTCATAGCTTGGCATCATGCTTCCAGCCCGGCATTTCAGCAAGGTCCTTGGCCGGAGCACCACGTGTAGATCTGAGGGCATCGCCTCCTGGTCTCCATCTCCACGCACTAGCCAGATCTTGCGGCAGAGATCCTTCTATCAACTCAACGACATGTTTGCCTATATTGGGCAAAAGCTTGAAACTATGGCTATTATATAAGATGTTAGCAAGATAATCGATAGTTATACACAATTTTGGATCGTCCACTTACCCGCTGTCTCCTGTGGCCAAGATAAAGTTCTTCCACCGGGGGTGCTCGCAGATCAACAAGTTGGCGTCAGCAGTATCGGTGCACCAACACATGCTCCGATTGAAAAGTTGCTTATCCCTGAAGCGGGGCATGAACCTCGCAATCGCTTTTCGAATGGTTTCTTCAGAAGCATCCGGGTAGGTATCCGTGGGATGCTTGGCGTGGGATCGAGGCACGGATATGAGCTTGGGGGAGGTGGCACCGTAAGGGCGATGCTGTTTGAAGCGGGAGAACCCGGGGAATTCATCGCAGACTTTGATTACTCCGTGCCTGTAGATGGAGAGTTAGTGTGGACCATACCTACATTTGCAGTTGGGCTAGGAGCGATTGCTTACTCGTTGGGCTCGAAGAAAAAGCCATATTCACCGTCGTATACCACGGGCACGTCCTTGTACTGGCTCGATTCTTGGGGCGTGAGTTGGATATGAGCGAAAACCCAGGCCTAAATCCATCATTCAGTTAGCGGCATGGTTATTTGATCAAGCTTTACTGGGTCCCTGGAAAAACGCCGTCAAAGGAGATGTCCTCAACTGACCTTCGAAACACACTGGTCCTCCAAATCCACTAAAGTCGGACTCCAGGCACCAGCGGCCAAAACCACCTTGTCGGCGTAGTATTCTGTTCCATCCACTGTCTCCACACCGTTGCATGTCGTTCCATCAGCAGCAAATAAAGGCCTCTTGAAAGTTCCGGCACTGCAAATACGCGTCAGTAAGGTAACGAACTCCAGGTTTCTAGAAATTCGAAAAGTCCTGCCCCATACCTGCCAAATCCGAACTTGACGCCTTGACTTTTGAGAAAGGTTCCAATCGCATTGATGGCCTTGGCTGCTGCAAGCCAGCCTCCATCACCGCAGAACAACCCCTTCCACCCCTGCCGTCTGATTAGCCCTTGCCATCCCCAAACTTTCCTTGTGATCGACTTTACCTTAATCTGTTCCCGCGTGAAGTGCGGGGCTTTTGCCAGAATATCGTCTTCACTCTCTAACCAGATATTCGTCTGCTCTAGTCCGACATTCGCGTCGATGAGTGCTTGGTGCTTCCGTCGAAGGCTTGCAATACCCCCTTCAGTCGATGAACAGTCTAACTAAAGGTGTGTAAATAACTATGGAAGTTGCTCGATATCCAATTGGACATTGAATAACTCACCATGCCGACGTTGTGAAAGAAAGGCTTGAACAAGGGATCGTTCCTCCACATATCGAGAGCCTCTAGGGAAAGTTGCAAGTCTGGTCCGTTGCGTAATCGGATGCTCATGATCTTGTTGAGGTCATATCCTGCAGATTGCAAGGAAGGAATTGGATATACATCAAGGACGGTGATGTTTGACGGAGGGTATCCAGCGCGGATCAGGTGCAGTGCGGTTGAAGATCCCATTGTGCCACCTCCCCCGACAATGAGAACCTTTGTGCTCTCTCGCGAAGGGGCCATGTTGTAGTAATCGATCTTGCGCGAGGTACGGAAGGTTTAGACAATCTTCGGGGGAGAAACGTCAAAGGACAATTAGAGGATCCTTATTGATAAAACCCTCGAGACAACCAGAGACCAGTCATGTGAGCAATCGCTTCCGGAGATATACTGCGGATGATATGCGAAGTGGAGAAAAGCTTCGCGTGGACCTTCAATATCTCAGCCACGGAGTTATCTAATCGTCCAAGCGGTCCACTCGCTGGGGGCCGTGAACGCGGGGAAGTGACCCACCACAGGGCCCCCCGGGCCCGGAGTTCCGAGATAAGCATCGCATTCACAGGACTACTCCGTGTTGACCCCGGCTTTTCCTTTGTTGCCAAAGGATCCTTGATAAAGATATAAAATTACCCCCAGTGTTTCCCGAAGATATCGCCTTGATTTCGCGTGGACCTTCATCAACCCCCGCATCCCGAGGGTGGACCTCCCCACCACGATGGCATGGATTTTGCCTTGTAGGGATAAGGGAAACAAATCGGGAAATTTGCCGGGGTCCAAAGATAAGACTGGGGTGCAGACTATACGTGACCATGTCTCGTATAAATAACCAGGCATGGGACGCAACAATCTCAAGCATCTTTCTGAATCACTCATAGTCATACCATACGCGCTGTGATCCTAACCCCTATAATGGCCGACAAAAAGAGTCTCCCCAGTCATCACGATGATGCTCAATCTTTGCCAGACAATGTATCCGATATTGCTCAGGGTGTGAATATGGAGCAATACAGGGCAAATGTCCCGCTCTGGAAGCGGGTATGGCAGAACAGTTTGACGCAGATGATACTTCTGAGCATCCAGGCATTCTGTGGGCCGGCCATGTCAGATGCAATTACAGGTGAGAGCGCAAAGTCCATCCTGGTCTGAATGTGCAGCTTAGCTTTTCCAGGCCTCGGTGGCGGTGGTCTTGCCTCTCCTCGGGTGTCGAATATCTCGACAGCCATTACATATGCCATGCTTGCAGTCGGTATGTACCTCAAGATCAGATAACAGCTTTCAATGCATTAACAAAGAACACCAGTTTGCTTCTTGGGTGGTCCGCTCGTGAACAAAATCGGTATCAAGTGGGCTCTTATCATCGGCTCGATGTCCTTCCCTATTCAAGGATCTGCGTACTACTGCAACAGCAAATTCGGCAACGAATGGGTAAGTGAGGCCCCTTCAGCATTTATGACACGAATAAATAGCTTGAAATGCCTCCCCAAAGTCTGAAATATCTAATCAAAGTCTCTCCTTCAGTACCTCATTCTCAGCGGGGCTATTAGTGGTGTTGGGACCGCTTGCTGGTATGTCGCCGAGGCTGGGGCTATCATGACGCTTGCACCTACCGGTGCCCGTGGAAAATATTTGGCTCTATGGATTGTGTCGCGGAATCTTGGCCAGCTTGTTGGTGGTGCAATCAAGTGAGTTTCCACAAGTGTATTCCAACAAGTGCATGGATGACTTTCGACTTATCTCTCACGTTTTACAGTCTGTCTAAGAACCACGAAAAAGGGGTCAGTGGTGGAGTATCTCCCGACACTTATATTGCCTTTGTGATTATTGAGTGTCTCGCGTGAGTGCACCTCCCTGCGAACAAGCTAGAAGGTAAGAGATGGATGCTAATTATTCTGCGTAGCCTGCCATTCGCGTTGCTAATAACTCCCTTCGAACGCGTTGTTCGATCTGACGGTACCAAAATCGTCACCTCGGAGACACTTTCTACCAAGATGGAAATAAAGCGTATTGGGAAGACCATGACGTCGAGACTCATTGCACTTTCTTCCATTTGGGCACTGTGGTCATTCTTTTACACGTATGCCCGCTTTCTAACTCTTTGTCCATCGTTTAAGGGAAATGAAAGGCTAACAGATATGTCAGCGGTTCCTGGACCACCTACTTGGGTACTTACTTCACTGTCCGCTCCCGCGCTCTATCATCCCTCGTCTCGCCTTTCTTCTGCGTGTAAGCCCAGTGTACAGTATTGTCTCGTCATTCAAACATGAACTAACTTTCTTCTCAGCGTTGGCTGCTTTGGGCTCGGTTTTATCCTTGATATGAAGGGCGTCAGCCAACGCCGCCGCGCCCAGATTGGCCTCTACACCGTCGTCATCCTCAACTTCGGTGTGTACATCTGGTCCATTATTATGCAGACCAAGTTCAACCGCCATAAACCTGGCTCTATCGATTGGGATGACGGACTGTACCCTTCGTCCTTCCTGCCGTATTTCTTTGTGCAGACTACGGGCCCGTTGTCACAGTCGTACATGTATTGGCTCCTATCATCATTTGCGACCGATGCGCAGGGTAGGTATTCCAAAGGGGTACTAGGGAATATGCAAAGGCCTCAATACTAACGGTCACGTTAGAAAATGTCCGTAACGGTGCCGCATTCCGCTGCATCGAGGCTATTGGACAGGCTATTGCCTACGGCATGAACACTCAAACGACGAGTAACCCCCTGATTGGATTGTACGTCTGCTTGGTTTATCTATATTACCCTCTTTATCAAACATATGTCTAACAGGCTTTCTAGCGGCGTAACTTTTGGGCTACTCGGGGCTGCTCTTCTTCCCATGATTATGCTTGTGAACACGACACCAGACCGCATCCCTGCCGATATAGTTGCCGAGGAACAGGCTGCTGCTCGAGAGAAGATTGATACCTGAGTCAGCTAGTATATTAAGGCCACTGGGCCAGTTATGGGCTCAAGTATGTATCAATGGTACTTGGATTTGGACCCATACAACTTCAGAGATGAGGTTTGTTAAGAGATGAGAAATTTACCAATGAGCCCGGTTGATGATGTACTGCACACGGGCGTACTCGGTTGTACGCAGTGAGCAAAAAGCGGCAAGGCTGCAGCCCTGAAAGGGAAGAGGAAAGCCAAGAAGTCGCAGAAGTAGTCGAGTACGAAGTATACAGTACGGAGTACATACGCAGTACATACGCAGCTAGGTCGTTTCCTTCTTCCCGACAGTCTGGTTCGGTTCGATGATCGTCTCTTAAATTCCTTCTTCGTTTGAAGTTTTTCTTTGGTGGTCCCCCCGCACTTGAAAAGCCAAGAACTGTTGTGACCGTGATCTATTCACTCTTATGCCTCTTCCATTTACTGTAAAACTATCATGGCACACATGCACCCCAATATCGATCTGGCTGATGCCATCGAAGTCGACACGGATAGCGCAGTAAGATCTAGTCCGAATACACTCCTACAATCCCTCCCTGCCCTTTGTTTTGACCTTGAGTGCAGGCGGATGACGAAAGTCTTTCAAGTGACACAACCTCGTTGAGCTCGTCGATTCTATCTCATGTTTATGAGAATGGTCGGTCATATCATGCCTATCAGGCTGGTGCTTATGTAGGTGGGGCTGCCAAATCAACATACTTCCGTTTTAACAATGCAGATTCTCCCAAATGATGAACAAGAACAAGGTATGATGATGTCTGTTGGTTTATATGTACACGTAACTGGGGAATTGACGTTCTTTCTAACAGATAGACTGGATGTGCTACACCATGTCTACCGATTGTGTCTCGGGGGAGAGCTCTGCCGAACCCCACTACAAAACCCGCAGAAGGTGCTCGACGTCGGGACGGGGACGGGTATTTGGGCAATAAGCAGTAAGTCCTTACATATAACCAGTACCGTTGGCTACTGATATTAACATGCAACCAGTTGCAGACGAGTTTCCTTCCGCTGAGGTGATCGGCGTCGACCTGTCTCCTATTCAGCCCACCTGGTAAGCCCTCGTGTGCATGCCATTGCGTTCCCATCGCGCCATGTTGACGCTAAATAGGGTCCCCCCAAATGTCCGGTTCATTATAGACGACTTAAACCAGGACTGGAGCTTCCCAGCCGATTCTTTCGACTTTATTCACGTGCGTGGACTTGCCGGATGTGTAGACGATTGGTCAGAATTCTTGGGCCAATGTTATGAGTATGTCCCAACTTCTGGCAAATTGGGTCTGTGGGATGTCCTAACCGTCACACAGCCATCTTAAGCCGGGTGGTCAACTTGAAATTGCTGAGGTAGAACCTCGCAGCTATGCCGACGACGGGTCGTTCCCCGAGGATTGCTACTTCAGCAAGTGGCAAGTAAGTACCCCCGCTCTTCGATGCATGGCTTCCTATTGAGAAAATAATCAGAAGGAATTTCACCGGTTATCAGAAGTCCAAGGACGAGATTGGCTTCCAATGGCCAATGTCCCCGCACTGCTCAAAGATACGCCATTTGAGGATGTTGACACCAACGTATACATGTGTCCAGTCGGGACTTGGCCCAAAGACCCCAAGCTGAAGGAAATAGGACGATACATGCGTGCTCAAACCGTTGACAGCGCGTTAGAGAGTTATACCCTCGCGATGTTCACACGATATGGGGACTGGAAGCCCGCGGAGGTTGAAGTGTTGCTCGCTCGAATTCGAGCAGAGCTCAAGAGCAACAAGTTGCATATCTATGCAAAATGGTTTGTTCTGCAAGTTCTGATTGAGTTGACTATACTGACATGGTGGAATAGTTATTTTATCACCGCACGCAGACCTTTTGATTGAGGTAAAACCTCGAAGCCGAACAAGATACCTCGGACTTTGATTGCATGGTGTAGCAAATAATGTGATCTGACACATTCAGACATAGTTCCACGATCGGCTGCTCGAACATAGAAAAAGAATCAGTTTATTTCAAACAACTCAAGTTGCTCAACATCGCGATCCTTCATACTGTCACTGCTCCACTTTTCTCCCGGGCTGTCTCAGGCAGCAACCTCTGCCTCAGGCTGCGAGGCAAGCTCGGGCCAGTCATCATTCTTGGCCATCACCCCCTTTAAACCTGGAAAAGACATGTTAGATTTCTCGTGAAAGTCATGTAGAGTTGGAATGTCTGGATATTTGAAACCCGAATACCCACCCGATTCCTTTCGGATCTCCCGGAAACCCGTGTCAAACCCGAACTTGCGAGCTACGGCACATGCCGATCAGCGGGAAGCAACTCATGCAAGTACCCCTGCTCTGGTGCCACCCCCATTATCACGACCCCCGTCCTATACAGAGCTTTATGGACCACCTTCTCAACCTGTAAGTCGTGAGCCGCTGCCGAGACCGCGGACGGCGGGACCAACTGCATCTCCGACTCCCCCACCGCCAACGCCTGTGCAAAAAGCATTCGGCGATGCGAGGCATTTCCTGGGCGGTCTAATCAACCATCCAACGGAATCAAACAAACATGTCACTATCTTGCGACATTCTCATGGCCTGGTCTTCTATCGTGGGCCGACTACTTCTGTCGCGATAACAATCTTCTCTGATGCCCCCTTGCCGTCGGACCGGACTCTGTGGCTGCAGAGTAAAGGGTGGACGGGCAAGACTGGCATGCAGTTCAAATCGCTGCTCCGGCTTCGAGATAGCTGGCTGGATGTGACTCCAGGTATGCCCTTGAGGGCGGAACAGATACCACCAGATGATGAACGAGCTTGGCAACGCGACATCAAGAAATTTCAAAAGAAGGCCCCGCCCCGCGCCCGAAATCCACATCAGCTGCGGGAGACTGCCGTTGTGCGGATTCCCGCTGAAGGAGGCGATGGTTATTTCCAGCTTGTGCTTTGCCAAGGTCCCAAGAAGAAAGTGCTTGGCAACAGCCCGGTATTCCGAGTGCTCTCCACGTCCACTGCGCCCAGTTCTATCCGTGGCGCGAGCTTGGCCACCCTACCCTTAGAGGTCGGGGCAATGGTAGTGAGTGTGTATGCTCAAACGGCAGCGCGAGCGGCGGCAGGTCCAGCCGCCATGGCCATTCAGGCCAAAGCTGCTCCCTTCCGTCCAAAATGGGTTACCAAGACTGCCGTTAAAAAAGTCTACTCGGCCAGTGGTGTCCAGAACCGTGTGGGTGGTATTATCAATGGCTCATATGGCCCCATCGGACGCTCCCAGCAAAACAAAGCAGCACCAGAACTCATTGGAGACGGTCCGGTCTCCATTGAGGTCGGTCCCCAGCCGCCGTTCCCTATGACGTTCAAAGCTCGTTGTGCAGTTGGGCAACCTCCGTCTCCAGACACCGTCGACGACCTCCCCAGATTGAGCTTGATTAAAATACCCGACTGGGTGACGTTTCAGTTGAGAGGGTACTTCTTTGGCTGGGCTCGTTTCGACATGGGGTCTAGCCAAGGCTCCCCGGCCGGGTCATGGTGTCCAGCTATCTTGTCTGTGCGGGCGCTGGATCCCCTTCAGGCTGAACGAGTCGATCTAGCCCAGATTGCGAGGCGGGTGGTCGCAATTCGCCTTCTCGAGCAGGTTCCTGTCCAATCAACCAAAATCGAGATCCGAGTCTTGGGCTATCTTCGCGCCGAGATGCCACCACCTACCGGAAGTACAAGCAAAGAACTTGCCGATGCGCAAGCGGCAGCTGCAGAGGCGGCTATTTTGACCGATATATACGATGCATCTGTTGTACAGGAGACTCTGGCCCATCCGGCGTGGGCTGCAGAACACACGGCTGCGCCAGACACCCAGCAGATGCCCAGTTGGATTGATCGCACTGTTGGTGGATGTACCAATATCATCGAGCGCGGACAGAAGTTCGTAGAGCAAGTCCCATTACACTTGGTTGGAGTTCGCTCAATGGGTGACGAGCTCAGAGAGAGCCAGGTGGCCGTCAACGGGTTTTACATTGTCCGCTAACCCTTGTTCATAATTTTATAGGCCCTTTGCGGAGGCACATCGCATTTTAATATGGACAACGCCCGAAATATAATCAATATATTACACAGGTTGTCATTCAAGACGTCAATCCACTAGTTACAGACGCCCCCGAAAGACCCGAATTAGGTACCTACAAGGGAGATATGAGCATGGCCAGAAAAACTATATAGGTATAAAAACACAAAATATTGGCCACATCCATTGAACCCAGGAGATCAAGGGCCCACGGGTGGCTCCGAAGCGGCCAAGTTACATTGACGGAATAACCGAACCTCGTTAGGTTTGAATGCGCCAACCACAGAATGCAGGACCCCGCGGTTGTTGAACAATACCAAGTCATTATCCTCCCAGTCATGAGGATACACATACTGGGGACTGATGGCTGGCCGCTGCAACTTGTAGACGATGTCCCGCACACGGGCTAGATCGTCGATCGTGGTTCCATCGGCACAATGGATACGACGCACGGCAGATGGGTGGATTTGCAGTGCCAGCTTGCCTGTCACTGGGTTTTTCCACGTCATCGGAAAGACCATGATCTTGCTGGGGTCGATGGGCGGCAGTTCTGAGTCCGGCAACTCCAAGCCTTGTGAGTGCAAACCGAGGCCAGTGGATCGAGAATGTGCTTGGCTCATCCAGATGTATCTGTCATGCTGATTAGTACTGAGACCAGTGGGGTATAGAACAGGAGACTTACGGGTGAGGGGCATATTCTATTTTGCTTGTCTTCACAAACTCCTTATCCTCGGGCGAAAGAAGATCGAACATCCGCTCTCCACTCACAAACGCCGTTGTCCCCAGGGGCACGTCCATTGTTTCCCCGGTTCCATCATCATACAATAATGTCTGACGGCGGCCCTTGGGAACACTTACTGCCATAAGCGTTGTCACCTGGGGCGGGTAGAGGTCATATAGCGCAGCGTCAATATGCCAGCGATAGAATCGGGTGAAATCATAGTCTTTGTCATCTGGAATGTGATCTTGGTGGAATGTCCGGTGATGAGGGTGTCGCAATTGGATATCTTTCAGACCTTCGTACGATTCCACATGTCCATTCCCGATCACCTGCACTTGGGGCTGGTGAGGAACAGTTTTGAGATCTGGATGGAGAATGCTTCGCTTGGCATCAATAGTCTTGCCATGTCCATAGCTCTCTGAGACAGGATCGAAGCGCTTGGTCAGCTCATATTGAGCCCTTGGCGATAGCCCTTTCTGGTGTTTGAATACCACAACGTGGTGTTCGTAGAGGGCCTTGCGGATGGTGGCAAATTGCTCATCTAGATAAGATTAGTTTGCAAAGCATATGAATTCCTGGCCATCATCGACAAACCAGTTAGATTTTCCAAATCAACGCCGTGGATCTCAGCACCGAAATCTATATCGGACCCAGGAGGAGGTCGAATAGGACGGACAGTGAGTGGTAGCACGGCCATATTTATGTTCTCTAAAGAATCCAAGTGGCTGCTATAAGAAGTTCTTTTATCAGTGGTCCTTTGCCACGTCAAATATTGAATTGTTGAAGTCGGATTGCTCGCCGGAAGAGACGGTCAACGGGGTGCACTGAATATAAAGAAGCACAGAGGGGATGATTGGATTTATACAGTGGTTCCATACCACGGCTTACTTCTACAATATGTGGATAGCGATAAGCTGAACTCCGAGTCGCGGAAGTGAAAACTGTTGGGTTTACGAGATTCAGCTGGATCGATTGCCGTTGACTCGGGTTGGCGAAAAGTGATAGAGCGGGCGAGTGACAAAACACACCCGCACCTCGGGTCCCCTTCCATGGAGCGTCATAGAAATGACAAACATCTCCATTGATTTCAGCCTTTATCCGCTTGAATGAGCTACCAAATCTTCCACCACGGCCCCCGCGGTTTCGGCGGTCGCTCAGCAGCAATAATCTCCTCCAATCCAGTTTGCATGTCCACTTCTTCGGGACGCCATGCCCATCCGTCACCCCAGTACAGTACTCGGTGCCCGAAGTAGAGAATCAAGAACGCAGGAATACCGATATATGCAGTGAAGAAGTTACTTACCGACCACTGCGATGGGAAGAAGACCGTGAAGCCGTTGATGAGCATCATGAGGATGGCACCCGCTATACCGAAGTAAGCCCCGTATGGCTGCAGCTTGGATTTATACGGTTGTTCAATACCTTGCGCTGCCACGGCCTTGCGGAACCGGAAGAACACAATGCCACAGCATATCCATGAGATGAATCCCGAAGTATTGGTGAAATTGACGAACCAGTTGAACACGATCGAACTGGAGTTGTTGACGGCAAGATAAGCCAATGCTGAGAAGCATGCTGAAGCTGACACAGCCCAGTATGGCACACCCCATCGGTTACAGGCCTTGAACACACTCGGCGCATTGCCTGACATGGCCAAAGAGTAGAGCGACCTCGAGGACATGTATAGGAACGAGTTTCCCGCGGACCAGGCGGATGTCAAGACCGCGGCGTTAACGATGTGATCCAGAACGGGAATACCAGCATTTTGGATGCCAATGACGAATGGGGACGAATTCACTGTGCCGTCGCCCTTGGTCAGACGGCTGGCATCAGATGGACAGATAACGCCAATGGCCAGTACGCCGAAGATGTAAAAGAAGACCAATCGGTAAATGTATCTCCGAGCTGCACGGGGCACGTTACGTCGAGGTGACTCCATCTCACCACCACTGATCACAATCAGCTCTGGGGCAAAAATGAATGCAATAGCGCTAGATACTGTGCACTTTAGCAAGCCCACAAACCTCCCTGTGCTGCCTTCCGCGAGATAAGCATTGAACGGGCGCGGGTCCTTCCAATAATGGAAACCTAGTCGCTGGCGATTGGGTCCACCGCCCCAGAAGAGGATGAATGATATCATCAACAGGCCTACCAGAGTGATAATCTTGATACCCGCGAACCAGAACTCAGCCTCGCCATACACTCGCACCGGCATGAAGTTGAGGGCGATGATAATGAACATCATGATAGTGATCCACACGGCAAGGTTGACCGATCCATTTTGGTCCCAGTATCCGATGACCAGTCCGGCAGCTGTGATCTCGTAGGGCACTAGAATTCCAAGGGAATACCAGTATAGATATCCCATGGCGAAACCGAGACTTCGGGACACATAACGGAAGCCATGATAACTCATTGTTCCGCCGTGGACGGGGAGATATGCACCCACTTCAGCGATGGCTGTGACAAGACCGTAGACCATGGCCGAGATGAAGACATAGCCCAAAAGAAGCGAAGCTGGGCCTCCAATGGCCAGCGCTTGACCGGAAGAGACAAAGAGTCCTGGACTGCGTCAATAATCTCTATTCGCAGGTCGTAAATCGGTAACGCTTACCAGTTCCGATTGTGCCACCGAGGGCCATCAATTGAACATGTCGACTTTTCAGCCCGCGTTTGGTAGTAGCATATCGGTCATCGAGCAGGTCGGCTTCGACCAGATTTTTGACGGCTTGTCCTTTCTCACTGATTGGTTGTCGGCCCTCGTAAGACACCTGAGGTTCAGTCTCTGGTTTGGCCATTGTACCTGGCGTGCAACAGCAGGAATGTGAAAATTGAACTGAAACGGTGGACACAACGCCGACTAAGCCCTTAGTCTTATATCTTCTCAGATTCAAAAGGCTTGCACCGCGCCGTTGCCCATTTAGAGATCCTGGACAGCCACATCACATTAGACTCTTATCTTTCTCCTCACTGACTGGCCGGATGAGGGGTCCGTGATAGTCCTAACCAATGACGATCACGAATCACGCCGCAATACGAAAGTGCGATCATCGGGTGAAGCCTCTAGACTCTGGGCTGCAGATGGGACGGGATCTTGTCTGTCTTTAATCTGCATTTCTCAGCGACGTCCACGGGGTTGCTGGTGGTTGAATTTTGGCTGTCCTGACCAAGTGGCTCTTTAGATCAACCCTATGGTGGGTCAATGATAGTACAGTGGATCTTCAGCTGAGAGCCTGAGTGGACATGTGGTTTGATGGGAGGTAAGCACAACGCGTAACTAGACGTATCTATTGACGGATACATCTCACAACAGCCCTGAGGTTGGCCGATAACGAGCCAGCAGACCGGGATATTAAGGTAGCACCGGTCCGGCGCTAGTTTCTTCCAAGGTTAAGTTAGCTGTTTTGCTTCGAGTAAATTTCAATGGTTTGAACTGCAAGAGGTTGCAGGGGGGAGCATAGGCACTACACCAGAACAGGAAAATGGGTTCAAACCTGATCAATCAAATATCCCTGTCATTCTTTAATCGGACTAGTCTGTACGGATGAGGCTTGGTCTCGGGCGCCGGTTAACTCAAACAGTTATTCCGAGGGAATTCTCGTATTGCATGTCATTTGCATAGTATGAATCGACAGATGAAGGAACGTACGTAATGGCTAACTGCATACATCCAGAGATGAAATTCAGAACAAGAAAGCATCATGGCCGAGAACCACCCTGGATGTCCGACAGAACAGATCCCCAATGTTCAAGCAATGACCAGTTCTCGTCAAGATGATACCTTTAGGCTTTTCTTTTCTTGTCAACTATACTATGTTGACTTCCAACTTACATGCCTCGAAATTGGAAGTCCCATTGGCAGAGTGATCGATGGAATAAGCCCGATGGCAGATGCAGCACTCATACTGTGGTTCCCCGCACTGGGTCGTGTGATGCATAGGTGATCTCTTAACCACATCAACTTCATGGGGGCTTCACTGTTGCTAAGTGCAAAAGGGCTCCCAGTCAGGTATTTATACCATTATATCACGATAGATCAGGATGCGTCACGATCTGTTGAGATCCACACTCTACATACAAGTACTACCAAGCTTCCAGTTTCCCCACATTTTCCTATTCTGGAAAGGCTTGAGGCCCCACGTCCCCCTCATGTCGTAGAGAATGCATCCAAAGGACCAGAGCGGACCCGATGGTTGCCCGGGAATAGTGCCCGTGGTATTTCTAGCTTGAAGTGTCGAGGAAGCTACAAGTTTGTTTTGCGTGTAAATATGCCCATGTGGTTCATCCGATTATACCCGTCTGACGATCTGTGTAGTTCAAACTGATTTGAGCGTTCCACATCAACGGTCACAGTGCCTAAGGACACATCCAAAAAGCTGTTCATAATGGGATGACCTGCTGCATAGCGCCGGATCACATGAAGCTGACCGTGTAGACCTCTACCAGCACTTTCGTTTGTCGCATGTCTTCAGAAGTGACATCCCTGGCGCACGACAACCGCCATCGGGGCGCGAAAATACTCAGAGGTGCCAAGCTATTTGGCTCTGCTATCTGCCAACAAGATTGACTGCTCCTAGCTGATCTGTTATACATACATGTAAACCCTAATAGCGAAGCCTTGTAGCAGGCTACGAGTCCCATGGGTTGCCCCGAGCGAATGGCGCAAGGAATTGTAGTACTCCTTGTTGCACGAAAGCTATCTCGCTCCAGCCGATTCTGACTCCCTACGATCCACACGACGTGGGCGCTGTGTCGTTCGATGTGTCGAGTGCATTCCCCTGGGTTCGAGAATATGTGACTTTCTAGGTAAATTTCCGCAAAGACATGGCTGATTATGAATGTAGAAACTGTTGGATGGCGGCGCTCTGCATGGTGTTTCAAAAAACAGAATCCCGTTTTGTTTCGAAGCTAGCGATGGTCGGCGGAAACAAGACATGATTGGCAATAGTATGAAAACTTGGAGCGCATGTCGCGGTGGATTCAGAGGGCCGAAATTCAAGACATCAGCGCATGAGACGTGACAGCTCGTGGATAGGAAGTCCACTCAGTAATTAAAGGGCTCGGGTTGCTGAGATGTTTCTGGTGTCCGAAGTAACAAGTTAGTGCTGTGATTCGGAACGTAAGCTCGCAGTCAAAAAAGTCCACGGGGACGAATATACTGCCAGTGTTGATATGGGAATAATTGAGTGCACATGTACATGCATGTACCTAGTACATAGTGTGAGGTTGATCAGTTGAGAACGCAGTCGCGTCGATTGGGAAGGCGGGAGGGCGCGAAGGCGATAGTGACACCTCAGGCAGCAACAGTATCGCAACTGACCTCGGCAACTTTGTTAGCGCTCTTATTCACATAGTTAGGATCAGCTCATTCTAGATCGCTGTTCTACTAGTAGTTCAACATGACTCACAAATTGATTGTTGCTGTATTTCGCGTAAATTTTAGGCGCGGCCAAGCGGCAAGCCTGTTATCTACGCAATTAGAATCGTGAACTTCCAGCCTTTCAGCACCAGGCGCTGAAAGTTGCCATCTGATTTATCTGAGTTGAACTTTAAAAACTTCTCGTCGGAGAGATAGGAAAAGATGCGCCAATGCCGATAACTCGTACATCGTGTGCCCCTGAAAACTGAGGCTATTATATTATTGCGGGATGGCCCAATCGGAACCCGGTTAATTGCGTCACCCGTTGAATGATAAGCGCGAATCCTGAACTGAGGGGCTGAACTAGTATAACAACGGCGCATTTAGTTAGACGTTATACATCGATGCTAGACAGAACTTAAGTTTGCATATATTACGGAGTACTCCGTACTTGAGAAATACTTGGGAACTGGATGACGAAAAACTAAACAGGATAGGCTGGTTTCGGTTTGCCCCGGCAATTCTCCATTTCTCGGCCCAAATACGAAATAGGGAGGTCCGGAGTTAAAAGTGGGTGGCGCCTCGCCCCCGACATCATTTTCCACAGCACAGGGCGCCAAGTACGGAGTACGGGATACGATGTACTACGTTGTAGATGAACACGGTGATATGTGTGAATATTGAGTTCAAAGATAAGCTCTGGATTACACTGCCTAAATAGGTTATAACATGACTATGAAGGTCTGTCCGAGCCTCGGATGGACGACATCCTTGCCGATATGACTTCACATCCCCTAATCAAACGGTCTTCTTTCGGCCCCAGCTTCTCGAAGATTTTGAAACAATGGCTCGCTTTAACCTGGAGTCTGCATCATAAGCAGACTGATTGGGTGAACCAATCGATATGTGGCCCCTCAACGGACGTTAACTGGCTCGAAGATTAGATGGCTCAAGGCATGTGGATGGAGCCAGTAAAGATGAGGAAATAAGTGGAGCCGGATGGGGGGCAAGTGGAGTAAAGTGGATTCTATTGGCTTGCATTCAATCTGCTGGTCATTAGCCCAAAGGTTCTTCTTTCCCTCCCTCTTTCTGCCCTGTGGCTTAGTTTCTCTCCGCTTAGAGCTTTTTTTTTTTTTTTTTTATTTTCTGGCTTGCTTTATTATGGCCCAGTTTTCTCTCTTTTCCTTTTGTTTTTATTTCTAGGACATCCATCTCCGCTACTTTGGTCGTCAGAACAAACAGCATCGCATGCAGCTCAGAAACCAGACATCTTAATTTCATTATGGCTGTTGATGCAACCCGTAGCCCCTCCGGGGTATCGATCGAACAGGGTGTAAGTACCTCCAATGCGGATCGCACCCTGGAGGATATGGGATACAAGCCTGAATTGTCGCGCAATCGATCTATTTGGCAAGTCACTTTCATGTGCTTCATTCTCTCCTCAGTGCCCTACGGCTTGTCAACCACCTTATACTACCCACTCGCCGCAGGTGGGCCTGCCAATGTGATCTGGGGCTGGGTGATCGTCTCATTCCTGATTCTCTGCGTGGCTATCTCGTTGGCAGAAATCACTTCGGTTTACCCAACGGCAGGTGGTGTCTACTATCAGACATTCGTCCTATCACCGCTCTGGTGTCGTCGCGTCGCGTCTTGGATCTGTGGTTGGGCGTACGTCGCGGGTAACATCACCATTACGCTGGCCGTCAACTTCGGAACTGCTCTACTCTTCGTCGCTTGTCTTAATGTCTTTGAGAAGGCTCCTGGCGTCGGAATTACCGATGATTTCCAGGCGTGGCATAATTTCCTCATCTTTTTGGCCATCACCTTCCTCACCCATGCCATCTCGGCGTTCGGTAATAAATGGCTACCGTGGTTGGAGGTATGTTATCGCACGTGCGGCATTCCCCAAAATAGTAATGACACTAATCATCTTTTTAGACCTTCGCCATCTTCTGGACGATGGCCGGTCTCTTAGCCATTGTTGTTTGTCTATTGGCCGTCGCCAAGCAAGGCCGCCACAATGCTTCCTGGGTCTTTGGCCATTTTGAACCCAATGCTGGGTGGCCTGCGGGGTGGTCATTCTTCATCGGTCTCCTGCATGCCGCCTATGCCACATCGGCAACCGGCATGATCATCTCGTGAGTCCCATCAGGCATTCTCTCCGTCATTTCACAGTGCTCACCTTTTCTAGACTTTGTGAGGAGGTCCGAGAGCCCGCTATCATGGTCCCCAAGGCCATGGTCGGAACTATCATCATCAACTTCATCGCCGGTCTTTGCTTCTTGATTCCCGTCTGCTTCGTTCTCCCTGATTTGACCTACCTGATCAATTTGGCTTCGGGTCAGCCCACCCCTGCGATCTTCAAGGCCGCCATTGGAAACTCAGCGGGTACTTTCTGCCTGCTCATTCCTCTGATCGTGTTGGGTGTGATCTGCGGTGTCGGATGTGTGACCGCCACCTCCCGCTGTACTTGGGCCTTCGCCCGTGACGGTGGTATTCCCGGTTCCGGCTGGTGGAGCCAGGTCAACAAGAGCCTTGATATCCCTTTCAATGCTTTGCTTTTGAGCATGATTGTGGAAATTGTTCTCGGCTGTATCTACTTTGGCTCCACCGCTGCATTCAATGCCTTCTCCGGTGTTGGTGTTATCTTCTTGACTACGAGCTATGCTTGTCCGATCGCCGTGTCCCTGATCTTCCGTGGTCGAGAGGATATCAAGAACGGAAGCTTCAACTTTGGCGTTGTCGGCCTGGTCGCGAACGTCATCGCTCTTGGTGAGTCCCTTATACCCGTCCTTGATCCAGATGCCTCCAAAGCCGAAGCTAACTGATTTTTACCACAGGCTGGAGTCTCCTCGCAATTCCCCTTTTCTGCATGCCAACCCTCATGTCAGTTACCAAGGAGAGCATGAACTATGCCTCTGTAGTGTTTGCTGGCTTTATCATCATTGCTGCCGTCTGGTATGGTGTGTGGGGCTACCACAACTACCGCGGACCCCCAACTGACGCTGTCGAACGGGATCTAACCCCTACCGAACCTTCTGCCTTTGCGGAAATGCCCAAGAAGGAGTTGAGCCTTTAAATCTTCCACTTTGGAGCCCGACTGGCTTCGTCCTCAGTGGCTTGCTCCCTATAACAACTACGGGGAGTCCCTAGTTATTACATTGTATATAAGAAAAAATACCCCACAAGTTTCTTTATTCCACATCCTTCTGTGAATCTCTAAGATCCCTCGGCGGATGCACACTTGTAAAAAATAAGTCAAACTCGCCATAGCTCGGTAATCTGGTAGCATCTGGGATTTTACGTTGCCTCACACACCATTCCGCTATAATCACGTCGAGGAGTTAATGGCAGCAACGTGGTCCGTCACCAGACAGGTGAAATCGCTGGTGCCATAGTAGATGGTGTGTCCGTCGTCGGCCGATTTTCCCCCGCTCAGCGTGTCTCCATACTGCCAATACAGGTCGGCGGCAACGCCGGTTGTGTCCAGCGAGGTCTTTTGCCATTGAGCCTCGATGGCACAGTGGTCAGAAGTGACTCCATACTCCTCGAAAAGGCATGGCTTGCCAGCTGCTACGCAGGCAGCGCCATGGGACGTGACCCATCCGTTACCCCAGTCATTGGTGGTTCTCCCTGACAGTAATACGTAAATTAGCATGGTCTGGTTCCAGTATTTGGGAATGAAAGTACACACAGCTTTGTGGGTAGAGGTGGAAGGTAGCAAAGTCGATCGTCTCAATACCCAGGTTCATCGTGAAATTAAGTCCCTCGGCATAGCTGTAGGGATAGCTGCCATCTGACTGTATGTCTAACCCGAAGCCTTCTATATTTTAAGAAGAATCAGGAAGCCCATTACGCAACAAAGATGTCAGGAGTATACTTACCATCACCAATTGTGACCATGTGTTTTGGGTCCAGGGACTTGACATAAGCGCTGGTGGATTGAATCCAGTTGTAAAGGACCGAAACATCGCAGCCGTTGCAGCGGGGCTCGTTAGCCAACTCCCATGCAAAGACAGCCGGCGAGTCAATGTATCGTGAGACAACGGCTTTGATATACGCGCGGTACGCCGTCTGAGCGGCGGTATTTGTGTACCAGCTTGTCTGGCTGCCACCGAAAGCATTGACATACGCGGCCATGCCACCGTAATCGGACCAGTTGTTAACGAAGTTGATGATGAGTTTCACATTGCGGGCCTCAGCGGAAGCAACCACATAGTCCAGGCGCTGGAGGCCATCTGCTCCGGTATTGACGGTAGCAGTTCCGTCTTTGAGTAGTTGGTAATAGACGCTTCCGTCCGATGGAACGGTATTGACATCGTTGAAGCCCCAAACTCGTAGGATTCGAAGGCCAGATTCATTCATGTGATCGAATACAAGATCGACATCATCGTTGTTGGTTAGGAACCCAATCCAGTACGAGTTTGAACCGGCAAAATAGCTTGTCTCGCCATCTATTTCGAACTTGAGTCCATTCGTAGTGGCAACGCCCGATGCAATCGCGTCACCAGAAGCTAGAGCATTGGTTGTTACTTGTTAGCATATCAGAATCATGTCGGTTTCGGTTCTGCCTAGGTTACCTGCGACACGTTGGGTGTAAGGCGCAGCTTGGGCGCTGATGAAACAGGTGGCCAGAGATAAAATTGCGAGGATCTTCATCTTAGGTATCGAGATTCAACAGGTACCTAGTTGTATGGAACCTAGGGGTACCTAGTGCATGCCCGTTACCTGTAGGTAGTAGTGTCCGGTCACGGAGATAGGTGGACATGTAGGGCATATATATACTCCAGACTCCAGAGAACCAGGCTTCGATCAACATGGAACCTACGGGGACCTATCACTTCCGCTCTGGAATAGGAAATTGTCTTTATTCCGTCAAGTTCAAAATACCGAGCCATCTTAAGGTCCATGTGAATCAATTCAAGGAGGAACCCGTGCTGTTTGTGGAATACTCGAGGCGGAAGTCCGGGGGTACACTATGCCTCGGCATGAAAAGCACCGAAATCATAGGCAACGAGCCCGGTGTTTGCGGGGTAATTTGAGAAACCCCTGCTTCAATCATCGGCTATTGCGGGGAAGTTCTGCAGAAGTTGAATTAAGCAGAGGCGGGCACACTTATCCCCATTCGTCAAGGCGTTTGAGCCGCTCTCTCTGGGGGATGAACAAGGGTCAGTGTCCCACATGAACAATATGCAAGATTGACTAATTATCTAGGCCGATGGGTGGAATTTCCAAACAAAGCATGATTATAGTAGTACCAGATCTACAGATTTATACATGTGACCTCTTTGCCGTTGTGAGTGCGATGAAGAATTCCAGACATCGCCGTACTGTGTATTGACTTAATTAAGCCTTTGGTCTCAATAGAGTGAGAAAAGATACATGTAGGCATAACAACCAAAAAAATGGATTAGCTTCTTCGAAACCTATATGTGGGCTTCTGTAGACTGAAGCTGCGTGGTTGAGCAAGATCTTGACAGTAGTCTGTACTCCGTACAATTTGTAGCGTGACCCCGTTCCTGGTTCCATCAATCAACGGGTCGGCTTTGACTGGCCGAGAATCGCCTCGACTTGGCACGGGGAGGAGGATTAGCCCCGGGATCGATCGGACTCGGGCTGTGTACGGAGTTACGGTAAGTAGTGGAAACAAAATGCCGAAGCGAGACGCATGGTCTGCCTCCCAGTTTGGAAGGTCGGTTTTTAGCCTTGGGTGATCTTTGTAAATCGTCTTTCACTGCTGTCTTCTGACTCTTGAGTGTTCACCGGTTTCACTAAACCCATCCGTACTCCGTACTGCGTAGTTATGAGGTGCATAACACGGCCATATCCACTCTAAGGCTCCTAGTATTTAGCCGCGAACCTGTTGCCCGTGGACCCGATTTCGATGATGGGCGATCATTATTTACTATTGCATACTAGTCTATAGAATCGAAAAGGGGTAATGATAGCAATAGCAATAGTGTGTAGCCTCGGGTGATAAATCGTTCAATCTTGTAGAAACTCTGAAACTCCTTGAGTCTAGGCAGTCGATGTCCACGTAAAGGAATGAGTGAACCATGGACATAGGAGTTGGGAAATTACCGTTGGGTTCGTCGGGGTTTGAAAAAAAAACGAATTGGCGATGTCGCCCCCAAAAGCTCAGGCAGAGATTCGTGGAGTAAACAGCACATCAATGAATGAAATGTTACGATGTTTACGACCAAAGCACCGTGGCAATGGCCTGAAAACAAAGCATAGAAATGGTGGGATATGATTGATCGAGCCACGAGAAAGAATTTGCCTGGGAGTCAGGCAGTAATGAGTCTAATGACAGAAACAATTGGCAGAAAATATGGCGCTGACCCCATTAGGAAGGTCTGCCTGAAATATTGGGGATGGAAGGGGGCGCGCGCGGACCTATCGATACCCAAAAGAGGATGTAGCAGAAAGATTTGAAAATTTCTTCAATGACGTAGCCAGCGGGTGTGGCGTCTCGGATCCGCCACTTACGACTCGGCGTTCGGGATGTCAACGGCATGTCGACGGCACGATGCCGATACTTGTTTTGATATCGGGTTCCTGTATTGCGACTGATTTGGCTTGAGCTGTTATAAAGTAAATTGCAGTAAGATTTCCAGGTATGGCTCCTACCTTCGAACTCGTTCAATGTCAAGGTTCACGTAAATGGCTCATGGACTCACCCCCAGACTCCGCATTTCCCCTCGAAATTCTCTCATGGAAGGTCGGGGATTTCTTCACCGGCACACCGATCGGGAATGACATATGCTGCGGTCTGGAGAGAAACCGGAGTAAAGCCTGGGGTCAGGTTGCCCGGGTCGTCACTGACATATGGTCCACTGCGCTTTCCACTGCACTTTCTCCAGATTGTCAACCATGATCCAAGTCGGCATACTGTATACTGTATAGACACCGAGAAGATGTTCGGAACGCACGGCAATAGAAGCCGTGAGGATAAGGGATCCTTTTCTCGGCCTCGAAATACGCTAGGTACCGATTTCCCCGAAGTTTACCAGTTCGGCACGGCCTTGGCTCGGTTGAATTCGCCACCGGAAATCTGCCCGACCCTTTGCCCGGATAAAATCGGCTTTGCACTCTGACTGGCGAGCCACAGCCGATGAGCAGATGGTACCTGCCATGTATGGATTCTTCCCCTGGAGATATGTGGGGTTGGAGGCCGTGCAAGTCGGCGTTGCCGGGTTCCTTGAATGTTGGTTGGTTGTCCTCAGTTGGAGGCACAGCATGAGCCCATCAGCATCGTCATCGCTGCCAAACTTTCCTCTCCACAATCCTGTCCCCGCCTCCACTCCAATGGCTTTTGGCTTTTGTTTTTTATTTCGAGTTTTTCTTGCGCAGTTACAAAAGGGCCCCTATTCCCCATCATCCCCGTGTTTCCTGGTTCCCCATGGGCGTGTTTCCCTCTTTTCATTCTCCATATTTACTCTCATCTACTTTCTGAGCTGGTTCTCTACTCCCATTTCACTTCTAAACACAATTTGAACAAGCTAGCACAACTAGCTAGACACGTCCTTTTCAGCCCTACACAGATGATGGGTGCCGAACCGTCCTCCCACCATGGGGAGTCTATCTTCCAGGCCGAGCAGCCAAGCCTCGAATCCTCCTCACAGAGCAGCCAGATTGAGAAGCCCAAGGGCCCAGTTGGTGTCGATACTCCAATTCCCCGGCTCACTATGCGGTCCCTGGTGATGGCCCTCTTCGTCTCCATGGGTGGTCTACTCTTTGGGTACGATACTGGTCAGATCTCTGGCTTCCAGGAGATGTCCAACTACTTGCAGCGATATGGTGAGCTTGGAGCGGATGGTTCATACTCATTCACTCCCACGCGCTCGGGTCTTATTGTCGGCTTGCTCTCCATCGGTACCCTGATTGGCGCCCTGGTCGGTGCCCCTGTCGCTGATATGCTGGGCCGCAAGTGGTCTATCACCGTCTGGTGTTTGATCCTCATTGTCGGTCTGATTGTCCAGATTACCGCTCCCGACGGTCACTGGTATCAGGTGGTCATTGGCCGTTGGGTCACTGGTCTGGGTGTCGGTGGTTGCTCACTACTTGTGCCCATGTACCAGGGTGAAAGTGCTCCTCGTCACATCCGCGGTGCCATGATCAGTTGCTACCAACTGTTTGTCACCCTCGGAATCTTTTTGGCCTACTGCATCAACTTGGGTACCCACAACATGGACGGGACTGCTCAATGGCGCATTACTCTTGGGATCACTTTCCTATTCGCCGTGGTCCTCGGCGGTGGTATGATCTTTTTCCCCGAAAGCCCCCGGTACGAGTTCCGCCACGGAAAGGCCGAGAGTTGCCAACAGACACTCGCCAAGCTTTATGGTATCCCGGAGAACCACGTCCGCATTATCGAAGAGATGAACGAGATTCGTGAACAATTCGAAGCCGAGTCTGACGGTCAGAAGTGGCATGAGTTCCTCACTGCCCCTCGCATGTTCTATCGCCTCGCACTGGGCATGGTCCTGCAATCACTCCAGCAACTCAGTGGAGCTAACTACTTCTTCTACTACGTAAGTTCCAGCAGAAATCCTCCATCCGACGTTTAGAATTCAGAATGCTAACATTATCTATCCACAGGGTACCACCATCTTCGAAGGCGCTGGCATCTCCGACAGCTTCATCACCCAGGTCATCCTTGGCGCCGTCAACTTTGGCACTACATTTGGTGGCTTGTATGTCGTGGAAAACTTTGGCCGCCGCAAGTCCCTCATCTTTGGCGCAATCTGGATGTTTGTCATGTTCATGATCTTCGCGTCCATCGGTCATTTCGTTTTGGACGTGGAAAACCCTACCAACACCCCTAATGCTGGCAAGGGTATGATTGTCGTGACTTGCTTGTTCATTGCGGCCTATGCTATGACATGGGGTCCTATGGTCTGGGCCATTGTTGCGGAGCTGTTCCCCTCAAAGTACCGTGCTAAGGGTATGGCCCTGGCCACCGCAACCAACTGGCTGTGGAACTTCCTCATCAGCTTCTTCACCACCTTCATCACCAAGGACATCGATTTCGCCTATGGGTATGTCTTCGCTGGTTGCCTCTTTGTGGCGGCCGGTATTGTCTACTTCTTTGTCATTGAAGGCAAAGGCCGCACACTTGAGGAACTGGACTGGATGTATGTCAACAAGGTGGTTCCTTGGAAGAGCAGCAGCTTCGAGATCCCCGAGCGTCACGAGGATTGGATCGCGGAGGAGAACCCATACGGTCGCAAGCAGCAGCGCGCTCATGCGGAGGACGCATGAGCGCACTTTGTGCAATTTGCTTGGTTTTTCATGTCTTTTTCGCAGCTGGTGTTGAATTATAGATTTGCATGATACATGACACAATATCATCTCGGGCCTGGCGTACTGAGTGCCATTGCTGTCCGGAGTTACTTTCTTGTATATAGAAGTTGAGCAGCGTACACCTGCACTTATAGAACATAGACAAGTCGTCTTCTTCATTCTATGAGGCAATCCTAGGTAATAGGTAATAATCGGCAACAGCGCTCTTGACTAGGCAGAATATGTCCTTATTGTAACTTGAGTATGAAATGATCCCGCCATGCTTGTGGGAAAGAAGTCTAGATTTGAGACAACCTCTGAGGGCCTGCCCATGGTACATACTGTGTACAAATATCGTAATGAAACCTTGCCTGCAATGAAGTACATAACCCAGATTCGAACAGTCTCACATTTCCTTAAGAAGGACATCCTACGGCAGCCGTACATCACAGATAGTTCAGTGATTCCGGACATATCGCGGCGTCCAGGTTGGCGTCCCAGTCGCACTGGGGTAGGGATAACTGGACACCATCGAAGAACTGGGAGTGCTAGTAGCGATGGGCGTGGAGGTAGCGAACGAAGACGTAGGGCGGAACGGGATAATGGGTCCAGGTCCCATCTTGGGACCTCCTAGGATGGGTGTGCGCGCATCACTAGAGGGTGAACTCGAGCTGTCAAGACCAGCCACCAACTTATCACCAAGTGATTTGATGCTCTCTTCAAACGTAGCGCTGTCCTCCGCAGTCCAGTCTGCCTTGGATCCGGGAGCTGCATCTTCTCCAGTGAAGCCAATGTACAACACATCATTTCCACTGTGGCCGCTGTCGCCTGTAATGTCCTCATTAGGGAAGCAAAGCTTAGCAAGAGAGATTGAAGCCTCCCCCGTGGAAGTGTCGCCGTTGGTATCACCCCAGATACCGTAGTGCTGCAGTCACAGAATGTTAGCGTTGAGGAATGGGATAAGGGGAAGGGGTCACCTACCAACTTGCCACCACACACGACCGCCATCACGCTCAGTGGCTCCATGCCGTGGTCGTCGGGCTTAAAAGATGGGCTTGCCCCTTCGTTACCGAAGACCACGTAGGGGTGAATGTTGGCATTGAGATCGTCAATCCCATAGTCGCTCACTAGATCCTTGAAAGCCGTCACACCTTGGCCACTCGGATCATTGGAGCAACCTCCCGCGCTGTTATCGGCGCCATCACAGTCGATGTCCATGTCGGCGTACACTCCCCCATCGGCGGTACCGTACAAGAAAATGGCCCCGTCTATGTCACCGCAATAACCAACATCGGTGCCTGAGCCTCCGTCGTCAAATCCGCTAGCGAGGACATTGTCACATTTGCCAGTCTAAAAATATTAGTGGTATGACTTAGGATTGATCAGGATTGCAAGATACCTTATAGGTGTCGTAAATTTGCTTCAGGTTGGAGGGCAGATCATATGCAGCAGCGAGCCCTGCAGAGGACAGGATCAGAGAACTGAGGACTTGCATTTTGGCAAGCAGGAGAAAATACTTCAATCGTTGTCTTAGAGAAATTAGAGCAAGTTCAAGACGTTAAGCCTGGAATATATACACCGGACATGCCTCAGATATTGAGCAGCCGAGAGTGATCTGAGCGGGCCTGTGGGCCTGTGGGCATGATATGCAGGGGCCCGTTAGAGAAGTGGTCCACTTGGCTGCCATGATGTTGTATTTGCCAAGATCCATCCCGGAGGAGTTTCGAGTATAGGCCCATAGGGCAACATCCAAAACGGGAGATAGCGTAGAAAATGGCTGCTCTTATTTTTTCAGGGACCAATGAGAGACAGCAAATTGGCCTTTTGTGGAAGTTTATGGGGATATCATGCACAGTGCAATTGACTTCAACGCTATTGACTTGGAGCATAAGGCACAGGTCCTGAATCCTAGATTCCCGATGAAACTTTGGAAGCAGATCCACTTGTTCCTGTGTTCCGAGAAAGTGTTTCACTGTAACTCTTGCGGCACTGGGCAGTGTGGGCGTCTCTGGCTGGCTCAGGTTCAAGAACAGGGGCCTGAAACACCAATGTAGCGGGGTGATAAAGAGGGAAGATAATCATAAAGATGAAACTTGGGGAAATCAGTTCACTGGTTCAGGTACATATGAGCTACCGCTGATCAAATGGAAAGATGAAGATCATACACCAGGGCGATCTCTTCTCTGTCTTCTTCTGTCCGGGGGCGGAACAAACAGACCAATAGCGAACAATGCGACGTCAGCAGAGATCGAGAGAGCGAAAGATGGAATAAAGGAAGAGATCGCAGTTGGAGAAAGACCAACTAACAAATCGGGGAGAGATCATCGGGTCACCTCGGGGGCCAAAGCGAGTGAAAGGACGGTGTTGGCTGTGGGGATTGAGGAGAATGTAGATGCGCGTTCGGCCCCCACAACGCATAGAGGAAGATCGCGAACAAAACCAGTAAGTGTTCGGCTCCAGGTACCTTTAACCTCTATGACTTCACTTAAAAGCATTCAATCCGAGAAAGCACAGTATTGTGAGGAATTTGCAGGCAGAGTCCACAACCTGAAACCGATCGTTGTATCCCTATTTTCCCAGTTGGTCTGGGCCTTGACTTCTTCAGCCATCTTTGCTTTACTTCAATTGCCTGCTTGGGTGATACGAGCATGCTTCTACGGTCGCCTTATGATTGCAGATGACATGCCCATCTAAATATAGCGGGACTGTCCGATAAACGCAATACCTAGTTCTGGTAGGTATGCCAGTAGGTCTAGATAGCCAAGAGAGGTATGATCATAATTCACAAAGTGGACTGTCTATTGTTATCAGATCGAGTGAGATGGAAAATACTGACTAACTGACCTCGCGAGGTTGAATGTTTGACACCTCGTTAGATCCGGCCACACGGATTCTCTTCCTGTCGATATGTAACGGAGATCAGATTGCAATATGGAATGTAACATGAGGCCCATCACTTTGTCGCCCAAATAGAGACACCAGCCACCCCTCCATACCCAGTTCAGAGCTTTGACCGGAAATCATCTCCCTTGACGACCTGTCTTTCCTTCTGATTTCCATTCTCGAGTGTTCGTAGCATTCGTCGGAGGATCTTACCACTGGCACTCTTTGGGACTTCATCGATAATTTCGACTTCTGTGATCCACTTGTGTCGCACTTTGTTCTTGCGTACATAGTCAATGAGCTCTCGACCCACGGCCACGATTTTCTCTGCGCTGGCGTCCTCTCTCACGCTCGGCTTCAACACAACGTATGCTTTCGGACGTTGGCCACTATAGTCATCCGGAATACCGCTGACAGCAACATCTTCTACTGCTGGATGGCCAAGCAGGAGATCTTCCAACTCAGCAGGAGCAACCGCGATGCCCTTCACCTTGATCATCTCCTTGATTCGATCCGTGATCGTGATGAACCCTTCCTTGTCAATATAGCCAACATCTCCGGTATGCAGCCAACCTTGAGAATCGAATGTTTCCCGAGTCGCCTTTTCGTTGTCAAGATATCCCATGACAATTTGGGGACCTCGAGCAAGGATCTCACCGGGCTCGTTGTAGCCAAGTTCTCGTCCCGTTTCCACGTCCACAATTCGCACCTCGGTATTGGCCACAATAGTGCCCACTCTCTGACCATACTCATACGTGGCCTGCTCAGGCGTATGCGCGGTAATGCAACTGCAAGACTCAGTCATCCCATACCCTTGCTTGAGTCCTCTTCCTGGGAACCTGCGCTTAAGCTCCTCAATGATCTCCGAAGAGAGTGGTGCAGCACCAGAAGAGAATCTTCGCACGTGGGAGAGGTTGTAGCGAGACACAATTGGGTCTCGCAGGAGCCGAATCAAAAGAGGTGGCACAAGTAGCAGTTCCGAGATCTGATATTGGACCACGACATCTAGCATGGATTGCATCGTAAAGGCCGGAAGCATGTAAACCTCGGCATTTCGAAGTACTGGAAGATGCATTTGGTGCACAAGGCCGGTGACTGTATAATAGATCCATGAGTGAGACTTGTTCGGCAAAACGAAAGACGTGTAGTGAGTAAATCCTACTGTGAAACAATGGAAGAACAGCGAGCACTTTCAAATGGTCTGCTGGTGTCAGCTGCTGGACCTGTAGGCATTGTGCCATAACGTTGTGGTGGGAAATCATGACCTGTAGTTCAAACGCGATTAGATCCCTCCATTACCCGCAGGTGTATATGTCTAGGACAGCACTCACTGCTTTGGGGAGACCTGTTGTGCCACTACTAAAGCTGAGGAAGCCACAGACATCCTTGTTTGTTTGACCCTTTGGAATCTTGAACGAAGGTATCTGTCCTTGCTGGCCATATGCCTTTCCAATCTCAATCAGATCTTGCATTGTGGTGAGGCCATCAGCCTGACCCTCAAGGAGGAAGATGTGCTGCGGTGGAATCCCGGCATTCTTTGCGGCAGGCATCGCAACGGGAAGCGAGGATACCGTGGTCATCAGGAACTTGGCCTTTCCTGTTTTCAGAGCATAGGTCATCTCTTCGACATTGTATGCAGGGGAAGCACCAGATATGATACCACCTATATTTCGGGAATATTTAATCAACACCTTGTGCGCATGAAATCGATGGCTATGCAACTGAGCACTTACCAACACGAGTTGTTGAGAACATGGCCACAGGATACCAGACAGTGTTAGGCCCAAACAGAGCTACCGTTTGGCCACTCAGGAGGCCAAACTTTCGCACAAGAGCTGTGGATATCCATGTTGCGTAGTCCTTCACCTCATCGTAGCGAACACGCTCCTTTGTAGCTGCATTTGTAAAGCCCGCGATACCGGTGTCTCTTTTCTTGGAAAGAGGCGAGTCGGCCGACTCGAAAAGAAAATCCCAGATGGGCAGGTCTTCGGGGACTAAACAACGCCAGGTCCATCAGCGATTTTTCCCCATGTTTCAGGAAACAGTGACGGAGTATCGTCACATACCAGAGATAGTCGGGTGCTGAGAAGTAAAGATCATGATTGTTAGAGGCACGAATACTTTATGTAGACAGTATAGGTCGGCATTGAGCGAGGAGCCTTGAAGCAACTCGGTTGTCCATGGTCCTTAAATGCCACATAGGTCGAGTGGGGTAAGGATAGACGGCTCAATGCTTGACCGACCCCCAAGTCTGCTATAGCCATAGCTGGACCTCGGCCTTTGTGCGGGTTTCCAACACATCAAAGCGAAACAGATCATATCGTTCATCCGTTGGTGTTTCGAATCAATTCCCTATCCATCCAACGTCGGGAGAGACTCTCCGAATGTCCCTCTGGACATCTTGGCCATACCAAATAGATTTCACGGAGCTGAACGGTTAGTATAACTGCTTCGAAGACATCGCTCGGGCTGTCCTGAATGTTGAGCCTAAGCCCGGCTATGATGGCGGGGAAAATGCGGGGAAGTGGGGAAATGAGAGTTGGGTAAAACTAGATGGAAGATCCTTTCTTCATTAGTAAGTTGCACTTTGGGATGTCAGTTGTTATCGCAGCCAGGTATACTGCTTAACTGCTTGTCTTAAGAAGGCTACCTGGGCAATATATGGAATAGAAGATGTTCGACCACGGGGGGGAGCGTCTGATGTGAAACCAACACCTGCCAACCAAACTGTCCAGTTGGTGTCATGGAAAGGACTCGGAGATCATCTTTAGAATATATCTGTAGATCCGACACAGGTGGTGGAGATCGCTGGGCATATTGTTTGAAATGTAACCAGCCTGATACATCCCCCAATCACCGAGACCCCAGGTATTCCTCCTCTTTGAGGGCATCAGTTCACCTATAAGGGGAGGCTGAACCAAATGGCCAGGACCCAGCGCTTTCCGCTTGGTACACGCATGGTTTATGGTATTATCTGGGTCGTTTTGACCATGGAATCGCATGCCATCTGATGCTATATCGAACAAGATTCGGACCATATGAAAACAGCTAATCCCGAGGTATATAGCGCTGGTAGAAATCAACCTCAGCCAGAAGGAGTTATGCGAGCAAATTCGACTTGATGACAAACCGACGTACACGTTCCTGATATGGGTCCAAGTCGTCCCCATTTCGGCATAGGGTTTGCAGGATTCAGCCGAGGAAAACTCGCTGTATTCTGTATAACAAAGAGAGCGTACTGTGCGTATACTCAGCTCATGATATAGCAACTCTACAGCATGACTGTAGAGCCCAAGGTTGAGCTTGGCCGCAATAACGGCGAACTGGTGAATGACCGATACTGCGAGACTATCACAGCAACATATTTCAAGAATACACCACGGTCGCTGGAGAACCATAAGCAGAGACTCGGTAGTGTCTCCTCGGCCAATGATCATGTGCTTGGCAAACTTCGATGCGTTTATCAGGAACCATGGAAGACTGCAGTGAGTTGGTATCTTCCGCATAGGGTTGGAGCTTGGAGGCGTGGGACACGGCAATGAGACGACCTTTACCCGACTGGGCCTCTCTGTGGTGATGACAGGGATGACACTGCTAACAGCAGAAGCCGCCGAGATGAGTTCTGCGAGGAGGCCAGCTTCCAATGCCGCGCTACTCCAGTCCAGAGGGGACGCGACAACTGAGTAGATAGCGAACGCGTCGCCTACCCCAACCCCACCACCTTTGTCAAACGAAGCACAAAGCTGTGGGAGACCATTCGGGTCAGTTTTGAACGACTGCTCCATGTATCACTGTGGCACAAGCGCATGTAAAGCTTCAAACTGAGCTTATTGCCTATAATGATGGTAGGGTAGGAATGTGGTGGTGTAGGATGGTAGACTGCGTAATGGTAGGGAGGGCTGAGGTTGGCGCCGATTTTGTCGCATGATGTATCACGTGCCTTGATGGGAAGGATGAAGGATGGGAAGGCTGCAAGGCATGGAAGGAAATTCCTTACACAACCCCGAATGACGGGGAGCGTCGAATATGAGAGATTGGAGAGTCTGAAATCGACTTTAGAAGTCTGAGGTAGTTAGAGGGAGTCCCACGAGTCCCGTTATGTGATTTCTAACTTCTTTCGATCTTAGGTCCCTGCAAGGTTCGTGATGTTTATTCGTCTGTAACCATTTTTTTGGCCAGAGATCTGTCAACATTCTATTGGACCAGGAGTTATCGGTGGATACAGGGATCGTCAGGAATTCAGGTTACTTCCAGAGCGACTTCAGCTAGTAGTAAGCACTAGCCTCTAACGAGGACGTTTAGCGAATGCCCAGGACTTTTGAGCAGCTTACCTCGTGTTTCCCAGCTTGTTTTACCATGGGTTAGGATAGTCGGGAGAGAGAGAGAGAGAGATCTTATCCATACTCTCCGATATGCCCTCACCGTCATTTTATCTTTCAGGTTTTCTGTCCTTCGCTGGGATAGTGCAAGCGAAAAAGTTCCCAGCGTCCCTGACAGACTTACATGCCAAACTGAAGGATGAGGACGGGGTCACCTTTGACCCCCTTGGCGTTGCGGCAGTACTTTACAACCCTCGTGTCGATAAAAGTGCAGCAAGACTCTATACTCAGTTCGATCGAGGTTTATATACATGGCCGCACCTCACAATGATTGGGGGCACCTTGCCACCTATGCAGATGCTTGTGGAGCGCCTGAATGCGACGATGAAATGGATTCACCCATCAATCAAATTATGCGCACAAGATACAACCATGCTTCCCGTACGATCCGATGTATCGGGAAATGTGTTTCGCCAGCTACCACTGAACTTGAGCAATGCATGGTTGACTGACATAATATCATTTCCAACATCTAAACAACCTGGAAACGACTTCGTTGTCGTTCGTGTGGATGCCATGTTCCAGTCAACAGAAAATCGCCAAAAGAACGTTCGTCAGCATGCCGGTAATATAAGGTGGCTGGTCCGTAAATGGACTTTGGAGTTGATCTGTCTGCTGAACGGGGCCATGCTGACGACTGGCATGGTGTGCGGAATTCTGGCAGCCGATATTTGGGCTTTCGCCTTGTTCTCATTGTACAGTAGTCATTGGTTTGCCTCCGTTCTTATCTCGTTCACCTCTATGGTCAAAATCCATAAGCCTGATCACATTAAGAACGATACTCAGGAGAGGTATGCGGTGTACGAACGCGATGAAGGGGGCACTGTCATTTTCAAAGGGCCCCAGAAAGAACTTGAGGAGTGGGCCCGTTCCACCTGGGAATATGATCAGAGCTGGACCAAGGATTGCCTGCATTGGTTTTGGACCTTGTCTGGGACATTTTCAGGTTTCTCATCGGTGGCATGTATGGTGAACATGAAGGGCGCTCTGCAATTGGCGTTCTTGGGGGTGTTGGTTTATTCCTCACTGGCTGAGATCGGCGCGACTCGGATTGCGCGTCACTTGCAGACACAGGCTCATGGTCACATCTATATGGATCAAGTCCTGGATAACAACACCCGGAGCCTGGCAATCATCCGTGCAACCTTGCAGATTTCGCCGGAATGCCGGTTAAAGGGTCTCGATTGGGTCAAATTGGGTCTTCTTCCTCCGATGGGAGTCTTTGAGAAGATGCAGGAATTGCTGAGCGAGATCGAGGCCGATCTCGACCAGGGGTCAGACTCCCTTCTGCCGGGAGTGGACGAGAAGTGTGCTCAATTCCTCGATCGGGTAGATCCCTCGGAGCGGAGATTGGCTGAGAGAATAGTTACAGAAGTGAAGGGTACACTGTCATATCTCAAGTCTATATAGAAGCATGCTCGGGATATCAATCACTTCGGAGATGCCTAATACCTAGGGACGAACGACTCGCAATGTGATGTTCGGATGCACTCGAAAGGAAATAACCATGACGCCAGCCACATATCCACAAGTAGTAGTTCGTCATAGAAAGTATGGCGTCTTTACCCCAGATCGTACTTTGAGCTGCCTATTCTGAATCCAAATGATGAAGATTTGCAGACCAACCAGGGCCAACCCTGTAAGGACCAACGCAATCATGATCAACAGCCCTGTTGGATAGCTGCAAGGTCAAGCCATTCACCGTTAGTGGTGGGACATATCTCAGGTGAACAGACAGAGAACGTACAAGAGAGCTGACTCGTCACCCCGAAAGATCTGTGTTCCCGCCATAAGCCCAGATGTAGCTGACATGACGACTGTCCGGACCAGGGGTCAGTCTACCGAAAAGTTCTCCGGGGTCAATCTTCCTTACACATTCTTTGGTTTGGTCAGTTTGTCTGCGCAGAGTGGGACAGGGAGGATATCACTTACGCTATGCTGATGCTTCTCTCCTCGGCCCTCTCGCAGTTCATTTGGATCCAGGCGTTGTGGATTGGATGATAGCCAACGGCAAATATATTCACAGTTGTCCATAAGCCGAACTTTTCCCATTTACCTTCGCGATGTAGCAGTAACCTGAGGGTTATCAAGGAAACCAAGTAGAAGAAGATCGCAGTCATGACCACGAGGCCCCTTCCTTTCGATCGATCGCTCATCCAGGCAAAGAAGAAGATCACGGGAAGTGTGAGCAGGCTCCCAACCGCGGCAAGTGCATTTGCTTCGATTCTAGTAAAACCTAGCTGCATGATGATGCTCGGGGTATATGTGGTGAGGGGGCTCCATGTGGAGAAGACACAGGCTGTTGCAATAAAATGTGGCCATCTTGCTATGTTCGTCAACGTCGCCCATACCAATTTGCATGATATGGTATGTTTTGCTCCAGGGCGGGCGACAGTTGATTTGTTTGTCTCGGAAAGCTCTTCACTACCCAGTACGTGCACTTGATGGGATCCCGAGGCAAAGCTCTCATGCTCTGGGAGGAAACAAACGAGTGCAATAGACACCATGATTGAGAACAATCCTTCCACTGTAGACGTCAGCGTAGGATGATATTCGAGAAATTGAGTCCCACCGTACCCAGGAAAATCCACTGCCACCCATAAAGGCCCCCCTTGCCGTCAAGTTTCAATAACGCGGCTCCCAGCAGCGGCGAAATACCTGTCCCCCCAAACATGCCGAAGAAGAATATGGCGATTCGAGTAGTCAACTCTGTTGTTGTATACCAGGTTGAGAGTGTGTACATCGCACCAGGAATGAACCCAGCTTCGGCCAAGCCCAGTAAGGCTCTAGTGAGCAAAAATTCGGCTTCATTACGGACGAACATTTGGAGGGTTGCTATTATCCCGAACACACAGACTTGTGCACTGATCCATTGGCGAGCGCCAACCTGATATCAATCAGCAACTCGTATTTTATTCGCTCAGCCGCAGTACAAACCTTGTGAAGAATAACATTGGATGGTATCTCCAGTATAATAACACCCAAAAACATCAATTGGTTCCCGAGGTTGATGGTGTTCTGGTCGATTGATATGACGGTAGCAAAGTTCCCCGTAAGTGCGCTGGCAATATTGGTTCTATCCAGCTGGTAACTAGCAAAGCCAACTAGCAGGAGTGGTAGCACTCGAAAGTCCGCCCTATAAAGCTATTAGTTGGGTTTTCGTGATGATTTGAATGGATCTCGCATAAGGTGGGCACACATTGTTCGATTGCAGTGTAATTGCCCATTCCCGCCCTTTGTACATGTAAAATTATACATTGTTGGCTTCCCAATCATCTGAATGTAAAAGACGCAAAGGAATATTAACACAACGATGGGTTTTCATCTTCGAGGGGACCCTGTGCGCGATTCCACGGTTTCCACCTAAGGTGGTTGAACGACCTTGGGGATGATAAGATAAACTTCGATCTACAGACCTTGGAATTCGAGCACAGGTCAGATCGCTGCCGAGTCGGGGAATTGGATCTATATAAAAGTCAGCCGCCGACTATTTCAGCCTGGCTCTATTCTGTGACCTAGGTACCTAGTGTAGTGGGACGGGAGAACTGCGCCACGTCCAGAGGTGATGCCTCAGGCGTCATGATTAGATGAGATCTTAACTTAGTCTTAGTTACCTACACCGCTCATCCTCCTTCAGACTTCAGAGCCTCAGATGAACACACACAGAACACACATCTCTTGTATTTGAGTACCTATGATTCATCATTGCCGTGAGATCCCAGTACTAGTAGATGTCAGGACGTCCCCTGTTACTGTCTCCTGTTCTGCAGTCCTCCCATCGTCCTGTCTGCGATGTCAAACCCCTTTCGCGCTCTTCCCGCTTCACTAGGTAGGTCAATGCTAGGTAGGTCCATCAATGGAGGGTATTGATTCGTTGTTTTTACCGCCCAACTACGGAGATCGTGTCAGCCTGTCAGGGTACGAGAAAAGATATATTGTGCTTCTCCAACTGAGCAATCCGCGTATGAACCTGAATATCTGCAACAAGAACTGAAGATTACCTACACCCCGTAGATCAAAACCTCAATACAGGACATGACTCAAAATTGACCGAACGATGCTCCATCAACGACCCGACAACTTCCTAGACCCGGCAGTTGATCTTCGAGTTGCTGAGATCGAATGGAATAGCCGTGTTGGGGTTTCCGTCAAGATCCGCATAAGTATTTTCAGCGGTCAAGGTGCCGATACTGGCGCCATCGTTCGTGATGACACAATTGACGGGTTGCACAAATGCAGTGAGCTGGGCGGCGTTTGCCTTGACAATGCCCTCGGAAGCAACAGAGGTGGCACCGAAGAGGGAACGGAGAGTCCTATCAGTACCGTCGGCTTGGAAGGTCACACCAGCGTAGGCCCCGGTCTGGTCGTTCGAGAGGGCCACGGTCACTGGGTTGGACTGGCGAACCTCGAAGGGCGTGGCAGTAATAGGGACAGCCAATAGAGGCAGGATACTGGCAAAGGCGAACTTCATTCTGAGGCTTTATGAGCAAATTGGAGGTTTAGATTGGAGAATATGTGATGGAGAGGTTCAAAGATAAGATTGGGTATGCTGCGTTGTTTGGACTTTCGAGTAAGAGGCATGACAGCTCGTAGGAACCATGTAGACTTTATACCTTTCCAAAGTATATGAGCCGAGCTTCTAATGAGTACCTAGTATGATCGATGAGATCATCAACCAGGTTATTTTTAGGGATCCAGCTCCGTATAGGATCTGCAGTGGGGAACCGAAGTTTATTGGGGACTACGTATAAATGAAGTGCACAGCCGTTCGTATACCTGTCAGGTGGCATTTCCGTTCGGGGGACTTGTTGGAGAATTCAGTCTGTATTGGGACACACGATTCATAGCTGACTCGAACTGTCCTGAGTACTTACCCTGGGTGATGCGTGGCACCAGATGGTGATCTATTCCAGGGATGTAAACAAGGACATAACAACTGTGTTGCAGAGGATCGAGTGCTCAAGGTAGGAATCTGCCGAGACACATCAACATCCATCCCTTTGGACATTTGCCCCAAAACATTGGAAGGTTCCTCAATCACCGGAGAACATGTAGGCTGTGAGACATTAGGCATCCCGTGGCTCGCGCTAATATGCTCGTTCACACACGCATGGGGATTGGCACATGGCTTGCCTTACATGTCTCACCTACAGAGGGCTTCAGTGTCAATAGCAGGCGCAAAGCAACAGAATGCGGAGAGGAATTTCTCTTTTGTTCATCTGCCCGTGAAGTTACCTTCGATTTGGTGATTTTGCTTGAGGGATTTGAGGCTTCCGGACGCTCCTAGTACCGAATAACCTTTAGTATTTGTTATCCTTCAGTCAAAGCTCTATTGACCTGTTGGAGCCTACCCAGTATCGTAGTGGCTATGCAGACGCTTCTTTCCAGATGAATCAAGAACTCGTGTCCGTAAGCCTGATCATCAATCAATCAACCAATCGAAGATCTATTAACCTGTTGGAGCCTAACCAGTATCGTAATGGCTATGCAGACGCTTCTTTCCAGATAAAGCAAGAACTCGTGTCCGTCCACCTGATCATGCTCCAGTACAAAAGGTGAGGCTGGTTGTCCAAAAGTGGAAGCAGCAGCCGGTGCATGTAAGCCAAGCCTCTAAACCCGGCAGTACAAATGAGAAGGTCAAGGCTTATAAGCAATGAACACAAAATAAATGCCTGGATGCACCTCCGTATCTCCAATATCATCTCCCTCTCACGAGACATGCAAGTACTTTTGCATCGCAAACCTTACCCAGTATGCACTGAGCAAGATCAAACCCCATTCTCCGACATTCTCACTTCGGCCTTGATTGCTGATTATATTTGGTCAATGCCCAGCCAGGCACCGTGTATTCCAGTTGTTGAGTGAGGCTCTCTCTCCTCCCTCAAAAGTGGTAGCAAGCGTCGGTGAGTACCCAGCATTTTCGGGACTCTGCTCCATGACCTCGAGGTTTTCATCTGGTTGATCATCGGACCTTTCCTGATCAGCGTGTTGAAGCAGAGCAAGAAGGCCGGTTTGGTGCATGAATTTGGCAACGTAGCGAGTTGCCAGCGGGTTAGAAACAACGCTGTCATAGTTTGACAGTTCAGATGGCCCAATTGCTCGATGCAACTGGTCAAAATGCTTCTTTCTCAATCCGCCAAAAGTCTCACATTGAAGCAAGGTATGCGTCGGCGTCTGTGAGTCCTCTCCGCTGTCGGACCGTTAGAAGTTTACTCCCCTAATTTTCCAGCGCACATCCGTGAGTACCGCAAGTGATAACTCAGACCTCCTGGAGAGGAAATGAGAAGTCATCTGGTGAAGACACCTTAGACAACCGCAATTCGGCCGGATTACTGAATAAGGTTTGGAAAACCGATGGCTGCGTTAACATATTTGAATGATTCGATTCCTCGGAATGATCCATAAGGTCACCCAAGAACACTGTGCAATACGGAGAGGATGTCACGGAGCAGGAGTAGGCATTGATTACCGGAAGATTCGGAATAAGCTGGATCTGATCATGAGGATGAACCACGTCGTCCCAGATTTTCGCCAGATTCTCGTAGAAAGAGCGGACAAGAGCGGACACGGGAAGCCTCCCACTTGGTGGGTGATGAATTAAGTGAAGTGGAAGGGTATCCCGAGCAGACCAGCTCCCATGCGTCTTGGAGAGGATCACGCGCCAAGTGCTTACGGCTCTGAGGAACGGCGGGAATCTGTGCGTGGCCCAAAACTTCCAGGAAATGCCACCGATATGATCCAGTGGGGCTGTCGGATTTACCTGAGCTGCATGGTGGTGGTCTTCTTTCATCCAAGGTCCCTTCCCTTGTATTGCTATGACGGTGCCGGACTCGTTTGGACCGGGCTCCTCTAGCTGACAGATGATCCCCCGCGACGCCCATATCTTCTCACAGACATCATGAAATTCGTCCTGGGACTGCTGATAAGTCGTGCATTGGCCGTTGGTGCGGGCCTCATCAGACACACAATCTTCGTATGGCCATTCGAGACTTTCCAGTTGGCGGCGTGGTTTGTCAGGAAGGATCCAGTTGTTACGGAACATTTAGGCACACCACGCTAATGCGGGGGAAGACGCACTGATAACCAATCAACTTGGTGTCGACTGGCGAGGCATCTCACGAATGACTGAACCACAGGATTACGAAGACATCAAGATCACGTGATGTCCCATCCCATCGTGGGATGAGAACCCATCCCACCAGGGGATAGGAAGGACTGGATATATAAGAAAACTCATTCACCGTCATGTATTTAGTTCTTCGCGATCAATCATACATTGTTACTTGGTTACTACCTATTGGACTTTGCACTCTACGGTTCACCCTTAAGACAACCCAACCTACAAGTGGGGGAGCTCATCTTGTGGTAACACTTGGTGACTGACTTACTTGGCGCGCACTACTGGCACATCCTGCAAGATACTCAACTGTGATGAGGAAGTTCTTTCGAAATAAAATTCGATTCGCTTTGATCTAAAAACAACAAGGTTGGGGAAGAAAAGAAAAGAAGAAAGAAAACAAACAAGAGGTGAAAAGGACTACACGAAAAGATTGGTCATGTGATTCATCACATCACCCCCTCAAAGATCCGTTCAGTCCCTTTGAACGGGTTTACCGTCATCGACATGCTCATCAGGGTACTCATCCTCTAAGGCGCATTGTTTCCAGTATTGCAGCCGTCTCGGAGGTCCCGGCTTCGCTGGATACTTGTCATGGAATGTTTCCAATTTTTGCGGTGCGTTGCATAGATTAGCAGCCGGGTACCAGGCTCTATCTTCGTCGTCGTAGCCTCTCCATTTCACTTTGTATTGCAGTTTTCCGTATCGCAAGCGTACGTCCAGTATCTCTTCCACTTCCCATTCGTCTTGCTCCCCAACCTTGACTGGAGGCGGTGGATCCTCTATCTGCCCGGTGAGTGGCTCGGATGTCTTTTTCCTGGCAAGTCGCAGTTTTTCGGGTGCAAACACCGGGTGTATGTCGAACCCTGCTGGTAGGCGTAACTCGAATGCGTGCCCGACCTTCTTGATAATCTCAAAGGGTCCCGCTGCCTTATCCGATAGTTTTAGGCTCGGGCGGTTCTGTTTCAACCCTTTCAGAGAAAGGTACACGTAGTCTCCTTCATCGAAGTCAACTTCCCGTCTATGTTTGTCAGCTTGCACCTTCTGCCGAACCTGAGCTTTCGTCATCTGTTCCCGTGCTGAAGACCACGCTTCCTGCAGCTTCTGGGTGTAAGATCGGGCGTCTTGCTCTCCAGTCTCAGTACCAACGCGCTCTTCCCAATCGAACGACATCCTTGGTGTTACGCGTAGCCGACTGGTCACTGTGAGTTAGGATAACTTTGGGTTATACTTGCCTGATCCTAGCTGCGGATTCCAAGAGTATCTCTCAATCGTACCGTTGCTTCGCAAAGCCTTACTGCGGGATGGATCCTGTTGAGTGTCTTGCAGAACGTACCAGAAGTGCGCGCCGAGTAAGTCAATCACCGAGTATTGCTACTGAGTGAATCCCCTACTCGTAGGTTGGGTTGTCTTGAGGGTGAACTGTGAAGTGCAAAGTACTAAAGGTAGTAACCAAGTAACAATGTGCAATTGATCGCGAAGAACTAAATACATGATAGTGAAATGAGTGTCCTTATATATCTAGTCCTCCTTGATGGTATGTGTGGTATGGCGGTAGATGGTATAATGGTAGATGACTCTTGGCATGTTCTACCCGTATACCCAGCTACCCTTCTACCACCTTGGTCACGTGCGTGGTGGCCGTTTCCTGAGTTGCGCTAACCGTTACGTCGGATAAGCGGGTATTGTTTGTGACGGTTGCATGTAGGTCGCTTCTGGCTCCCTTGTCTGGAGAGCCTCCTTGGGGCCTTCTGAGGCCTGCCCAAGTATACCGAAACGCACGTGAGGACGCTAGTGCCTGGCGTCCGCGGAATGATTGGTTCACGGTTGCCCCTCAAATAGCTGCGGCCCTCTGTTACGCGTAGCCGACTGGTCACTGTGAGTTAGGATGTCCACGGGTTATACTTGCCTAGTCCCCACTGCGGATTCCAAGAGTATCTCGCAACCGTACCGTTGCTATGCAAAGCCTTACGTCGGGTTCGGGTCCTGTTGAGTATCTTGCAGAACGTGCCAGAAGTGCGCGCCAAGTAAGTCAATCACTAAGTGTTACCACTAGGCGAATCCCCTACTTGTAGGTTGGGTTGTCTTGAGGGTGAACTGTGAAGTGCAAAGTACCAAAGGTAGTAACCAAGTAACAATGTGCAATTGATCGCGAAGAACTAAATACATGATAGTGAAATGAGTGTCCTTATATATCTAGTCCTCCTTGATGGTATGTGTGGTATGGCGGTAGATGGTATAATGGTAGATGACTCTTGGCATGTTCTACCCGTATACCCAGCTACCCTTCTACCACCTTGGTCACGTGCGTGGTGGCCGTTTCCTGAGTTGCGCTAACCGTTACGTTGGATAAGCGGGTATTGTTTGTGACGGTTGCATGTAGGTCGCTTCTGGCTCCCTTGTCTGGAGAGCCTCCTTGGGGCCTTCTGAGGCCTGCCCAAGTATACCGAAACGCACGTGAGGACGCTAGTGCCTGGCGTCCGCGGAATGATTGGTTCATGGTTGCCCCTCAAATAGCTGCGGCCCCCGCACCTCTTTGAGGTTCGTAACATCATCCCCTCCTTTCTTTGTCCTTTGTCCTCAAAGGATTTAAACGCTGACTTCCCCTCAGGTATGTGCGCTGTTTTTCTGTTTTTTCGTGTTTTTCCCCTCCGTCATGTTCCCCCATCATGCCTAAACGTAAGGCTGACTCTGTCCTCGAAGGTATTCCCAAGCTCCCCGTTGGTCGTGACCAAGTCGCTGGTCGCGTTCGTCAAGCCGAGTATATTATTGCCAATAGTTTTATTGCTTCGGTGCCTTGTGATTGTTGCCGCGAGTCCGACGAAGAGTGCGTGATGGATCGGAGTCGTCGTTATTCGAAATGTGCGTCATGCACTCGTGCTGGCCGGGTGTGCAAACGGGATTTCCACACCGGTCGCGAATGGGATTTGTTGCGTCGTGCGGAAGACAAACTATCTTCCGATATTGAAAAGAATGAAGATGAACTCGATTTGTTGGAACCCGAGTTGAACGATCTGCAGTCTCGCCTTGCGGAGCTGCATCAACAGTTGTTGAATAAACAAAAACAATATCAGGAGGCCATGTCAAGGCAGCGTCGGCTGCGTAAGCAAATGGCTTTCTTAAAGCAAAAGGGTTTCAAAATGTCGGAAAATGATGCCGAATTGTTGCGAATCCTGGATGAAAAGGCGACGTCCCCCGAGCAGGCTGCTTCCTCTGCTCTCGATGTTCAGCAGTTGGCTTCTACTGCTGAGAATCCGAACTTTGATCAGATGTTTCAGGAGATTGCTCAATTCCCTTCGTCCTTCTGGGATGGTTTGAACGTCTCCGGCTTGGGCGGCGATTCCCCGTCTCCCGTTGGTGGAATTGTTGAACCAGCTGGTGGCAGCCCATTAGGTTCTCGATAGGTTCCCATGTATTTTCCGAGGTATCGTATCCCTTCCATTTCACCAGGTAGTGAGGCTTTCCACTGATTCTGTTTGTGTCCAGAATTTCCTCGACCTCGTACTCGTTTTCTGTTTCCTCCTCGATTTCCACATCGGTAGCGATTTCGGCGTTTTTGGGTGCTTTTTCCAGTAACGAGACATGAAATGTTGCATGGATGCGTCGCATACTATCAGGTAGCTTTAGACGATAATTGAGTGATCCTTTCTTTTCTGCAATTTCGAATGGTCCCAATTTGAGATGGTCGAGTTTTGCGCTGGGTCGTCTGGTGCGAATGTTGCGTCGCAAGAGGTAAACTTTCTCCCCCTTTTGAAAATCCGGCGCCTCCTGGCGCGATTGATCGTAGTAGAATTTCATGCGCATGTTGAGAAACTCGATATCCCTTGAAAGCTGTAGGTGAAGTTGCTTCAACCCGGTCGCCAGTAGTCGAGATGACTCTGCGAGCGGTTGTTTTCTGATTGGTTCTCCGATAATAGTGGGATTAAACCCATAATTTGCGAAGAATGGTGTTTCCTTTGTGGTTGCGTGCATTGCATTGTTGTATGCGAATTGTGCCATTGGTAGCAATCCTGTCCAGTCATTTTGCTGGTAGTTTACGTAGTGTCGAAGGTATTGCTCCAGAGTCTGGTTGACTCGTTCAGTCTGTCCGTTGGTTTGCGGGTGATACGCGGTAGAGAGTCTATGCTCAATGCCGAGTTGGTCCGTCAATGACTGCCACATGTTGGATGTGAACAGCTTGTCTCTGTCCGAGGTAATTTTGCTCGGTGTTCCGTGATTGGTGAATACGTATCTGAGTAATATATTGGCCATTTGTCGTGCATCAATGGTTTCCGTTGTTGGTATCATGTATGCATATTTAGTCAGTCGGTCGACGACTACCATGATCATGTCGTTACCCTCCGAAATGGGTAGTTTCGTGATGAAGTCCATTGTAATCCATTCCCATGGTCGTTTTGGTACTTCTGCCAATTCCAATTCTCCGTATGGTGCATGTCGCGATGCTTTGTTTCGTTGGCATGAGTCGCATTGTTGAATGTATTTTTTGACTTTTCTGTGTAGTGCTGGAATGTAGTAATTTCGCGTAATCTTTTCGATGGTTTTCTCAATGCCAAGGTGTCCTTGTGTGGGTTCGTCGTGGTGCAATTGGATGATCTCAGTTTGGAGGTTCCCAGGAACATACACCAGGCCATGGACATGGACTAGACCATTACGCATTAGCGCAGTGTTGTTGCCTAGAATCTTCTGAAGTGACTCATCGTTTGCCGTGTTTTCTCGAATTTTCTCGAGCCATTCGTCGTTCTGTAATTCGCTGGTTGCTGCGAGGATTTGGTGGTTATATATGATGTGCCCTTCGCTGTCCGTGGTTAGGATAGCGGGTACTGCCTCCTTGGTCCCGAGTTCGTAGTCTGGGCGTCGACTTAGCGCGTCCGCTACTGTGTTCTCAGTTCCCTTGCAGTGCACAATCTTGAAGTCGTATTGGGCCA